CATTTCTTCAAAATACAATGTACTAGAGAATCCCTCATCTGCAGCCCAAGACAAGACAAAAGCAGGAAATAAGCCAATGTGGAGGATTGTCTTTCATAATAGAGCAGAGCTGTTCACTGCCAGTCAAGTTCCTTATTCCTAGTACAATAAGGAAACTAGCTCTGATATATTATTTAAATATTAATGTTCAATGTATATTGGCATACATTTTTCCCATAACTCTTTTGATAGGTTTCTATATAAATCCATGGTTCTACTGTTCTAATCCAGATCCTTTTAGGAAAGCAGAGGGAATAAGAACATCAAAGAAGTAACTGATTCAAGAGTTAAGAGTAGGAAGCAGAGATTACATTGATTTTCTTCTTTTCTTGGAGTCAGTTCCATTCAGAATAAGTAGGCAGAAGAGAACAAGCCTGAGATCCTTGCTTTGTAAGATTCCTTAGGGCTTAATTGTATCCCCACTTCTATTTAATATCTGAGCAAGATTATCCCTATCAATATATCGATGACAAACAGCTGTATATCTCAACTCTAGACTGAACTGGTGATGTGGTTGGGGCCCTGTTCTCCAGCACTGGAGATGGATAATCCACGCAGTGGGTTGAGACTGTATTCCTGGCCAATCAGATCAGTCAGCCAAAGTTGCCACGCCCCGTCTTGGACCATGATCCTCCAGTCTTGACTGATCTCGCCATGAAGACACATCTAGAACTTTTGGCTCCTGGGCAGGTATAGTTCCTTTCCATTAGGGGGGGATTTTTTCTAGTAGCTGAAATTGCTTAGTTTAAAAGTTAATTAGAGATAATGTAATTCAATTTAATTGACCACTCAAAAATTTCCTTGCTAAATTGTAAAACTCAGGAAGTCAGATTCCTACAGGGGAAACCTCCCCCACTTAAAAGGGGGAAATCCCTAACTCCCCTCCCTAACCAACCCCAGCCACCTTCCAACAGCCGGCAGCCGCCTTAAACAAACGGGGGGGAGGCTCGGGCAACCCCTCGCGTTTAAAACAAACAAACAAACAAACAAACAAAAAAAAAAAGACAGAAAGGCAAGCAGTTAGCGAGGGAAGCGGAGGACAAAGGGGACGCATGCTGGGAGGGAGATTGATTAAGGGAAACAGCTGGCGTGCGAAGGAGCAGTCTTTTCACTCCAGGCTGCTCAGGATTTTTTAAACGAGGCGCCATTGTCTGCACAGCTGGAAGCACGCGCAGCTCTTTGTTACAACCGCACGTGGCATAGGCAGCCTTGTTAACACATGCGCAGTAGTTTCCTGGCAGCGGCGGCCATATTTTTTGTCCAAACAGGGGAGTTAAAGTTCCTTAAGGAAGCTAGGTTCAGCCGCTGGAGTGAATAATAGGCAAGCAGTACTGGGGTACTAAAGCATCTATTAGTCATTCAGAGACATTCAAATCAGACACATAGCTACTGATGCCAGGACTTGATGTCTTCTACCTAAAGTAAATAAGAACCTTTCATAACTAACTGTGTTTAGTTGCCTTTGGCTCCTTCCAGACTTCGGGTCCCCCATTAGTGGCCCGTACGCCTCTGGATTTAGTGGTGGGTTCCAGGCATCCCCAGTCGCGTGCCTGTCCTTACCCACCATAGTCAAGCCGGGTTCCAGGCATTCCCATTAGCGTGCCTGTTCTTATCCGTGCACAGTGACTAACTCTGACAATTTGGCAGAGTCTGCTCCTGAGTTCCAGACGCCCCCAGTAGTGCGCCTGTCCTTACTCAAAGTTGGAGCTCTCCTACTACCTGGGTCCCCCCTATCGCGGCCCAGCGTTAGTGGAGAATGGAGGAAGCAATCATTCCCTCCACTGGAGCCCCGCCTTCATCCTCTGGAGCACCTGCTTCAGAGGATTCGGAATCCTCTGCAGCCCCTAGAAAGGCTGCAAGGAAGTCATCAAAGAAGGCTGACAAACAGGCAATCAGAAGACACCAAGCCCTAGAAAAAGAGTTCGACAGAGCCCAGAAAAGGGCCAGAATTGAAAATAGGCAGAATGGGGGAATAGGTTCTGATCTACCGCTGGGTCTCCCTTCATCCCCACGGGCCATTTGGTCATTAGGGAGCTCATCACAGTCCCAAACAGAGGGTGGGATAGGCGAATTCTCATCGCTCTCCCGATCCCCCTCCCCACGGAGGTTGCAGGAAACCCCGAGGACCATGCTAACCACAGCACCTGCAGGGTCCCAGGCAATGGTCACTCCTCCTGCATTGACGGGGGATCTGCTAGCTACCCTAATAGCACAGGCAGTGGACCGTGCATTTGAGGCCAGGGCTCAAACTTCAAAAGCCAAGTCTCTAGGACTTAGAACGAGGCATCGGGAGGAAACGGAGGACCATCAGGACCTCTCCTCCGTCTCAGACTCGTCGGTCTCTGAGGAAGCTTACCTGGACCAGCCAGGTACGTCACAAGGGATTCAAATGTCTGAGGAGGAGGAGGACACCTCACCTCAAGGGCCGTCCTTCAGCGGCCTGTTTAACCCTTCTCTTTTTGTTACTATTCTGCGCAAGGCTGAGGCCACAGCCCATCTGGGGCATGGGACACCAGCGGAGCCTGTCACAGTTGACACGGAGGCTGAGCCGACGTTCGCCGAAAAGGTAACCACTCAACACCGCATACCATGCCCGACCATGTTCCTAAACACAATAAGGAAACAGTGGGCAGCGCCAACCTCCCTACCGCTTCCTAGCAATGCGGAGAGGAAGCTATTTAACGTAGCAAAGGAGCTAGAGGGAACATTAGAGGTGCCGGTGGTGGACGAACCCATAGGTCCCCTGATATCGGACACGGCCATATCAGGAGATTTTGCTGAGGCTCTTAAAGCCGAGGACCGAAAGAGTGAGTCCAACTACAGGAGAACGCACCAGGCAATAGCTTGGGCTACCAGGGCGTCTACCTCCGCGTCCTTTTTCACCAGAGCCACACTTTGTTGGCTCCGTGAGCTACAGGGCCGGGTTCCCATGGAAGATATACGCACTCATCAGGAACTCAGCAAAATGGTAGCGGCCACGGAATATGCGTCGGACGCAACACTGTTAGCGACCAAGTTTTCAGCCAAGGCAATGGCGGCAAACAACACGAGCAGGCGCATCCTCTGGCTAAAGAACTGGCAGGCGGATACCAAATCCAAGTGGAAATTGGCTTCGGCTCCGTACCAAGGGGCAAAGCTGTTTGGTGAGGCACTAACGCCATACCTGACAGAGAACAAGGACAAGCGCAAGGTCCTTAAACACATGCTTAAAAGGCAGGACAAGAGACCCGGCTCCTGGGGAAGGAAACAATCCTTTCGTACGGAAGCCAGGGTCAACTACTTTCAAAATTCCCAACCCTTCCAAGCTAGACAGGATAGGGAAAGACAGGGGGACAGACAGAACACAAGACATAGGCAAACACAGGGAAGACGGCCCTTTCGGGGGAACAACCGCCCCTTCCGCCGTACCAGATGACTCCCGCCCAGACCTTCCCATAGGGGGCAGACTAGCAGGGTTTGCTCCCCAGTGGGAAGAGACCACCACGGACGTATGGGTCAGGAACACCATACGTCATGGTCTATATCTAGAATTTCTCTCAAAGCCCCCGAACCGCTTCCGCCCGTGCCCCTGTCCCACAAACCCAACAAAGAGAAGGCTCATGAACGAGGCCGTTCAGCACCTTCTAAACATACGGGCCGTAGAGCCGGTGCCTATGAACCAGAGAGACCAGGGGTTTTATTCTATCCTCTTCGTGGTCCCAAAACCCTCGGGGGGTTGGAGAGCCGTTTTGGATTTGAAAAGGCTAAATTTCTACATAAAATACCGCAAATTCAAAATGCAGACACTACGCTCCATCCTTGGAAGCGTAAGGAAAGGGGATTTTCTGGCATCGATCGACCTCACGGAGGCATACTTGCACATCCCTATCTCTCTGGCTCACCGCCGCTTTCTACGGTTTGCCTACAGGGGGCACCATTTTCAATACAGGGCACTTCCATTCGGCCTGTCATCAGCGCCCAGGGTGTTCACCAAGATTCTGGCGGTTCTGGCAGCACAACTAAGAAACGTACCAGTCAGAGTCCAGTGCTACCTGGACGATATTCTAATCCAGTCATCGTCCGCCCAGCAGTCTCGGGCGGACCTAAAGTTAGTGATAAAAATGCTGCAGGACCACGGCTTCTCGGTGAACTTTCCAAAGAGCCATCTAACCCCAACTACGAGAATACTCCACCTGGGAGCGGTCATAGACACAAAGGAATGCAAGGTGTACCTATCACAGGAACGCCTCAGCAGCATAAAGAAAGCCGTAAAACAGGTAAGCCGCGGTCAGTCAGTGACGCTGGTCTGCCTCTCCCAGCTGCTAGGGAAGATGATATCGACCATAGCAATAGTTCCTTGGGCAAGGCTGCACTCAAGAGAACTGCAATGGTTCATGCTCCCGTTTCAGAGACAACAAATCAGTGCATCCCGGAAGAGGGTAGGCATACCTCTGAGAGTACGACACTCCCTCAGGTGGTGGCTATCTCCAGCTCTCCTCAGGGGGTCCCCCTTCAGGGAACCAGACAGAGTAGTAGTCACAACAGATGCGAGCTTATTCGGCTGGGGAGGCCACTTGGGGACCAAGTGGACACAGGGCCGCTGGTCAGCGGTGGATCTCCGACACAACATAAACTGGCTCGAGCTGCGGGCTATTCACCTAGCGTTAAGGCATTTTCACAGCAGCATAAAAGGCAGGCACGTACTGGTCCTGACGGACAACGTGACAGCCAAGGCCCACATAAACCGTCAGGGGGGCACACACTCTCGCTCGCTCTCGGCCGAGGCCCTCCTACTGGGGGCCTGGGCGGAACAAAATCTGGCCTCCATAAAGGCCGACCACATATCGGGGGAGGCAAACATCCAAGCAGATCTGTTGAGCAGATCAACAATAGATCACTCGGAGTGGCAACTACACCCGAGGATCTTCAGGGAGGTCTGTCACCACTTCGGGCTTCCCCAGGTGGACCTTTTTGCCTCTCCTTCCAATGCCCACCTAACTCGCTTCTTCTCCCGATTCCCATCCAAGGGAGCAGAGCAGACGGACGCGTTACGGAGCCCATGGCCAAGGGGGCTCCTGTACGCGTTTCCACCCTTACCTCTCCTTCCGGCGGTAGTACGCAAGATTCTGCGGGAAAGGGCCGAGGTAATCCTTGTGGCCCCTTATTGGCCAAGGAGACCTTGGTTCGCAGACTTGAGGAGTCTCTCCCGCACGAATCCATGGCGGATTCCTCCGGAGAGGATCTCCCTCAAGCAGGGGGAGATCTCCCACCCAGAGCCACAATGGCTACAACTAGCCGTCTGGCTCTTGAACGGTCAATTTTAGCCAAGGGGGCTTGCTCACAGGGTGTAATTAGGGTCATACAGGCATCAAGGCGCCCCTCCACGAACCGTATCTACGAGGCCACGTGGAGAAGCTTCCAATCATGGTGCTCTAAACAGGAATTGTTACTCGAAGGGATCACAATTCCCAAGATCCTAGAATTTTTACTAGATGGCCTAGAGAGGGACCTCTCGCCAAACACACTGCGCAGGCAAATCGCCGCCCTCTCAACTATACTTTCTGCCAGCCCCGGTGAATCCTTGGGCAAGCATCCCTTAATACGATCCTTCCTCAAGGGGGCTGCAAACATCAGACCGCCAACCGTGCATAGGTATCCATCGTGGGAACTACCACGAGTACTACAAGCTCTTACCAGAGCGCCCTTCGAACCACTCAAAACATGTGACATTCGCTATCTGACCCATAAGGTAGCATTCTTGGTAGCCATCACGTCAGCTCGGCGGATATCCGAGTTAGCTTCTCTCTCAATGAGGAAGGACCTGTGCCATTTTCACAGGGACAAGGTAGTCCTAAGAATAGACCCTTCATTCATTCCAAAGGTCAACTCCCTTTTTCACAGATCACAGGAAATAGTCCTACCAGACTTCTGTCCAAACCCAGCTCATCCCCTGGAGCAACAATGGCACACCTTGGACGTACGCAGGGCACTAAGACATTACATTTCACGCACAGCGGAATTCCGACGCTCGGAAGCGCTTTTCATATCCTTCAACCCTGCTACTAGGGGCCGGAAGGTCTCGTCCTCTACCATCGGTAGGTGGATTAGGGCATGCATCACGGGGGCATACCAGGCGGAGTCCTTGCAAGTCCCCAAGCATATCACGGCCCATTCCACAAGGAGTGCTGCCACCTCAGCAGCATGGGCCATGCAGGCTTCTATTGAAGAGGTATGCAGGGCAGCCACTTGGGCCTCGCCCTCTCCATTCATTCGTCATTACAAAATCGACAGGTACTCCTCTGCAGAGGCCTCCTTCGGTAGGAGGGTTCTCCAGCAGGTGCTAGACCAAAGTTGCACACGGGACCAGTCTATTCCCCAACCCAAGGGACAATAGGCTTTGGTATGTCCCACTGCGTGGATTATCCATCTCCAGTGCTGGAGAAGGGGCGTTGACTTACCTGAACGCCTTTTCTCAGCACGGAGATGGATAATCCACACCCACCCTTATAGACTAGAATAATAGGGTATATTTAGTGGAGCCAAAACGTCTTACTGTCAGTCAATGGCTGCGCTCGAGTCAAAACTGGAGGATCATGGTCCAAGACGGGGCGTGGCAACTTTGGCTGACTGATCTGATTGGCCAGGAATACAGTCTCAACCCACTGCGTGGATTATCCATCTCCGTGCTGAGAAAAGGCGTTCAGGTAAGTCAACGCCCCTTCTAGAGACTGGATTCTATTAGTGATCATATAGGGAGGAAAATGCTCAGCCAAACCGTATCATGACTCAGTTCTCAGTGCCTAGTAATACAAGAAGTCCCGTTACCAGTAATATTGGACAGTGTTGTTCTGGATAAGATTGTACTACCTCAGACACAATTTGTGGGTAACCTGAGGGTCCTCCTCACTCTTGGCTCTTGCTTGAAGTGAAAGTGACAGCCTTACTAAGAAGGGCCTTTGCATAGATAACATAAATCCTTATAAACATTCTGCAGTTCACCTATGCCAGGGCTTTTCAACCAGTGGTACGGGTACCATCTGTGGTACATTGGCACCTGGCAGGTGGTACGCAACCATCCTAGAAAAGTGGTAGTGGGAGAGGGGAACCGGTGGCAGCACCGCAGAAGCCTGAGTGAGAGATGGCTGGAACTGCAGGGCTGTCAGGGCTCAGCGTAAGTGCCAGGATCAGTACTTCTTCGGGACTGTCAGGGCTCAATGGAAGCGCCAGGATCAGCACCAGGCTCCAGCTAGAGCTCAGCACTGATCCTGGCGCTTCTGCTGAGCCCAGAAGAAGCACCAATCAGCTGGAATGTTGCAGCATCTCCAGGGTCTTTTGATTTACATTCAGATGCTTGGCAACTGATTCATATTTATGACGGTCACAGTGTCCCAAGGTCATGTGAAGTGCAACCACCCAGCAGACGGGGGAAATAAAAACCAAATACCCCCCCACCCCACCCCTGCTGCCAATCCTCAACAGAAATGCTGACAACAATGAAAACCTCGGACAGGAGGAAGGGCGCCGCCGGGTGGGCAGGCAGGTGTCTTGCTCAGGTGTGGCTTGGGGGGCACTTTTTTCAGTGCCATTGTAACTTCGACAATCACTAAGCAAACTGTTGTAAGTCGAGGACTACCTGTACTTTATCACTTTTTCCTTTTTTTTTTTGGTCATCAAGTTTTTCACACCTTGCTAGGCGACTGGTGGTACTCGGATGTTGCCATATCCTAAAAGTGGTACAATGGGTGAAAAAGTTGAAAAGCCCTGGCCTATGCAATACCTGTTGCACTGGCTTTCAGCTGCAAATCCATGTATAATTACGTATAAAGCCTTAGGTTCTGGATATCTAAAAGAGCACCTTGCTCCAAAGTTGCTGCTCAGTTACCCACATCCTGGATTACTGCAGTGCACTCTGCATGGGACAACCATCCTGGAAGAGTATTTGGAAGCTACAGCTGACATAGAAAGCAGTCCTGCGGATAGTTCTAGGAGCCCCTAGAGTGGCCCATTTAACACTGCTGTTGCACAAACTGCACGGGTTGCTGGTTTGCTTCCAAGTCCAATTCAAGGTATTGGTTATCATCTTTAAACCTCTTTATGACATGGGCCCGGGTTACCTGAGGAATCATCTCACCCAGTGAGACTGGCCCATCCTATTCATTCCAACAGAAGAGGCATGCTGTGAACCCTTTTGTTAAGGAATTCTGTCTGGCAGAATCCAGGATAAGGACTTTTCTGCTGTAGCTCCCATCCTCTAGAACATCACACTCCTCAAAGTGAGAACTGCTCCCACCCTCTTGTTCTTTTGCAAGAGCCTCAAACTGGCTTGGCTGATTGACCTGGGCTCCTGATGAGAACATTCCATATTGGAACTCATTAGTGAACTATACAGAAGATTCCACCTCTACCCCATTGCATTCCGGTTTCTAACTCAAGACGTTTCTGTTAATTTTAACATTTAATGTTCTAATATTTTGTATTTTGCTTTTATGTTGTTATAAGCCCTCCAGAGTCACTTGACGGTAAGACGGGCAGCATGTAAATTTAACAAATGAATAAATATAGTGGCAGGTGGGCATCCTCTGGATCAAGTCTGTGTCTTAGCATCAGAATAGGGGACACCAGCTGAGAGAAAACTAATTTAGAACTTTAAAAAAATCTTGCATTAATATAATTTAATCAATAAGCTTATTAAGTATAGAAGAATTATTTTTTCCAGGAATTACTGAAGCTTCCCTTAAAGAAGGAAGGTTGAAAGTGGAAAATAATTGCTTAGGACTATGGGGCCCAGCAATGACTTTTTAATTTTAGTGACTGAATGTTTATATACAATTTGCACCTATTTTCATAATATTTTGTGAATATTATGAATATTCACTTTAGCATTCAGTTTCCAAACTTATATCTAGAAGATTGATTTATTTTTTTAAAAAAGCAACATAAAATCTCAGTATTTTTCTATATTGAGAAGCCTAGAAAACCTTCAATGATTTAACTTTCAAGTTATCAACCTTTGACATACATAATATGATAAACTGAACACAAGCAAAAAGAAATAATTAACAGAGGAAAATGGGTGAAATAAATAAACAGCTCTTACCATTTCAAGGCCTGTGACATTGAGGCTAGTAAGTTTTTGCAATGAATTTACCATTTGCACTAAACAGTCCTGAGAGATTCTATGAAGTCTGCCAATGTTCAAAACCTCTAGACCTGGACATTTAGTAGTAATTGATTTCAAGCATTTGTCAGTAATGGCTTGACAACCAAATATTTCCAGTTTCTTAAGGCTATAAAAGAACACATTATAAGGAAATTAGTAACATCCTTCAATATTAGCCATTCAACAGTCATTAAAATCATTATTCTTTTTAAAGATAAGTGCTTAAAAATAGCACCGCTCCCCAATATTAACACTAAGAAACATGAAAATAAAATATGAAAGTACTGATATAATAATACAGTGTCTTGGGCTAAGTCTAAACACATTATTCATATATTAATTGAAAAACTAAGCAGCTAGAAGTAACTATATTTTTTTCTATTATAGCCAATTCCAGAAAGTACATGCTTCTTATATCATTCAGTAGAGCACGCTTGGGATTGTTTATTTGACTATTTGCAGTTACCAATATGACAAGAAAATAAGAATGTATGTAAGAACCCTAGTAAGCTGCAGGATTCCTGATAACTATAAACAATCCATTTATAAAAATGCCCTCCCCTTTAAAACAGGTCTCTCTGTGGAATTTCTCCAGTGAGTGATAAAAGTTGTGTTGGCCATATCCAACCAAGAAAATGAGAAAGAAAAAACAGAATAAATTTGCAGGCTTTGGTTAGGTGACACATTTAACAGAGAAAGTGGATAATTTTTAGGGCCTTGAAGGATCAGCATGTATTTGTTGACATCCTGGACTAGGGACAAGATAAAGCCAGCATCATTTGATCAAGGAAGAAAAAAGTGGCTTGCCAGGATATTCTTGTGCCAAAATAAACCACAAGTGACAAATTAGCCTTAGAAATCTGGATTGTTATTCAACTCAGACTCACTAAATAGCTTCAGACCAGTAAGTTCTCTCAGCCTCAGTTTATTTTCCTGTCAGATTATATACTGATCGATCTTACAAGGTTGCACAGTAAGAAGCACCTAGGAAAAAAGATACAAATACTTTCCTATCATCATTAAGAATTCTCTATATTTTCAGCCCAGATGCTAGTTATTCCTGTTTCTCTACTCCACTTTCAGATCTTTCAGCAGACATTTATTCTGCTTAAAAGTGGGCTCTGAACAGTATGGGGAGTTGTCCACTAGAGAAGAGTAAAAAAAAATTCAAAAGGGCAGCAATTCTTCATAACTGGAAAAGAAAGAAGTGTGAACAGTTTGTAGGAAAGGAAAAGAAAAGTCACATTGGGAGTCTCTGGTTACCATCTGTTAGGTAACCAAATGGAAATATAAACAATTGCTAATGTTTGCACTGCATTTGGTTTTATATATTTTTATTCATGTAGATAAAAGATATTATACAGTTCAAATTAACCATAAAAACTAACTGTAATTAAATATTTTGTTTGTGTAGATAAATATCATGTGTACAGGGAAAGAAAGAAGTTACCTGTCTATCTCAGGCAAAGATACAAATCTTATGTAGGTGAATACATATGACAATTTAATTATGAAATAACATACAGTCAAGTTTGCCTTGAGCTTCATAAAATGTCTTCTTAATTTTGGTGATGATGCTTAACGTTCAATTCAATTTTGATCATTTAGTTAACAATTCATCCATGCTTTTTCCAAAGAGTGACTCAAGCTAAAGATAAATTTGGTTAGTATTGGGATTGAATATTTGTCCTAATTTAATGCATTTGTTAAGGAAAACAACCTTGACTGTTCTTTGGAAATACAGATATAGAAGCTGAAGCTCAAATACTTTGGCTACCAAACATTATTATTGAATAATTATTATTATTGAAGTACTTTTTGTCATTAAAGTAAACCAAACCACAATTAACATACAGGTTCAATACATACATTTAAATTCATATTGGTATTTAAAATGTGCTAAGTCTTGTAGATTTCTAAATCAATTGCATCATCTTAAAATGAAAATCACAATAAAACAACAGAAAAAAAATTGATGATTGATGGCAAATGCTACTTTTAAAAAATAGTTTGCAAAATAGTCACAGCTTTTTTGTTCACTTTTGAGTCATCTTTAACTTTTTTTTGCCATTGTGGATGAAGCACAAAACCAAGAAAGACTAAATCAGGATTGAGGTATGATTTTATTTTCAAAAATAGTAAGCCAGAGTCTCTATATCAACTAGTTATCTAATCAACTTGTGATTTGTTCCAAAAAAACAATCCATTGTTTTCATCTTGAAGTGAATATGCATACAGTACTACATTAAGATAAGAAATCAAGGAGACGATATCATAACTTCCTTTTTTTTTAAGTGAACCATGCATATTTGTTGTACTTACTCCAAGACCTAAATTCTTAAGGCATTCTGTGATAAAAATGCAAAATAATAAATGGCATTTGTAAGATTTTGTTTTCTCTTCTGAGACTAGAACTTATTCAAAGTACTGCAAGTTACAATATTTCCTCTAAGAAAAAATGACTTATATTAAACAATATAATACATTATACAGAAATAATGTATTATTGAAACTCTTCTTGTCATTGTTGTTGTTAATTGCGAAGTCGTGTCCGACCCATCGTGACCCCAGGTCTTCCTGTCCTCTACCATCTTCTGGAGACCATTTAAGTTCACACCTTCAGTGACTCCATCCAGCCATCTCATTCTCTGTCGTCCCATTCTTCTATTGCCCTCAATCTTTCCCAGCATTAGGCCCTTCTCCAGTGAGTCCTTCCTTCTCATTAGGTGACCAAAGTATTTGAGTTTCAACTTCAGGATCTGGCCTTCTAAAGAGCAGTCGGGGTTGATCTCTTCTAGGACTGACCGGTTTGAACGCCTTGCAGTCCAAGGGACTCGCAGGAGTCTTCTCCAGCACCATAGTTCAAAGGCCTCAATTCTTTGGCGCTCAGCCTTTCTTATGGTCCAACTTTCACAGCCATACATTGCAACTGGGAAAACCATGGCCTGGACTATACGCACTTTTATTGGCAGGGTGATGTCTCTGCTTTTTAGTATGCTGTCTAGATTTGCCATAGCTTTCCTCCCCAGGAGCAAACGTCTTTTAATTTCTTGGCTGCAGTCCCCATCTGAGGTGATCTTGGAGCCCAAAAAAATAAAATCTGTCATTACCTCCATTTCTTCCCCATCTATTCTTGTCATTAAAGCAAGCCAAATAACCAATTAGCATACAGGTTCAAATTGCTACAAAGTGCTTGAATGATGGCAACATGATTAACTTAAAATAAGATTTCCAACATTTGCAGTCATCACTTGTAGTGCTTGTGCCATGTTTTATGTTTCTTCCTGGAAACAAGCTGGCACCATATTTGCAGTATGCAAATGTTAGTAGTATCCAGCTAAAAAGTGAGATGATCAGAGCAACAATTGGTTGTACTTCAGTGGATTTATGATTAAATGAAAGAAGGGCTTACCAAGGGGCTGCTGACAATGGAGGCAACTGTCTATAAAGAAGACAGTGAAAAAAGCAGGAGAGAATCAGAAACAAAAGACAGAGAACATTCTGTATTGTTGGAGCTCACATAGATCTTTCTAAGAAGATTCTACGTCTGAGCCTTCAAGAGAAAAGACACTGTAGAACAAAAGATAGGATATAGATCTTTGAAAGACAGAGAGGATGCAGCAGCACTTCTCAAGAAAATAGAGAAAAAAACTTACGGTGTTACCTTGGATGATGAAACATCTGCAAGAAAACAATTGAGCTTAGAGAGCACCAAGGACCTCATAGTTCAACCCTGATCTGCAAGTACTTTTCTACCATAGAAAATATTCTTCTATCATAGAAAATTTGTAACTGATCTATTGCTACAAAGAACTGAAACTAACATATTGTACATCCGGAGGATCAGTGAGCTTGTGAAGTACTGTATGCTAAGTACCAAGAGTAAGAATCAGGAATCTGAAAGAACTTCCAAAACTTAGCAAGTTCACAAACAATTGTTGCTTCTCCCAAGCTATATATACGGGAACATATGTACAGCTACAATCATATCATAATTTAACAGATAAGGAACGGAACTAAATAACCTAGTCTTTTTATTTATTCATTTATATCCTCATTTATTCAAAAGGAATCCACAGAAAACACTTTAAAAAAGACAGGTGAATGAGATGGTGTCCAAGAGACAAAGGTTTGTAAGATCACAGTCTGAATTATCCAGATAATGGACTATTGAAACACCATGCACTGCAATCCACAAATATTAGTAAAAGTAGCTTAAGCATAGTAAGCTATTTTTTTCTGTCGCAATAGCAGGGCCTTTGAAACTACTTAATAAAAAAACAACCAGAGAGTTATTTTATAAAATTTGTGACCTGAGTCTACGCACTAATGTTCAGATTATGGAAAATAAAATAAGATGAATATAGTAAAAGAAAGCATATTAAGAATAGTGGAAACCTGGGTCGTACGACTTCTACAACTAAAGTAGAACTGAAGAACACAATTTATTCAAAAGGAAGTAATAGAAATATTAAAAGACAGTTGTAGGTTAAAAAAATTCATATCTCCTCAGAAACCCAAGAGATGAATTTAGTGATACTACAATTAACATCTGGATTAAAATATGTAGAGGAATGAACAAAAGTAATACTGATGACCACTATCACAACATGAACACAAAGAAAAGATGTGTGGTAAGTTATATAAAAATAAACTATAGAATTATAATTATCAAAGATACATAGAGTAATTGTGATGGAGGATTTTTTAATTACCCTTACTTATGCTGGGGGATATATTTTATCAAACGTGGTCCACAAAATTTCTAACTTACCTTGTTGGCAATTTAATTATTAAAAACTGGAAAACAGCACAAAAGCACAGTATCAGGTATCCTTGATACTAGTCATGACAGGATTTAAGATAAAGGATGGTAAATTCCACTGAATTGAGATGGAGATCCCTTTCTAATGATCAGAGAAGCTTGTTAAGTGAACCAATTACACAGTGAGGCAGTGGCCTGTTCTTTGCTTAGATCATGTATTCAAGCAAACTAAACAGTCATTTGTCCAGGATGCTTTCCTTAAGTCTGGACTCAATTAGAAAGGCCTGTGTGTCCTGGGTTTAAATTCATGAATTTGACTTCTTTATCCTAAAGTACAATTGCCAAGCATAGCTAACCACTACCATTCAATAGAAAAGGTTGTTTCTATAGTTATTGTGATTTGGCAGCAAAAAAAATAAGTCCAATTTTATAGAAATTAAGGGGCGAAATCATTGTGAACCTTTCTAAATTAAAGCAGTCATGATGTACCACCTTGTACTGAATTTTGATTCACAATTTCAGTTGGCATGCACCTACCTTTTTCCATGTTTTCCAATCAAGGCCATTACTGACTCATTGGTAATCTGGCATCCATTAGCAGAAAAACACTGTAAACTAAAGGAACAGTAGCAATTACTTTATTTTTTTCATATAATACAGTAACATGCAATTTAGTTGACTTGAGCTTGTTTCTTGTTATCACTGATATTGACTTTCTGATGAGCAGGAAAATCTGAAGAGCAAATTTCACCCATCTATCTATGCACAAGAATTCTTTTCCTGTCAATCCTCTTAACTCTCTTTAGTTACTTTTATACAAGTATTTTCTTATATAAAATATTACATTTTCTTACAATGAATATGTTTTGATTAGGAATCTATAACATAAGATGTGGTCTTAAATATAGGCACCTGCACTGATCTCATTTTTTTAGTAAATGAAACAATATGAATATTGAGCTTAAAATATTGCAGCTATGTTAAAAAAATTATGGTGAATTATAATATGATTTGTTTTCATCTCAGCAGATTTAGGGAATCATATATTACAATTTCATACTATGTGTGAATCAAAGAAAAAACTTTTCAAAAAAGATTATAAAAAAAAATCTTGGCTTAGAGCCCAATACATGAATTTAGTCAAATTTAATCAAAGTTTAATTTCTATACAATTAACCAAGCAGGTGTATTTAGTTAAAAATCAATCCCACCTTATTTAATAAGCTTCCTCTGAAGTAAGTACAAAAAGCAGGACAGCTTAAAATCAATAATTTGATATTGTGCTTTAATGAAATATAAGCAGGTATCTTTTACTGGATTAACCACATTTAGCAAAACCAGTATAGATTCTTGTAATTTCTGCCAAACCTATTAACACTGTATTTTTAATCCTAATTTTCCCTCACTTCAGATGCTGAATGTCAATAGAAAGATGTCCAAAATTGGATACTGAAGGAGAAAAAAAAGAAGCTTGCCTTATCAGACATTACTATTATTGTTGTTTATTTTGTTGCATTCATATGCTACCCAACTGCCAATGACCTGGGTAGTTACAATTAAACACATTAAAAACAATTTTAAAATGTTACACCAACTTGAAGAGTAAAAATCGCAAGGATGACAAAAAATAAATAAATAAACCCTGACAGGAATAAGAAGAAATAAATTGCCAAAAGGGACTTCGTTCATTCTTGCAAAAGATCTAGGCAAAGAGCCAAGTCTTTAAGGCCCTTCAAATCGAGTCTATGACAATTCGCTATGGCCAACTCACTATGGCCAACTCAATGCAGGACAACTTGCCACAGCCAACTCGCCACAGGACAACTCATTGCTGGACAAAAATTATACTAATAACAAAAAAAATGGTGGAATGAAATCATTAAAGAAAGGATGTGAAAGGAAGGACAGAATGAAATGTGATTGACAAAAAATAGAATAATTTTTAATTTATTTTAAATAATTAAATAGAATTGTTAAATTGTTCCGCAGTGAGTTGTTCCATGGCAAGCTGAATGTGGCGAGTTGACCGCAGCGAGTTGGCCGTGGTGAGTTGGCCATGGTGAGTTGGCCATGGTGAGTTGGCTGTGGCAAGTTGTCCCATTCCCCTTCAAAACACCAGCTAGGTGGGGCTATCCAGAACTTAGGGGTGACCTCAGGGAGGGACTGCTACAGAGCAGTCTCACTTATAGGGTTCCAATTCATAGCATGGTTTAATTTAAGGACTCTGGAGTGTGCCAATTATGTCAAATCGAATTGGCCAGGCAGATAATATGGGAGACAAGATAATGTGGCCCCTCAAGTAACCAGGACCTATGCCATGTCAGCTTTTATAAGTAATAACCAGCACCTTGAAACAAACTGGCTTGTACAGCTGACAAAACAGAGATGTTACATGGGCATATTAAGATATGCCCATCCCTGCCTGCCCTACTGCATTTTAGACCATCTTAAGCTTTCTGATGTCTTTAAGGGAAGGGCTCATGAAGAGAGAATTGCAGTAGTAAAGACATGAGGTGACCATGACATGAGTGAGTGGAATCATCAGGGAAATACTAGAGTGGAAGAGAAAAACAGAGGAAAATCAAAATCAACAATAAGTTGTTATAAATTAGTAATGTCTTATGGAGAGAACAGAACAATATGATGAGTGAAACTGAAGAATTCTGGTAAAAAGCAGAGCAGGGCATTCCAAACTGCAACAAATCCCTATGTAATCTACTTGGCCTTTTTCATTGTTTTGCATCTGGTTGTACAAATGGTGGTAAAAGTATTTGGTGGCAATAGGGTTTTCGGGATTTTTTTTTTTTCAGATACCTGCTACAACCTTTAACCAGGGAATTGAGTCCAAAATCAGTAGCTCCTGTCCAACTTATATCTACAACTGCCAAGTTATGGCAAAAGGTGCTTGCGTGAAGAAGAACGCTGTCCCCTTTATATCCAGAACCACTGCAGTTTTTTATATTCAGTGCCTAAGCACAAAACAGAGGAAAAAAGGAAATTGCAATGAACTGACTGAAACAATTATTTTTGTTAGCATTTCTTATGCATCAATCAGAAATGTTTATTGTTTATTAGGGCAGTGCGATACTTCAGTTGTAAAGCAAAAAGGGTGTTTGGAAGTTGTAAGTTGTCAGCAATTCCTTAAGGCAGCTGCTTCTTTTCCTGGAATCTCACAACTGTAATGCGATCCTGGGAAAAATGTGTTTAAGAAATTGCTGATAGAAGCTTCATGCAAACGTATGTTTTCTCCAAATCATCCCTTGAATCTAAAACATCACCCAATCCTACTGTTTATGTTTATAACAGGATAGTTAGAAGAAAACAAAGAGTTTATTATAATAAGCTTCCTTTCAAATTCTAGACAAAGTTTTTGTAACAATCAAACCAAAGGATTGAAGATTCATAAAGATTATCCAGATTTCATTACTATTGCTTCAACTTCATACTCAGGCCTGTGCCTCAAAGCAATTCTTCAACTCTACATAGTTAATGAGAGATAAAAGAAAGGGAAAAAAAGGGGGGGAGATACTATAGCTGCAGTTTTCAATATATTTTTGTTCTTTCCAGTTTTTCTGTTAGCTTCCATCACCATTTCTCAGACAGTTTCTACTGCAGCGATAAGCAAAAGCACCTCTTGACCTCAGGCACTAACGTTATATAATTTGTGGAATGACACAGGATGACACTGCCTTGTAAAAGTTTGCTTTTCTTTTTAATTCGTATTTATACTGGTATTAATTCCTAAGCTGTCATTTTGCAGTTTGATAAATGTACCATCTGTTATAATCTTTTAATTAAAAAAAAAAAGCCTCTCCAGGGCTTTTTTCATCTTAAAATGCCATCTGAACATTAATAAATCTGAGTGGAATACCGATACTAGATGGGCAATGACAAATGGCTCACATAATAAAACATGTCTTGAAGTAACAACAGGATTAATTAATTTGAGTTGCAATCCTGAGGCTCCTAGACTGGCATCTTGGATTGATTGGATTTCCTTTTCCAATCTCAAAGAAAAACTTTATTTTTGGATGGTAACACTACCTGCTAGATAGTTCCAGTTCTGAATCAGGCAATGGGGCATGTTGGAAGAACTACAGAATGACCAATGTATTTCCAACCTGAGGATCAAATAAGGGCATTCCTGGAGATGTTTAAATTAATTTACTCTTTTTGCAAGAGGAAAGCATGGAGGAAGAACAAAGCATACAGCCTCACTCCATATACATGTCCTCTTGGGATGACCTCAACAGAAAATTAGGTCAACACCAACAGCTTTCATTTCTAATATCACATTCTAAAATTATACTGCTTACAGTAGACAGCCAGTTTGTTATCTCAACATCCTGAATTATAATTTTTACAATTAAATTACTCATTATTGTTCTGGATATACAGTCAGAAAAATTGAAATCAGTCGTTCTGGTCTTATTGACTGTGAAAATGGCCTTTAATATGGAAGTGTTATTACAAATAGAATTACCCTTTTATCTATCATGTCTTATGAGCTTGTCATAGATGCCTTTTTGATTTTAATTTGATTTTGGAACCACGGGTTTGCCTTATTACACAGACATGTTCAGTATAAGAACAAGAGGACTGAATGCAAGCTGTTATTAATGCAGATGACATACTATGTCTTATTGATAATTATACCGTATATTGTACAAAAATTACTTATATTGTACAATGCTGGTAATTTATCAGCTTATTCAATGCACTGGTATACATTTCATATCTCCTATGGGTAGTATGTGTATGAAAATTTGTAAAAAGTAGAGTTCTGCTTGTTGCTTGAATATTTTAAACAACTGGGAATAATAATTCTAAGGAACTTGTAGAAGAGCAGGCAGAGCTGGGGGCAGAGTTAAGCACATCATCAGCTCAGAATCACTGCATTCCCACAAGCACTCTAAGTCCAACCCCTCTTGAATTCCATTGACCCTTATCTGGTGCCAATTTAGAGTGGAACTTTAGTTGACCAGATTAATGCAGGTGCAAAGAATCAGGACCATTCACAAGGTTTCAGCATAGAAGATGGTATTCAAGGCTATACACAAGCCAGCTTTATATGGCTTTATATGGCTTTATACTTAGATCAAATCTAACTTGTATGAGTGAACTTCTGTGCATATTATAGGACTTTTTGCTCTTCCTTACAGTCCTTGGAGGTTTAAAATGTTTACTTAAGGAACCCTGTAGTACCTGTTTGGGAACTTAGAATTAAATAAGACCTCCCAGCTCTTGGATGCAAGAGCTTCTATAAGAGGAGAAACCAGTTGGATAAAAATATCCAATCTACTCTTATTCATGTTTATTATTATTAATGTAAATATGGAAACCATACTGAAGTGAGTAGAGCTTGGTTTTCAATAGAATATATTTTTAATTTTGTGAAATCATATTACTGATATTGTATTAAATTAGAAAGAATATGGCCCACTGTGAGCTTCAGAATCCAGTAGTGTGTATAGAAACTTTATTTCTTATTTCCCTTATATTATACTATGTTCACCCAGATAGTATAATTTAAAATCTACATAAAATTATAATGAAAAATCATAACTATTTCCCAACTTGCTATAATTACAAAAACAAAACCAAGCTTTATATTTAAAGTGGACATTACCTTAAGATATCCTTCACAGTACTGGAAGAATTGTTTTAGCCCAACCTCAGAAATTCTCTTATTTTTATCATGGCAATGATCAAGAGTGAAACATTCAGGGTGGTGTTTTCCTAAACTAATCAACCAATCATCATTCAAGCAGTGGCAATCTTTAAGCTGAATCTTCTTCCCTAGAGAAAAATAACCTAGTTTATTTGGTGCAGGTAGATGTTTATTTATCAACTAAAGACTCTTTACAATATTTCATTTAAAATTAAAATAAAACATTTCTATTAATAGAATAGAATTCTTTATTGGCCAAGTGTGATTGGACATACAAGGAATTTGTCTCCAGTGCATAAGCTCTCAGTGTACATACAAGCAACAAAGTGGTGAACCATAGATCATAAATCATAAGATACAATCATAAATCATAAGATACAAAACAATTGATAAATCATAATATGCCACTTGGAGAAGGTTGTAGGAAATATGAGTAGTGAGAAAGATGAGAAGATGATAAGGATAATAGCAATACAGCCTACTACATGGGTAAATATTTTGGGGCAGAAGACAGTGTTTAGGAAGTATTTAGCAGAGTGATGGCATGGGGGAAGAAACTATCTTTGTGTTTAGTTGTTTTGGCATGGAATGCTCTATAGTGGTGTATTGATGGGAGAAGTTAAAACAGTTTATGTCCATTTATTAATATTCCTCAGCAAGGTTTAGGGCAAAATGTGTGATTTTCTTTTCCTTGGAGATATATTGTAGCAACTGCTCATCACAATCAACCACTACATCTGACAGGCAAATATTTGAAGTTAGATTTTCTCAAACCCCATTTTATATTCCAACCACTATATCTGATACAGTATATCAATAGCATGGAAGAAGATTCGGGATACCAAGAAAGAAAAGCTGCAATGTTAATTGGCTGACATAGGGAAATGCCTGTGTAACTCTAATCAAAGTTTTCATGCTACTCAAGGCTTATTAGTATATTATTTTGACTATTGTACAGCCATCTGGAGAAAGCAAATCCATCTTGGTGTGCTAATGGCATTACATAATGTCATGGGAGTCACATTTTAAGAGTCATCTGCTGAGGCAGTCTCTAATGATAATTATTCATTTACTGAATAAATACTAAAAATCCCAATAAGTGAGGCAGAATAAGCTCTTAGCCTCTTCTAAAGTAGCTCTTTGGATCACAAACTTTATGTACCAAATAAACACTAGGCAATATCAAAGCAAGCAAATTAAATGGTATGAACTAGAACTGAAAAGTACCTCTCCTTTCATTCTAATTTGATTAAATTCTTTGTTATAGAGTAATGAGAAAAAAAAGAAATAACTGTTTTTATTAAAACTGTGTGCAATTTCTTCCAGAGGCAATGTCAACTGTTTGAATATGTGCTGATTCTTAAAAGTGTTTGCATAGCAGAGCTGGCTGATTTCTTCCATTAATGATTCTTCAGATCCAACCTTATATTTTTCCATTATGCCTCACAAATTTATAGTGCTGTCTCATGCATGTTTACACAGGTGCAAACTCTAGAGAATTAGTGAAATTTATTCCACTCTAAGAATACCATATGAAGGATTACAGCTATAAAGTAAATGATCTAATATTTATCACATGCAAACTATTTTGAAAAATATTGTAATAATCTTGAAATATAGACCAGAGTAATAAAAGTGCCACTTGTCCAAATTGAGAACTCAAGGTATTTGTAATTTGCCAGCAGTTGCTATTTATAAATTGGCAGTTATCTAAAGTGAGATAATAACCAAGCTGTCTAGGACAGTGGTTCTCAACCTGTGGGTCGGGACCCCATTTGGGGTCGAACGACCATTTCATGGGGTCGCCAAACAACGCAGTCCGCCATTTTTTCCCCTTTTCCTTAGCTGTGCTACTCCCTTTTATTCTGTTGGCTTTTGAAAGCCAATAGGATAGACTCTCTTGAATAGAGTCTAATTCTATTGGCTTTCAAAAGCCAATAGGAATTGTCCAGGCTGTCTCTGCCCTGCTGAGCCCGCCAAAAGTCCCATTTTGCAAATGGTGCTGCACCAGTTGAGTAATCTTCGACTTACGACCGGTTGAGTAGTCCTCGACTTATGACCGGTTGGGGGTCGTGGTATTAAAAAGGTTGAGAACTACTGGTCTAGGACAAGCAGTGTACAAGACTAAAGAACAAATCAGAATCAGAAGTTAGAAGCTAAAAGGCAGGAATGAGAAAGAAACTGTAAGTCACAGCAATGGCCACGATTTGAGAAAAACCATAAACCTCAGAGGGGCCTTGTTATTCAAACAAGGCTCAACTTGAACAGGAAGTGTCTTGCAATGCTTTCCAGGAGGATCCAGTACGGATAGTCCTCAACTTACAACCCCAATTGGGACTAGAATTTCTGTTGCTAAGCAATGCAGTTTAAAGGAGATGCCATGTATCACATTCACTTAGTGATCACAATTTTGGCAATCCCCATTGCTGTCATTAAGTGAAGGTTACCAATTGTTAGCCAAGGACCCAAACCAAGCCATTCTGCTATTGGTCCCTCCCAGCTCCGAGCATCAGTAAGGTAAAGGATTCCCCACCCACCCATCTGTCTTCCCCCCATTTTCTGCCTTTTGGGCTGCCCTGCACCCTGCCTTGAAGAACATCAAGCAGCCCCCAAACCGTGCAGTTCTGTGGCTGCTTGACATGACCCGGGAAGCTGCAACTGCCCCAGTTTGACATAGTAAAAAAGAATAAGAGGTTCATTTCATATATTTGATTTTCAGAAGTCCCAAAGGAGCCTTGAACTTTGCTCTTTCTTGCTAGGACAGAAGTCTCGAGCCCAACCCAAGAAAGGCATCCACAATGCAGCCAGGCCAGCTCACCACACTTTATTTATAACTGAAGTTCAGGTAATCCTCATTTAACAATGGTAATAGGACCAACAACTCCGTCAATACATGACCATGCTGACTTACGATGGCCGTTGCAGCAGTTCCAATTGCCATTGTTAAGAAAATTCTATGTGGTCATAGCATCCCATGGTTATTGGTCAACGGGGACTAACTGCAATACTTATCACCATCTAAACATATTACTCTTGAATCTAATGTCTTTAAAGCTTAACTTTATTTTATCCTTGTTCTAGAGCTGGGTGGAACTTCACTATAAACTCTAGAAGTCTCAGTAACTCTTTTCTTACTCTATTTCTCACATCAACCTACCTTGTGTATATTCATATTTCTCTAAACTACTTAATTTAAATACAGAAGAGAACAATTAGCTTGGCTCAAAGAGAATAAATTACAAAATAACAGAGAACTAGCTGAGTTTGTTTTCTACCGTGAACAATAAATATACCCACTTAAGGTAAAACACCATTATGGCTAATAATTTTTAAAGAAAAACCATCTCCAAAATATAAAGCTTTCATACTGTAACTTGATATCTCTTTGCATATAAGATGTTAGATATGGTGGTAGAGTTTTGCTTGGTATAAAGTACTCAAAGCTCAAATGTTCTTGCAGAGCACAAACACCTGATAATGTTATGCAAGAAAATTGTTACTAACTTGATCTTTAACTTTTTCTAAATAAGCCTACTCAACCCATTCCCCCTCCCACTCCCCAACACACAAATAAACTTTTTTTTTTTTAAAAAAAAAAAGATGCTTGGAGGCAGATGTTATCTGCAGACTGCTTTGGAAGTCTACATTTTTAACTATTTATTATTACACTTCTGGGAAAAAGAATGTTCACTTATGCAAATATCAGGTTTTTTTTTTTACTTATGCCAATTATATTATTGATTATTGTCTTTCAGCAAAGTATTTCAGCCACTTTTTTTAGAGATGGGTGGAGTGTTACGATGCAAAGATCATGCACCTTACAAAAGCAAGCCTAAAATATATACACATCCTATGCAACATTTACACATTACTGAAAGACAGATCTTGGCTGCATCTAATTGGCTGCCTTTCTTTACTCAAGGCACCAAGTGTTTGCTTTGGAATTCAGTGTGGGAACTAACACAAGCCTAGAGCTATTGACATGAAGCAAATGACCTTCAATTTGTTTTCTTCTATAGCAACTATCCAAAGCATTTTCCATTTCTTAGAAGTTTGTCAGCAGCACCAAATCCTGTGTTGCACACCTCAGTTTTCTCTAATAATATCTAAGACAGATAATTCATATAGCAACAGATGTCTGGAACTATCATGAAACAGGAATGTTTTCTCACGTGGTGAACATTTTTTTAAAAAAAACCAAAGTATTGGAAAGCTACCTAGCACAATGCAGAAAATTCTGCAATTTAAATCTGAAATGAACCACAACTTTTCCTACAAGGCATAATTTCAGGGGGAAAAAACCAATTGTAATTTAATGAGATATAGCTTACAGCAACAAAAAGAAATTTTGTTCAACATTGGAAGAAAGACACAACTTTGACTACATCTGACTGGGAACTTAAACTTGGAAAATACACAATGATGGCAAAACTAGCAGTATATGTACACAACAGAAGTTTAATTAAATGTAAGCAAGAATTGTTCCTATACATATAATGCATGGCAAATATAATCACTTACATTCTGGCTTCTAAGGGGGGCTAAATATCTACAAATATTGCAAATCAGCAGATGTCTATAAAGGAGGGACCCTAACAGTTCTTTTTATTATGTTCCTTTTTCTTCCTTTTGTTTAGTAATTAATTCTCATTAAATGTGCTTTATCTTTTCCTTTTATTAGTAGGTAATACATAAGCACACACTAAGCAACAATACAAAGGGGACTTTAATGAGTAATCTAATTAAGATTAAAACCTTACAACAATTACTTTTATATGAGTTGTAATGTTTTTCAATGTTATGCTCAATTTTGGACGAAAAAGCTAAACAATTTTATGCGTACAATGTTGCTATTAAATAAAATGGAATTTAAATGGAATTTTTTTCTTTCTCTTTTCTATTCTCAATATTGTAAGCTATTTAAATAATAAAATGTTAATAATTTTAAACATATTATACAAACATCAAAGTATGGAAACAACATAATTTATGTACTAAAATTTATAACATAATGGAAAATGGGGGAAATATCTAGTTTGTCAGGTCATCCAGTATATTCCTAACTATTTTTTAAAAATTGAATCCTCCCCCCCCCCTCTCTCTCACACACACACTCACACACACACACACACACACACACACACACAGCCATGCTCTGAATCAGCCTTATTTACCTTTTGCAGGGTTGGGTTGGCTGTATTATATAACTATGTATGAGTCATATCACGAGAAAGTCTATTGACAACATCCTAGTTTAACAAATAGATTGACAGGAGCCAGCTCATGCCAGGCTTGGCAGATATTGATATGATTAATGCTGCCATACAGTATATAGATTGCAAAATTCAGATACCCACTAAATGGCAACAAAAAGGTACAGAAATGTATGACTGCTTGCTATCGCCAAATGGTTATCCGAAATGCAGGCCTAATTTGGTAGTCATGATTATATTTACTATTACTATTGTTACTACATTGCTCCTCACATAAATGCTACTAAGATAAATATTGCTAATGCATAGGTGATCAGAAATCTCTTTTGCCTATAGTCATCAGTATGTCTATCTATATAATATTAAGGTGACCAACTTTTTTACAATAAAAAGGAGGACACAAATAAATTGAAGAAAAAAATATTGTAAATAAAAGAAACATTTTATTCATTGCAACAATAATACAGACAACTTGCATGTGCAAAGTTTGCCAGCCGGGTGTTTTGGCGCGCTCAGCAGCAATTCCTATTGGCTTTCGAAAGCCAATAGTGGGAGTAGCACAGCTCATGCAAAAGTTGAAAAAAAAAACATCCAAAAAAGGTGCAGGAACGCCGTTCTGAGTGTTCTATGAGGGGGAAAAAAAGCCCTGCAGAAAAGGAGGACACGAAGGAGGACACTTTTTGACTGAGGACAGAACTTACAAAAGGAGGACTGTCCTCCCTAAAGGAGAACGGTTGGTCACCTTAATAATATAAGATTCATCTGCCAAACTTTTAGGAAAAAGAAAAAGGCATTTCATTCTTTACCTCAGGCACAAAATGTCATGAGACAGCACAAAAGAGAGAAGTTAAATCCTTACTCCTACCAGCTAACTTTCATCATTTTTTTCCTGAATATGTTTCCACATACATGCAGTTCTGCCATTAGAATTAATACCTAAAGCCTGCTTACCATGACATAGAGAGGAATAGTGCATAGCTTATTATGAATCTCCCAGCTACTATCAGTCTCATCCTGTTTCAAAAGGATTGTTTTGCAGTACAGATGTGCAACCCAGGAATAGTGAAATGATGCTCTGTTGCTGCATTCTAAAGATTATGTTCAAGCCAAGTTCAAACCCTGATGATTACATTTGTGATATTAAGTCTCCATGGCTCATCCCAGTTACTCATCTGTACAAGTCGTGGCCCAAAGGGGTGAACCACACAACTTTATACACAGGATTAGCCGTCCTCCTGTTAATCCTGACTGAGCATTTCCTTGAAATTTACTATTTTGCACTGAGAAAAAAACATTCTGCCTTTAAAAATATGCAAAAAACTTTTGGTGAAATTCAGTACTACAATTTTTAAAAATTACAAGCATGCTTTTACTAGATGATAACCAGACAAAAGGGAAGCAAAGTATGTTTACAGCATGCACAGGTAATGTAAACAAGAAATACAAAAACAGAACTACAATGTAAAAGATTCCCAATAACAGCATAAATATGCAAACAAACAAATATGTAACTTATTTTAATTTGATGTCAGGGCATGAAAGCTTTGCTCTTGTTGTCCCAACTAAATATAAATGTACATATTTAAAACTATGAGATTTTAAAATGACCATACAGGACTTTTATATTACTCCAACCTTTTAATGTTTATTCATTTTAATGTACTTACAAAAGGACTTATCTCCAGCTAGTTGATAAAAGTGATGACAGACCTGGGAAATCCGAGAAATATCTTTATGAGTCAGCAGGGAAAAGATACAAAGCCACAATTCATCAGGAAGCAGCAGCCATGGTGTGAGACTGAAGTCACTTTTCTAAAACAAAACAAAACAAGAAAGCATTTGAATCCCAAAACAACAGTAACAAGCATGCAAGTCAGCCCAATACTGAATGAATGAGACAGATGTGATCAAGGCAGTAGCAGATCAAGCTTTATGATTCAATTCACAAATTGTATTTGTGTACTTTGCTCTCATCTGGAAGATACCTGTAACTATTTTTTTTCTTTTAACAGGCTGAATGCCTCAAAAATTTTGAATGCTTAAACTAAATTATCACTGTATTTCTATAAAACAACTTCAAACAAAAGGCTATAGAATGGAACATAATTGCTATATACACACATGTAACTTACTGTGCATGTTCATGAAACTGAAAGTTAGACCACCATTGCACATGAATCATTTAACATAAAAAGTTAAATTTGTTTGCAATTTTAATGGGCAAAAGCAAACAATCATAACTTAGAAAAATGTGTACAAGCAAAGCTAATATAATCATTGCTTATAAGTACTAGACAAATTGTGATTGAGTAGTCAATGATTTATTGTGTTGTGCGACTGCCAGTAGTCAAGTTAATTTAGCAAACTAAGATTCGATTAAACATAGATTAGCATGTTGCAGAAAGAGAGTCATAGTCATGATCTCCATTTTTTCTTACATACAATACAGTTATGGGACACAAAACCATACAATAGAGAGCAACCATGATGAGGATGGGTATTTTTAAAAGATTATTTTAATTAAAAGATTTGAAGGGAAGATAACATGCTGCAAAGCAGAGCTCAGCTGTATTTTCTACGCTGGCATTCTTAGAAAACGAACTTGTGGTGGCTCTAACCTATGGCTATTAGTGAATGTATATAGATAGTCCTCGATCTACAACTATAAGGAAGCCTGCCCGTTATGGTTGCAGCAAGTCATGGCAGTCATAAAGCAGATCATCATGTGACCAAAAATGGTTTTTAGTACCTTTTTTGCGGCAGTCCTTAAACAGATGCCACAATCAAAGTGTTTTCTATGGGATGTTTTTGAAAAACAGAAGTAAATGCTGGTCATGTGACGATGGGACACTCCAAATAGCCATAAATGCAGGCCATTTATTTAAATCAGATGCTCCTCTTCAAAGCTAGCAGATTAATATACCAGCCGGACATAGAGTCTCAGTGTATCAATACTGATAACATCAGCCTAAGCTTACAAAAAAGTCAAGGAAGCAATTACTGACCAGCCATTTGAGACAGTTTCTATGGTCTGCTTATGAAAAGTTGGAAGTGAGTGAACAACTACATCTATATTGAAAGGATTGTTACAATTAAATGGGAAGCCTACAATACAGAAACTTGTTTTGAACACGTGCATTTCCATACAACAAATTAGATTTAAAAGCTCAACAAGAATGTTGCTTAAGCAATGATTATTACAAGCAGCAGAGAAGGCCTGAAGAACTTATACCATACGGTGATATTTCTATTGCAGTAATCCTTAAGAACTGTCCAAACTGATAACACAACCATCATCAATTCTATCCTACAGACCCAGAAAACTACCCGTATTTCAAAATCAGCCAATTTCAAAAGTCCCTCTGGTGAAGGGAAAACACCAATTTCCTGGTAAGCAAACTATAACTCCTGACTGTATTGACCTGCAAACTCAGGGCTGGCTTAGTTTAAAGGCTGTTTTGCCAAAAAGGGCAGGGCTGGTGCGTGGGGGTAGGGGGTAATTGGAGGAAAAGGTGGAGAAGTCAACAGATACCAGAGCAGGACAACGAAGAAAAGACTGCAGAGAAAGTGCTGGAAATTCCCTTATCATGGCCTCTATAAACATACTCTCCCATCTGTCTATGCTGCCTGATTGGGACCCAGATCATTTGTCAGGCACTATAGCAATTCTATATGTAAAGAAATTTAAAAGTCAGAGCCTTCACAAGAAGTCATTGCCTGTTTGTGTAGCTGGGGCACCCTCTGTGTCTGCTGGCGTGAAGGGTATCAATCCTCAAACTATTGCTGCCTGTCCCATTTGATATCTCCCTTGATTTGTATATTTTATGTTTGAGAAATTTTCTTTTGCATGCTTGGACTGCTGACACTGTTTCGTTTTCAGTTCCTGAGCCTGAATGCTTAAGGGTATGGGAAGAATAAACTGCAGCAGGTTTTCTAGATCTTTGGAGTCCAATGTTTGCTGCTACTCATGAATCAGCTCTCTAACTACAGGGAACTTTGCCACAGTCCTTTTAAAAAGTGTTTTTTATATATTGTGTCTAATTATGATTATGCAGGTTCAAAAATAATTCTGAAATATTTCAGATTTCTCATGAGCATAGTATCTCACTTCTATTAAAGCAGTCCATCTTTTGGGTTTGGGGAGGGGATTTTTCTTGTAAAATTTAAAAAACTTTCAATAAAAAAAAGCAGTCCATCTTTTTTCATACTTCTGCACAAGCCTGAAAAAAAATGTGGCGGCTTTAAGAATTGTATTAATTGTAATAAGTCAGTTCCTTAAAATAACTACAAAGTTTTTAGCTCACACAGAAGATTGGAAAAGGTTTGATTTATAACATTATCAAAGCTCTATTTCTAAACCTTAACTACATAATGGTATACATACATTCTCCAAATGTTTCTGGTGCTACTGTTGTAATATATAACTTAGAAGACAACATATGCTTACCATGTTTAATTTGTTATAACCTTGAGGAGTGTTTTCATACTGTAGCCTACGTTGTGTCCCTAGAAAAGAAATACGAACTTTGAATTTCCCAAATATGCAGTTATTTGGGACAACACAGCAGGCTTTACAGAATCATTAGCCTTTAATATGTTGACAATATTCATTGAAATACCACTGTAGCTCAACATACACTCATCTTGTGTCACACAATTTGAAATTTCATTGGCTCATACCAATTTCCTTTCATTGTAACTCAAGTTGCAGTTATTGCACTAAAATATTAAAGTAGTGAGGCTATAATCTTTTTTACAATAGTATATTGGAGTCATTTGCTTGGCAGATGCGAGAATGGAAAAATAATATATTTTGACATACTGAATGCTACAGTAATCATAGCTGGGGCAACGGCGCAGGTGCCCACAGAGAGGGCTCTGAGTGCCACCTCTGGCACGCATGTCATAGGTTCGCCACCACTGTCCTAGGGGGACACTGAAGGTATAATACAAGATTTTCTATTTCAGCAAAGGTATATGAAATTTTCTCAAAGGAAAAAAAGGATTAGTTTACAGATCTGAGAGAGCTCAGGAAGCATCAAAGTCATGAATGCGCTGGTCTCTGGGCTGATATTGGATATACCACAAAAAGATCTGGAAATTTTCAAAAGATTCCAAAAAGAATCGAATTAAACCTCCCACTTTTCATTTTATTCAACTGTTTCCCAGAGTGGTTGATTCTTGTTTTAATTAAAACACTCTGCACTGATACGTTCCTTATGAAAACATGCTAAACCCAGGATTTAAAAAGCTACTTTAGATACATAAGTGGACAATCCCTGCTCTGCCCCATACAGTTAGGTTAATTTTACTATTAAAACTACTAGCGAAAACATCTGTTAGAAAAACAACATTTTCAATATGTTTTATTTCTCATGAACTTAATTATAGTGGCAGTGAGTACCTGTTGAAAGTCCTGAAGGATTGGGGACAGATTATCTTGGATCAAGGAAAAGAAAGAAAAGTGAACAGAGTTTTTGACAACAAGGATGTCACTTTAAATTCTACAAACCTGAAGATGGACGGCTCTCGGAGTTATAACTGCTCTTCCTTATTAACTTCTTGCCTGTTGCAGGTCTTTGGACATGTGATCTACTGCAAAGAAAAACATAGTGCAACATTAATGAAAACAATTACATAAGATGTCCTGTGGAACAATAGCTAGAAGGGGCGTTGTCTTACCTGAACACCTTTTCTCAGCATGATGATAGAGAATATGTGATTTACATATACAGTTCAACTCTTTCTCAGCCTCAAAATAAATAACAACTGGGCCAGTTGTTACTTATCCATTCCAAACTTCTCTTCGTGATTTGAACAAGAAAAAATATACAGGTAGCAGGAGCAAACTGGGGAGTAGTATTGAACCAAATTTACCCTGCTTACATAGCTTACTTTAGCTTCTGTTATTTTGCATTTTTTAAGGGGAAAGGCAGCCACCAGTACTAATCCTCTGCTGTGATAAACAGATTGTTACACTTGTTGGAGGATCAAACATAAATCTACCCATAAATAAAAGACAGATTTTCTCAAACAGAAAGAAGATGAAGAAATTTAAAAATCAAAATAAGAAATAAGCAATTAACGTTGTTTTGCTTTTGTGCTTTTGAGTCAGTTTTGACTTCTGATGACTGCCTGGACTAGTCCCTGAAGTTTTCTTGGAAAAGTTTTTGCAAGTGGTTTGCCATTTCCTTCTTCCTAGGGCAGAGTGTGACCAGAGCAAGGTGACCCAGTTGGTTTTGTGCCTCACGTACCTCCGGAGTTTTAGCCTAACACTTAACCATTATACCAAATAGGCTCTCTAACTTTAGTCTTAAAAAGTACAAAGTTCACTATTCTCATGAAATTCATGCACTTTAGTGATACAAAGTCTATGTCAAAAACTATTACTTTTATTTAAATTATACTCATGCATGCATTTCAATGTTATTCCCTTTACAGTAAGCAAAACTATGCAAAGCACAGAAGAGAGTAAAAAGTGTTGAGAAAAAGAAACCGGAGCCAATAAAAGATAATCTAACTAAATCAACTTTATACTAACAAGATTTACCCTAATTCTGTGTACTTTCTACTACTGCACCCTATCTTTGCTTTCATATATGAATACACTAAAGATATTACTATAGAAATTTACACATAGGTGTACAATGTTATTTATACTAGACTCAATATAATCCATCTCAAATTAGTATTTCATAGTTAAATGGAAATAGTTATGCAGGGAAAACATTAACATAGGAAACCAGTATTCTCTTTAAAATAGTAAAAGATTATTCAGGACTGACATATACCGGTGTGATTGTAAAATAATAGTGTTGATATCATGAGATATTTATAAAGTATAAAGCAATCTGCAGGGAACCATTATAAATTCTGAGTTAAAAAATGAAACCCAAATCACAGGGGAGGTAGGCCTTTTGTAAATGCACTGCTTTGTTCACACAGTTGTACTAAATATTAAATAAGCAAACCTTGGCTTCAGTTTTCTCTGTGTGTAAGATGAGCACGAAATGCTGGCTCTTTCCCAATGTTTCTTAGAACTAGCCTGTTTGGGGCTTGATTTCCTGCTTTCAAAAACGTCCTGGTCTATAAAAGATAATCCACAGAATATAGTTACAGTCACAGTTAATTGCAATATTCAGTTAAAGGAGCTCCAGGGAATGACATAAATATCTAAAACACATCCTTGGCATTCATAAGACATATTAGGAGACTATAATGAGTCCAAACCCAGAAAAAATACACGGAATCTGATTGGATTTCCCAATTTAATTACATTTGGATATAGAAGGGGAATTCTGAATATCAGCTGTGGAAATGTTGGTTTCAGTGGCCACAGAGGTGCTGGTTCAAATTACAACTTCTCTGCATCCTGCTTTCAGCTGAGAAGGAAGGGGAGAGAGATTGCCAGTAATTAATCAAATATATAAGAGAAGAATAAGCTTATTCCCAGAGGCATCCACAGAAACTAATGCCTTTGTCAAAATGATGGTAGTGGAATTGCACCATTGTGCTGGAAACATTGCCCTTTTCATATGTGAATGTGACATCACACAAAGATACATGCAGGGAGTTTGCAGCACAACTGCAAGACTTTACTTTTTTCATTTGCCCTCACCCAGTAATGCCTGCACCACTACAGCAATGTCAACAATGTCACTTGTGCAAAGACCAGTTCCAGCCTTTGATTTACTAAATCACTATGAAGTGGATTGTCCTTGTTGCTAGAACCAAACAATCCTACCTTAGTTGGGAGCAATCTCCTTATGGTTTATGTAAAATGTACTTTGGAGGTTTATCCCATTTGTGAAGAGCAATGAAACTAAGAGCATACACACTAGTAGCAGCTTCTTCATGACCCAATCTTAAAGAAATCAATGCTGTACCAAGAACTGGCCATATTGTGAGATCAGAACACAGAAAATACTTTGAATACATAAAAAGTCTCAAATGGAAAGTATGTTTATTCATAATTTCATGTATTTCTAAGTCTATTCTAAAAAATACCAAAATTTATTAGTAAATAATAAAAATGAAGATAAAAATTAGGGGGCTCTGAAAACAACTGGCCCTAGAGTAGGAAGTTGAGATGCAGTTGCAAATGCATGGACAAGTTTTTTTAAACTGAGTAGCACTTTAACACTTCCTTCCTCTTCCAGAACTAGGATTTTCATGAAAGAGCCACTGCTATCACATACAAAGATTTCTGGAGAAAGGATTTATTTCTTATCACTCTCTCACCATAGCACATATTAGTTCAAAACACTTATGTTCTCTTTCATTATGGTGGTGGACAGGACATGTGGGAATCTAGAAGTTCCCACCGTCATTAGCGCATCACATAGCACTCCAAGGGATTTGTAGAGCCTGCAAGTTATTTTTCCCTCTCCTTAATACATGGAAGATAAATTTAAATTCTTCCTGAGCGATTGACATAAACCCTACAATTATGGTATTAAATATGAAATCCTATAAATCCTGTTGTTTTCAAACGAGTTTATGGCTAATACCCTTCCTAGATTATGTCATTTAATCTGAGCCACTGCCATACCATGGAGTCATAATTTTAAATTCTCAATAAAGTAGGACAAGAATAAAATAACCTTTCTTTTAAATATAAAAGCTTTCACTATATTTTGTGTTTGTGACAAAGTAACATGGGACAGTAATTAGATGTCCTCCAAATAGTTTTGATTTCACCTGCTAACAATCACACCCAAAATGGCTAACATAAGACATTCTGGAAACTATAGTTTAAACCAGGGGTCTTCAAACTTGGCCCTTTTATGACTTGTGGACTTCAACTCCCAGAATTCCTCAGCCAGAGAGGAAGAGAGTCATAAAAGGGCCAAATTTGAAGACCTCTGGTTTAAAACATCAAGTTTCCTGATCTTGCAAGACATTTTAAAACAATTGTACATCTGACTAACTAGAAAACAACAGTCCAATTTTACCTTTAAAACTGCCTGTTCTCTCCATTTGTTTGAGGCTGCTATTTGCAGACTGGGGCTTCAACACCTGATCTTTGAAATGATTTTGCTGTTTGATGATCTCAGTCTTTTTATTGCCTTCAGAAGTTCCCAGATCATTGATCATATTTTCATCTGTCTGCTCCTCATACATGCTATTATTCTTACAGTAACAGGGTCCAGTATCGTAGGTTTCTTTGGAAAAATCATGTTCTTGACAAAAAAAGAACCGATGGGCATTTTCACCTTGAAATCTTTTGGACTCATTGAGATAGTTCAAATAAAAATAATATTTAGCCAAAATGCCATCACTATGGCTGAAATCTAATGGGAATGTATTGCTGCAAAGTGGTTTCTCATGACCATCCCCTTTAATAGTTGCAGTGAGGAATTCTTTAGCACCAAATGCTGATTTGAGGCCAATTGCAGAAATATTATGATTTACAGAGCTTTGCTCATTTTTGGAGACGATACAAGGCTTATGGACTACCTGGTCATCCCTGATCTGGTGAGGCCTAGCTAGCAAAATGCAGTCACTATTGCTCTTATTCATGCTTTTGTGATTCAAAGAGTCTGAGTCCTCTTTATAAGTATTATTTACTTTATAAGCATTATTTTCTGAAGGCTTCAGTAATGAACTCTCCGAACTGCTCTTAATTTGCATAACTGAATATTCCAATGGAGATATCAATTCTGCATCTTTTTGATATGTATCACAACTATTTTTGTTAAAATTGACTTCCTGTTTATTTTTCCTCCCTTTAAAGATCTTGTCCATTTCCAGCGTTTGCTGTAATTTAGATTCGTTTCTCTGGTCTGAGGCTCTCTCTAGAGGTGGAATACCTGATACCTGATCCCTCAGCATATCTTTTTCTACTGTAGACTTGAAATGAAAATGGATATTTCCATTTGTAGACTTTTCATGGTTGCTTTTTATGGAATTCCGTCTTCCACTAAAATCTTCATATTTTGGAGTCTGGGTAAAACTCTTGCATTTATATTCTCGAATATCCAAGGTTTCCATTCCTGAATTCCATTCTTCGTAGCTGTCAAGCATTATTTTGAAGGTAAATTCATCTTCCGGCATTGATGAATTGAAATATTTCATAATAGTTGGATTGTCAAAGTTAGCACTTTTATAATTTTTGCTGTCCATAGTTGTCCACTTTAAATTATTTTCTGTCATATTTGTCCACTCTTCATCCGAACTGTCACTGAGTGGAGCCCAAAAATAGTTTTCATTTTTATGTTTGGCTGGCTGGATGGAATCTGAAATAAAGCTTGCAGGACATGATGTATTATTAGTTACCAAAGTCCCAGGAGTTTCTTGTTCAAAATTCTCTGAATTATTTTCAAAGGCTACAGAGCTTTTTAAAATATTTGCATATAACAGCTTTGGATCAAAAGTGTCAGGCTTTTTATTTATGCTATCTTTGCTCCTGTTACTTTGAACCATCTTTTTTAATATGCAGTGATCCCAGACAGGTTGATTACTTTCCTGAATGCTATCCCCAATGGGAGACTGATCAAGAAACAATTCTGTCCAATTTACATGTTTGAGTTTTTGAATCTCAGGGATGCTACATTCCCTATGTAGTTCATTATCTGATTCTGAAATACATATATTCTTTAAGCATTTTCTTTCGGCAAGACCAGCTGTAGCTCTTGCTGTTTCTTCCTTTCTTAGAGAGGTCACTTCAGAGAGATTCCCAATAGTTGAAGGCTTTTTTCCATTTACTGTTTCATTGGGTTCTTCAAAGCCCATCTTAGTATCAATTGTAAAATTCAACGAACAACTTCTAGACTGTATGGAATTGTTATTATCTGCTGAATAAGGCACTATTTTTCCATAGCAAGATATAGGAATAAATGATACAGAGATTTCAGGAACAGTATCACCAACAGATGGGTATAGTATATTCTGAGACGGATATTCCATCTGTAGAAATAAAAAAAATGCACATTAAAGCTGTTTTATCTGAAGATGAAAACTATTGCTGAGCCTAAACAGTTAAACATTGGAGCTCTCAAATCTTGTCTCCCATAAATCCTTTGAGTTTACATACCCTGGCCTACCTTGTTACCTTAGTAGCTGCTACATAGTTATTGCTACTATTACTTCTCTTCCAAAGAATGCTTTTGCCTGGCATCCTATCCCTACAACTGGGGTATAAGACAGAAAAAAAAACCACACACACTAGATGCTTTATCAGCAAATAAGGGGAAAAAAGGAAATAATGAATTTAATTCTCCTTGGAAGTTAGATTGATGTAAGTTATCATTAAAATCACACTATTAAGAAAAGGAAGCAAAAATTTATTATTTATTTTAGGTAGTCACAAACAATCAATGTTTCAGGAAATTAAAACAAAAAAAAATCAGTGCTCTTAAATCCACAAATAGTACTTAAAGGAATCTGTTATAAAAAAAACTATAAAGGAGAAGATAATCTCCTGATAAATCACAAGTTGAACTGCTTGTCAGAGATCTCAAGAAGCATCAAACATACAACAGCTGAGCTTGCACAGTTCCTTTTTGATTCAGCTTTACTTGGGCTTAATTTTTGATTTTCTGGAAAGTCCAAGCTAAATTCAGCAGCTGAAGAAAAATTTCAACCTTTTGCTTCCCTTCATTCACAAAATAGCATACCTATTTTTCTCCCATAGAAATATTTCCTGCCATTTCATGCAAAGACAAGCAAATATCTCTCCCTAGGAGTGAAGAAGTTGAAGATTTGACTCAGTATCGTATATGACAAACTACATGTCACCTCAATGTTGGCAGAAACTCAAGAGTGCCTGTCATTTACACTAGTTAGTATCTGAGAGAGAGGTAAATGACAGAACATGTCACACTGTGATGTAAAGTTCACTGATTTTGTACATGTGTTGTGACATTGCACACAAACACCTAAGGATCACAACTTGTGCTGTAATGTCAAGATACACTTTTATTGTGTTGAAGAAACCTCCAGATTCTGCAGATCCCTATGGCTGTGAAATCCATGAATATGGGACTGAGGGCTTGCTTGCACATTCACAACAGGTATAGATACCAATATTTCACATAATTATATTTGGTTCAAACTAATAAGGCTGCACCTCTCAGAAGATAGCAAAAAATGCTCTGTTATAATCTCTGCAAAATACCATAAATCCTCATCTTATTTACATAAAACAATGAAGTCCATCTTCCTGAACCAATGGACACATATGGAATAAGTATTTTCAGAGCTCTTACAAAACAATGTAAGTGGATATGGCCAGTTATGCATTTTGAAAAAGTGGAATGGAGAAACATGCCTAACAGCAAACTGAGGTCAAGTCTTCAAAAATCATTCAAAATAATTTAGTCAACAAGTGCAGGACACAGATTTCTAATCACAAAGTTGCTGAAACAAAGTACAACAAAATATAACATTTAAATTGCTCAGTTAGTGGTTTTTTTTTTTTTTTTTTTTTTTGAGAAACAGGACTTATAAATGACCAAGCAATAGCCAAGCTGGCTGAGGATTAAAAGAACAAAAATCTAGCTAGAAGCATCTATAGAAGAACAAATAAAGACAGCAGTCACACCTGTGTGATTAAAACTTCACCGTTTTTTTGGGGGTGGCACATCTGACTGAATCAATAGAACACCCTGTTATCACACATGAAATGAGTTCGCCATCATTCAACAAGCCAGAACCAATGGTATCTGAACAAGCCCTGATGACACAAAAATGACAAGCATGTGAAGATATCATGAAGCAAATATTGAACTTACATACATGCACCCGTCCTCCTTTCTACTCCTTTTCCACCCACAGCTGTAGAGGCAGGATAGGGATAAGCAGTGGAAAAGGCACGTTTTCTGCCCTGTTCTCTGTCAGCCCCTATATTGGCCGATAGTGCTGGAGGTTGAAACATTCAGGATGCACATATGAATATTCCTGAGATCAGGATCCTGACTTGAGCAATCTGTAGATTTTATAACTACTGATTCGGGACAGACCATAAAGCATACTAATTCTAACCTTGCTGATTTTAAGTCTCCAGTTTACAGGAGGGAGAAAACATCTTATGAAGCGCCCAAGTCTTATTTCTCAGAGTCACAGAGAATGTGATAACAAAGCATTCTTATGTCATGCCAGCTCCTTCTAAGTTACCAGGAAAAAAATGGATGGATAAAGCTTATGAAGTCAGTTTGATCTAGAGCCAGCTTGGTCAAGAGGTTAAGTCACCTAGCAAGAAAGCAGGAGACCATGAGTTCAAGTCCTGCCTTAGCCATGAAAGCCAGTCGGGTGGGTTTGGGCCAGTCACTCTTTCTCAGTCCAACCCATCTCACAGGACTGATGTTGTGAGGAAAATAGGAAGGTGTGTTGGATATGTTCACAGCCCTGAGTTGTTGTTTTTGTTGTTTTAAAAAAGGGGGTTATAAATAAAATGTCTCTCTGGAAAATTTGGCAACCTAGTTCGGATTTCGGCCTGACAACCTCAACAAACCCTCTCTCCAACCATGAGCCTGGGCTACGAGTAGTAAAACCCACCTCCTCCATCGGCAGCATGCTCCTAACCAGGCTCCAAAAGCAAAGGAAACTGCAAGCCTCCCTTGCGCGGATTGGTTGCAGTTTTCGCGGCGCCCTCAAGAAGACTACACAGGTTGGGCCGACCTCTCTCTCTCACACACACTCTCTCTCTCTCTCCTTTGGAAGAAAAAGGTAAAGAAGAGGCGCCAAAACTGAAGGAGCCGCTGGGAAGTTTTCTCTAACACCAACCGTGGGAAATGTGTACTCCGCCATCCCCGTGGCAACCGCCGAGGGTGGAGCCAGTCGCCGAGGGAAAAGGGTGGAGATGCCGGCTCCCTTCTCCATTGCTGAGAGCGTCTGAACCGGGTCTCCGTTTCCGCCCGCCTTTTCCCTCGTCCTCTTTCTCCTTCGAAGACTGCTAAATGCCCTAGAACGGCGGTTGTAATTCAACACCACATAACCAGTCCCGATATACCTGACTTTTATCCTAAGTAATGACAACAGTAAGCGTATCAGATGAATTTTGAGCGTGTGTTTTTCAATAGGCTTTCGGCTGCCGCCTGTATCTCCTTATCCTTTTTTCCAAGTCCTGGAAACCTTCAAAATAAATAGGCTTCCAGCTGCTACACTACAGGGACAAGCCAAACTTTCCTTGCGTGAGCACACAGTTGCACTAGGGGGCGCTGTCGGATTCAGAGAAAGAAAAAGACCTATTTTTCTGTCCGCGGGAAAGTTCTGAAGGAATTGCACCGTGTTCTCCCTCACGCGCTTCCTGCGTAAGCTTGGCTCTGAATGGCGGAACACACGCAGTTTGCGCACAGAAGGTTCCCTGCACCTTCTTCCAAAGGAGAGAGAGAGAGAGAGAGAGAGAGAGAGAGAGAGACACACACACACACACCGACTTCATCATAACCTGCTGCTTCTTTCTCTCTAATTCTCCTCCCCCTCCCCCCCCCCGTTGACTTGTTGCTGCCCCAGAATGATAATGACATGATGCCATTTGGAGATTCTAGGGAAATGATTGGAGATTTTATTGATTAAAAGTAGGCTGCATCAACTGTCATCAAATAAATTTAATGCCAGGTGTAAGGCTATATAAAAATGTATTGCCTGATGTATTTGGCTGCCTGGTTATCAAGATAAGGACAGCAAAATGGTCCCTCTGGGTTTCCTTTTTTATTTACTAAAATTAGGCCAAAATAGGAGATGGAGGTTGAGGAATGCTTGATTAGCCCATCCTAAAGGCACTACTGTTCCCTGTCATCTCTGCATAGAAGAAACAAGCAAGTAAAACAAACACTTCATTCTCATGTCCTCTTTAATGGATTAAAAAGATCCCATAATGCGTCTTTTCCTTTGTTTCCAATTAAAGTTGTCCTTAGCTATTCCAGATTTAAATTAGAATACAGGTAGTCTTCAATTTACAACCATTCATTTAGCAACTAATCGAAGTTACAACACACTGAAAAAAGTGAGTTTGACCATTTTTCACACTTATGACTGTTGCAGCATCATGTGGTATACATTCAAATGCTTGACAACTGACTCATATGTATGTCCCTCCTGGCCAAGCCCCCCCCATCCCCCAAGGTCAACTGCAACCCTGATGCAGCCCTCAATGAAATCGAGTTTGACACCCCTGCTCTAGGCATTTAGACATCAGCTTCAAGATTCACTGGGTACCAGCCTTCTGCTGAGGCATCTGTCTTCAGAATGCTGACTGGTGTTTTCTGACTGTTTGAAAGATCCCACAAGAAAGCTATAAATATAAAAGCCACACTTCACTGTGCATTAATGATTCACCTGCGGAGATGGTTACCAACATCAAATTTCTGGGCAGGCAGTTAACAAGTAGGCTGGCTTGGTCGCTCAACAGCAAGACACCGGTGAAGCGGGCACAGCAGCACTTGCATTTTCTGCACCACATGAGAAAAGCAAATCTTCCTTCCCCTAGCCCAGTGATGGGCAACCTTTTCGGCGTGGTGTGTCAAAATTCGGCAAAAAATCGAGCATAACTCGCGTGGTGTGTCACTTCGACAAAAAAACATAATTTTGCGCAATTTATAGTTTAAACTACAAAAATGTATAATTGCAATATATAATAGTATTTAATAAACCAAAAACAAATTATTTAACATACCTGCTTAGTAACTTCTTTGTTCATCAATCTGTCGATTTCGTATGTTGCCCTTGATATTATTGAACTTGTTTGGGGTGCCGTGAACTGAGATAAGTGAGGGGGAGGGCGAATTCTTTAACTAACCTGCATATTAGTGACTTTTTTGTTGCTGAATTTCATTGGCTAAATCTTCAATTGAAGGTTGGTATTTTGTACACTTCAGGCCCAAGCAAGCGCTACTAACCTCATCTGTCAATCTGTTTCTTTTGTTGGTTTTGATATTATTTAATGCTGAGAATAAGGTCTCACAAAAGTACGTAGAAGGAAAAATTGTGAGTAAAGCTGTTGCTATATTTTTCAGGGTGCTAAAAGTGTCTGGTAGTCTGTTCCAGGCACTCCAAATTTCCTGTTCGTAGTGGCACTCATCTTGATTCTCCAAGCGGCCCCTTTCCAGATTCTCAAGCTTTGACCTCAAGTCGACAAACACCTGAGCCCAGATGCTGTCTTGAAATTCTGCAAGCTGCATCTCCAAATCATCTATTTGCATCCATTGGAAACCATTTAATTCCAAACTATTGTAGACTACTACATCAGGATACTTAATTATTCTCATGGTCTGTTCTAGATTGACTAAATCTATCAGTAAACTGGTCAAGTAACGAGTCTAAAACATGCTGGCACTTCATATGCAAGAGTTCCACTTCATTTCGTACAGCTGCACTGGCCTTCTCAAAATGCTTTTGTACTCGAGGAAAATACTTATACATTTTAGTTTCTACATTTTGCTTGAAAATTTTTACTTTACTTTCAAAAGCTTTTATGTATCCAAACATAACATCAATACTTTTGCCAAAACCTTGTAACTTTAAGTTCAGTTCATTAACATGAACAGAGAGATCTGTAAAAAACATCAGGGTGTTGACCCACTTATCATCATTGAGCTGAGGAAAGTTTCCCAGATCCTTATCTTCAAGAAATACCTTAATTTCTTCAAAGCACTCCACAAAGCGCTCAAGAACCTTGCCTCGGCTCAGCCATCTTACATTATTGTACATCAGCAGTCCACTGTAGGTGGAATCAACCTCCAGTAAAAGTGCTGAAAATTCTCGCTTGTGAAGGGGGCGAGCAGCTATTAAATTAACTATTTTTGTAACAACTGACATTAAGTCATTTAAGTCAGTGAATCCTGCCTTGGCACATAAAGCCTCCTGATGGATAATACAATGAAAAGGCACAATCGGATGTCCAATAGCTTCTGTAAACAATTTCACAAATCCAACTTTTTTCCCCACCATGTTTGGGGCACCATCTGTCGTCACTGACACAACTTTAGAGATATCAATGCTTAGGTCGCAGAATGTTTGCATAACAACCTTACATATTTCGCTTCCTGATGTACTTGTTGGAACTGATACTAACTTTATCAACTCTTCTCTCATTGTGTGACTATCAGAATATCGACCAATAATGGCCAACTGAGCATGTGACATGACATCAGTAGTTTCATCAAGACAGATGGAAAAATATTTACAATTCCTTATGTCTCTCTTTAATTGATGTTGTACGTTTGTGTTCAGTCTCATTATTCGGTCTTTTATGATATTTCTACTGAGTGGTAACTCAGATATTCTCTTAATAATTGCATCTTTATTCTGCATATCATGAAATAGAAGTGGCGCACATCTTAGGAGAGTTTCTTTAATAAATTCTCCCTCATTAAGTGCTTTTGCATGCTGAGCTATGGAGTGAGCAATGCTCAAACTTGCAGATGTTAAATTTGTACAGCCTTTTATAAATTTAAGGATGGAGTTAGATTGGCTCTTATAAAGGTGTAGCTTCCTGGAAATGTATTCCTTCCTTTCATCCTCACTTTTTTCCAAGAGCTGGGAATGATTAGTTTCAAAATGTCTATTTATATTCCACGTTCTGCTTACTACCGTTTCAGTACATAGAACGCAAAATGATCTGCCATTTTTTTCTATAATACCATACATCTCGCTCCATGTCTCTTGAAAGGGTCGGCCACTGCTACTACCACTCCCTTTACTTAACCTTTGTTTTTTTATTTTTGGGGTGCTCCATCAGTGGGCCAGTGCCAGCAGATAGAATTATAGATAGCTTGTTAGCCAATTAGGGGTTAACTAGCCTAACACAGCCTCCCCCTCACTTATCTCAGTTATTGTGGGCAATTACAAGTCCATGGCACCCCAATAGTTGCTGCTAATGGCGCTCACAGGTCCCCCTTACTGTGTGGCACTCACTAATTGCGGCCGGACTGGAGAAAGGCGCGCACTGTTCCTGCGCTCCTCTCCTGGGGGTCCTCCCTAACGTACTCTCAGCCGTGCTGATGAAGTGTGTGTGCACAGCACGCACGCCTTACCAGCAGCCCCTGCACTGATAAAGGGGCTGTGCCTGTGCTTGCCTGTCAGTCGGCAGTGGCGCAGGCTGAAGTTTGCGGCGGGGACACAGTGAATGAGTGAATGTGGGTGGGGGAGATCACACGTCCCGCCCCCCGTTCCTCCAGCACAGAGCGTATTTCTTTCATCCTTCCTGGATCCAAGGCCATAGTGGTATGGTTGCTCTAGGGGGGCGGTAGTCATAATGGGAAAGTTTTAGTGGGTTCAAGTCCCACATAACCTTGTGACCCGCCAGGTATCCGTGGGGATTTCTCTTCCGTGGCGAAAAAAAAAAAAAAATTTCTTTCATCCTCGGCGTGCAGGAGCCGAGGATGAATTGCATAAAATCGCATGAAATCCTGCGCGTGTCACCCCAAATGGCTACGCATGTCAGCACTGACACGCGTGTCATAGGTTCGCCATCACTGCCCTAGCCTTACCACTTTCTACAGAGGGACGATTGAGAGCATCCTGTCATATAGCATCAGTCTAGTTTAGAAGCAGCACTGCTTCAGACAGGAAGGGGGTGCAGTTCCCTCCCTTCCATCCAGGACATAGCATAGAAGCGTTGCTTGAGCAGGGTCTGTAAGATTGTCTGTGACCCCATAAATCCTCTTCACGACCTGTTTTCCTTGTTACCTTCTAGAAGTGGTATCCGAAGCAGAACATCCAGATTCAGTCACAGTTTTGTTCCATACAGTATTAATAAGGTGACCAACCGTTCTCCTTTTGTGAGTTCTGTCCTCCCTCAAAAAGTGTCCTCCTACATGTCCTCCTTTTCGATATTTGAAGACTAATCTGCAGGGCTTTTTTTTCTCATAGAACGCTCAAAACGGCATTCCGGCACCTGTTTTTGATGGGTTTTTTTCAACATTTGCATGAGCTGTGCTACTTCCCCTATTGGCTTTCGAAAGCCAATAGGAATTGCTGCTGAGTGCACCAAAACACCCAGCCGGCACCTGTAAGTTGTCTACAGCGAAGGCGAATTGGCAGGAACTTTGCACCCCTCCCTGCTACCCAACTACACCATCTCCTAGTTAGTCCCGAAGATACCTGGAGGAGACTAGAGCGGCGATGCCACAGTAACTTTCTCTTGATCTTCGGCCCTGCTAGGGCAATAATGGCTGCGGGCGCAAGAGGCAGGGGCAGCGGGGCTGCTGCAGGCAGGGGTGTGAAGGGCAGTGGTGGCTGACTGCCCCCTGTGCTGTGGGAGCCATGGGGCCTGCTCTACACGGGGCAGTGGTGCTGGCAAGGCAGCTGCAGGCAGGGTGTGTCGACAACGGGCTGCCCCCCGGGGCCGAAGCCGGCGCAGCTGTTGCTTTGGGAGCTGCGGGGCCCGCTCTACACGGTGGGGCAGCAGTGCTGGCAGGGCGGCTGCAGGCGGGGGCACGGCGTGTAAGCATAATTACAATATAAAATGTTATTGTTACAAATATTTATTATGCATTTATCATATTATAGTGTATTCTGTATTATTGTTGCAATGAATAAAATGTTTATTTATGATATTTTTTTCTTCAATTTATTTGTATCCTCCTTTTCATTGTAAAAAAGTTGGTCACCTTAGTATTAATCTTGTGAAATCTAAAACTTCCTCCTTCCATTTTGTATTCAAGTGGACAGTGATTAATATTTATGTTACATATGTAAGGGTGTAGGTCTATACATGTTGTATACACTACAGCGTGTTTAAATGTGTGTTATGTATGTGCGCAAATAAAACATGACAATAAAGATCTATCAATGCATGACTTTAGAGCGGTTTGGAGAAAGTATTAGATTTGATTTTTTAAATCTTGACTGAATGTAGAGATGTATAGAGAAGATCTTGGAGAAGGAATGCACAATTATATTCTGGAAGGCCAAAAATGTGAGAAACTCAAGATTATCCTGTCTTGATTCTCTTTGGTGTTAAGAGGGAGAGAAGGAAAAATGCTGTTAGGCCTTCAAGCTTGTTATTATAGCCTCTATCAATAACAATTCTAGTATTAGTCCTGTGCTTAGAAAATTAGTACTCTATCAAGAAAGCACTATCCTTGTGTTGCACAGATTTAATAAAAAAAGAATTGGGACCTGCCGACTATGTATTGCTCATTCTGTCCTCCATGAGCACATTTCATCTTTTTCATTGCTTCTGCTGGTGACTTTATGTGCCTGAAACTTTGTTTTCATTAATTTCTGTCATTATTGTCTGACTTTATTGGCAACATACAGCACTAGTCAAAGGACTGGTCATTAAGTCTCCTTTTTCAGCAGCATCATATTTAAACATGAGTCTATCAGCCCATGGTGGCTCTTTTCAATGTATTTTTATTAGGGAGTCTTATCATTACATTAACATATAAAACAGTCAAGATGTGGACATAGAAATGTTAAATTCACTTTACAAAGATAAGGCTCAAGTTTACAGGTTTATATTTCCCGCCCTACCCATGCCAGGAATTCTTGCCCATTTGCATTTCAGAGAAATAATCCCTATTTAATTCTTCCCAGAGTTTGTGTTTATAAATATTAAACAAACCACAAAATATACGTCAAGTACAGAATGTTCTACAATATAGTCCAAGCACAAACAGAAATACACAATACTGCACCTACGAACTCTTCATATGCCAGTACTTCCAGTTCTGGAGACAAGACTTCTCTGATTTATGTACATATTCTTCAGTCTTTTCTCATGTCTAGAATCTAGAAAAGAGCCCTCACAATTTGATTGATATATCTCTATCCCTTCATGTACATGCACGTGCCATTCATTGTATACATATCCTTATTGCACAGTTTATTCTCTGAGGTAACTGGTTCCTCAAGCAATTCAATCTTTCCCAGATCAAATTAACTACTACTAACAAAGGTTTCTAATGATTTTGGAGCAATAGTACATGGACAAGACTACATTTTAGAATCCAGGATCTATAACGAGCTTGGTATAAATACCCAGAGGACCAAGACAAGAGTTTGGATTTATTGCTATTATAATATTTGCAATATCTATATAGTCTACTTTTATAACTATCTCTAGGATTACTGTTATTTTGGTTTGGAAAACCACAATAGATGCTTCCTGACTGGGTTTTGATTCAGCTCAAAGTTTCAAACAGGATTAATATCACCAAATAATAAATAGAATTTTTCTTAGCAATGAAATAATTAAGGAAGAGCTCAAAAACACACTGAAGATAAAATGGTTTCAGTCATAAAAACATTTCATATATTTACTTATGATTGAAAAGATGGCTCTAAAAAAACCTACAAGTATTTACTTTTTAGATGATGTAATACATGAAAGGGAAATTACCCAAGCATTTCAACTAGCCAATTATATAAAAAAAGAAATCTAGTTTAAAACTTGTGTCCTGATCCAGTTGCTCTTAGCAACTCTGAGAACTCCAGAAAATGAACTATTCTAAATCAGCTCATAATTTCTTCTAGAGTGCATACATATTCTTTATACAAATTACAAACACAATCTGATTTTTAATTAAGCACATGGGAATTACATGGGAGTTAGTTAGAAAGGTTTATATATTAGAAAGTAGATGAAATATGGATTAGGTTTTGTTGCAATATTTTTAATAGGAAATGTAAATAAAAATATTTTTTAAAAAATTTAACTTTAAGTTTAAAATGTACTTTAAGTACTTCATACATTTATTCAATTATTTAAAAAATAATAATTTATTATTTTGTAATAATAGACACCAATTCTAAAACTTTAATAGAACAAGAATGCTTTGGGAGCTTCCTTGAAACAAAAGGCTGTAATCTTATTAATCTCGAACAAGGATCTAAACTGAACATATTTCTAAGGAAACAAGTGTAGGACTGTGTGTAAATATTGCTGGTATAGTTAGGAAAGGGGAAGAGTGAATTTTGTCTCATGAAATCCAGATTGGCAAATATGCTATTCAGTTTAGTTCTTCTGCTTCTACCTCCATACATTTGAAAATTGGGCATGTGAAAATGTTGATCTTCTTTAAATACATGAGATTTTAGTCACATCCTCTTAAAAGAGCTTGGTGTTTTACACAGGCACAAAATCTCCATCAAGACAACAAAGATAACAATACACCACTTCAAAAGGACTTTTTATAAATAAATCATGTGCATCCATTGTTAATTACACCAGGTAAGAAAGCATGCTTAAAAATAATGGCATGAAATTGTGACTTTGGGATTTATCGTAATGAAAAATAATGAATATAATCAGAAATTAACTTTTTCCAGGTGTCTGAAATTCACAGAAGTTTTTCACAGAAACTTCTATCTTTGTTATGTATTTTAGTAAGTTTAGCTTTATTTTTATTTTTTTTAAATCACCATTTCTCTGTAACTTACAATCATGTACACTCAATTCAAAATTTCTAAATCTCCCTCAAAACTGTATTTGTACTACTTTGCAAAGAAAAACTTTCATGAGTGCATCAAAGTAAAAATCCAAATTTCCATCTTGAGAAAATTATATCCCACTCTTCAGTTTCAGAACAGCTTCTGCAATGTGGTACTATACATTATACTGGTCATGTATCTGCTGCTTAATATTAATATTCCTCAGAGACATGAGGAATATGCAGGACAGGTTCAACCGATAGGAGAGTATGCTTAACCATTTCTGCATCCACTGATTTTTTTCTGCAAATACCCTTCCGAGCTGATTGTGCATACAGAAAAAAAAACAATGTACAAAGAAAGGAGTATCTTCTCCTCCCATGGAATTCTCACCTATAAATCACAGTTACACTGATTTATCCTAATGTATAATTCTTCCAAAAACTTGTTAATCAGTCTTTCCATATAGATCAGACATGCTTGTTTTCCATCTGAATTATTCACCTTGTGCATATCTTGAAGAATATTAGTCTTTTTTAAAAATGATAAAACGCTTTAAAAATTCATGTTATGTCTTTGTGCATTTATTCATCTGTACATTAAATATTTTCAGAAATTGCATTTGCTAAAAATTTACCAAAATTTGTAAAGACATAAAAATATTTTTAAATGAAAAAAATCAAACAAAAAAAATAATAAAACCCGAGCAATTGGTAGGTACTTATATAGGCATTGGTTAGTAGATATTGTTTTACTAAGGAATATATTCAAAAGCATCCTCTTCTACTTGTAGTAAATACTTAAAATTAGGATATCATGGCTTGATATGGTAGAAATGATAGCTTTCTCTTCAGCTTAATTACTGATAAAAACAGGAAAGCAAATAAAAATAAAGACTGCTTTTTGGTTACTTAAAGGCCACTACTACATCAATTATTCAATTACGAAAAGTAAATGTAAGAATTTTGAAGTTATTGTCTATCAAAATAAAGAACTAATTGAAGATAACCTGCAGGATGTTTATGAGCACCTAACTACTGACTAAAATTCACTAGTTTTGAATATAGCCCTTAGTTTTGCACATTTTTTTTTTATGTTTAAGAGCTGCCAAACAAATGGCTAATGAAGTCTACTTTGCAGGCTATCCACTGTCTGAGAGGACAGTAATATTCAATGTGAAATTGTTGAAACTCTGGTGTCTGGCGGATTTCATGGAGGAAAGAGATGTCAAGGTCTGATTCCAGAAGGACAAGTAGTAGAGGGAAAACCACAAGCAATAGCCCAAGCCCAACAAAAAGAAGTCTGGAAAAACTCTTCACAGCAGCATTTACCTTCAAGTTACCCATCAAAAAGTCATAGCTCCACCTAAGTGCTTTTCGGGCTTCCTTCAACTCTTCCTCCTCTGCAACCAAGAATGCATTTTCATCCGCCTCCAGTTCCTCAAATGAATCTGTATCTTCTTTCCCATTTTCTGCCCTTGGAGAAGTTTGAAAGAGAAGGTCTATCTCCTCATCATTAACAGGAGTGGGGAGCAAGCTGGTGCTTGGATTGTAGATCAATTCTGAAATTGTTAAAGGCTCCTCTTTGATTTTCTCACCCTCCTCAACTGAAAGATCTGAACCATCATCTGTTTCTTTAGTTGGAGAGCTTGATATCACAGGGAGAGAAATATCATCTTCTTTCGGCAGCTGGATTCCTGTAAAATGGCACTTTTAGATTCTCAAACTTACATTTCAAGGAGATAAAACTATAGACCAGTGTTTCTCAACCTTGACAATTATAAGGCATGTGGACTTCAACTCCCAGAATTCCACAGCCAGCGTTGCTGGCTGTGGAATTCTGGGAGTTGAAGTCCACATGCCTTAAAATTGTCAAGGTTGAGAAACACTGCTATAGACAAAACATAAACAACTGCAGAAAAAACTGCTTGCAATTTAACCATTAACTGGTTTATATTAAGTGAAGGGGACTTCTTCCTAGTTCAGCAAGCTAAATATAACTCGTTACCATTATTCATTTTATTACAAAATCCAAGTTTTTTAAAAATAAAAATCTGCATTTTGTAAACCTGAAATGAAAATCTTTGGTTATTTCATTGCACAGAACTATATTCCATGATTCTAAAACCATGATAAATACTGTACTTGCATTATCAGACACACGTATAATATGTGTTTATGATACATTATGATGTATCATAATCTATTAATAGACTATTGATAGCAGTAAATGAGAAAATACAGATTGATGGGAAATACTGGTTATCACGTAATTCTATTTCTCAAGATATAATATTAATCAATATTACAAGGATGTCATAAGTGACAAAATGCATTACAGTATGTAAGACAGTTTGAATGAACTAACTGGAGGAAAAGGTTTTCATTACTCCTAATATGGTTAAACTACAAATTGCATCATTTGCATCAACTTTGTGTAATGATACCAATATACAAATCATGCAGCTGATAGTATAATTTGAATCAATTTGTGTAAACAGCAGTGTGCAAATAGCATAAATCACAACAAATGATATTAACTAATTGAATATAAAGTAATTATCCGTACAAATTTTTATCTACTGTTAATCTGTGAAATTGACGTTTTGCTGTTTTAACAGTTATGCTTATGCCATTTAGCTTCAAAGTTAGCAACTCTAAATTAAAAGAGATCTCTATGTAAATTTGCAACAAACACTAATTTTTTGTACAGTCTTCTAAAATTATACAACTCCATTTAGAGTCCAGCTTTATTTAATTACTTTTTTGTGTGGGTGAACTGAAATGAGGTTTATTTTTCAATGCAAAAAACAGATAGGAATGAATATAAGCCTAAACTCTTAGAACTAAAGATACTACGTATAGGAAATTTCCCTAATTCTATCTCTATAGCAACAGTCTGGTAAAATAGTTTGGGCTAAGAAACAGCAACAGACTCAATGGCTTCAATGATCAGTTGTATTTATTTATTCAACAATATCAACAGCTTTGACAATCTGTTTTTAATTTAGTATTTCCCCTTGAATATCAATTGTAAGTCTGTTCACACTGGATTAGATTTAGCCTGGCTTTTATACATCTATTCAAAATAAACTAAAACTGCATCTAATTCAACTTGAGTTAAGACAATCTTGATTTTATTTATGGCTCCAAAATCCACTTTAAATGTTGTAATCCTAGATCATTCTGTTATCCTCCACAATTTATATATCTTCTCATTCATAATATCAAAGAAGTGGTAGGATTTAGGACTGATCTTGAAGGCAGAAGCACAAAAAGGATGTCCACCTTTGGATTGCTTCTTCAAGTAGCAAGGTGGCCAATGGATGTTTATTTGGATTTGGATATTAATGGAGATATTAGGGGCATCCCTGGGTGAAACAGTATGATAGTTGGTAGGGTTACTTTTTATTTCAATCAGAGCTGGTGTGATGGATAAATGAAGACAGGAGACAACCTGACCACAGCCACATAGGTGCAACCTGCATGTTTGCTTTGAATAAAGCTGGGTTGGATAGAGAAATGTACTATAACTCACTATGGGCTTTTAGAGTTGTAAATGAGATCCAGGATAACGGACATTTCTCTTTTAATATCTGTTTCTTGTTAATCGGCAGCTTTGAATGATTGTTTTCCCTGTTTGTATGACATTTCTATGGCTTAAAGCAGTGGTTCTCAAACTTTTTAATGCCGCGACCCCAACCGGTGGTAAGTCGAGGACTACTCAACCGGTCGTAAATCGAGGACTACTCAACTGGTGCAGCACTGTTTGCAGAATGGGACTTTTGGCGGGCTCAGCAGGGCAGAGACAGCCTGGACAATTCCTATTGGCTTTTGAAAGCCAATAGAATTAGACTCTATTCAAGAGAGTCTATTCTATTGGCTTTCAAAAGCCAATAGAATAAAAGGGAGTAGCACAGCTAAGGAAAAGGGGGGAAAATGGCGGACTGCATTGTTTGGCGACCCCCGTGAAATGGTCGTTCGACCCTAAATGGGGTCCCGACCCACAGGTTGAGAACCACTGGCTTAAAGAAAGGCAATTGAAGCTTAGACATGTGAATTTTATTTTCCTCCCTAGTCCATATTACGAAGCAGAAAGGAAAGAGGCAGATCTATGAAGGGAGGTAAAACCCATTCAATTAGAATGGTTCTTATCGGTGTCTCCTCTGTGTACTTCGCAAGTCAAACTGTATTACCACAGGATATGATGTCACTTTCTGAAGTGTGAAAACAGGAATCTTGAGTTACTCTGATGCAGAAATGGGGCAAATATAAGAAGACAAAATAATGGCACCATCATCTTCATAAGCTGGTTGGACTCAAGTGGCATCAACATTGAACAAACAAATAAATAATACATCTTTATGTTGAATGCCAGGCAGGTCTTTTAAAAAATGGTAATGGTTAAAAAAAGATAATCTCATAGTAGTACAAGAGTCCAACCTAGTCTTTATTATGAGATTAGCAGACTGTGGCAGGGATTTGTTTGGGCCCACTTATTGTCAATAAGCAATTCCTACTGTATTGGTTACAAACTTAATGGTATACAAGTTTTTCTTAATGGTGTACAAAGCAATATACAACTGAGGCCTACCTATTCTTACAGTCTTCCTCTGACTCTTTAATCATTAGCAGAAACTCTTGGGGCATTTTGCCACACATAATTTGACATTAATTCTCATTTCTTCATGTTACATGTCACTGGAGTTAAGAGCCTGAAAGAGGGCTTAATAATATTTATTTACTTAGACCTTTTAATTATTTCAAATTCTGATTTATTTTTTCAAAAAATTATTTCAGGCTTTCAATGAATTGTTAAGAGTTGCGTTAATTCTGTTTGTTATTTTAATTGCATTTTCTAAACTATCCTGGGTACTATAATAAATACAATCAAAGACAAGACAAAAGAGAAAAACAACAGTCTGGGAGAAAAAACTGAAACCCCATATGATATAGGACATATTCACTATTTGACAGTGATAGAGAATAATTAACAAAAATGTATTTCATATAAAATAAAACAAGTGCTACAACACGGAATGAGAAACTGGTAACATTCAAATAGAACAAATAGTAAAACTATGGACCTCATCTACTTCTACCTCCCAATAAATAATATTTGCAGATCAACAATACTGGCTATCACACATTTTGATCTGATTGCTGTATGAAATAAATTAACTAGTTTATAACCTAGATTATTTTGATTTAAAGCTATCAGCTATTTATTGAATCAACACTCCTCATGTTGGAGGCATATCTGTCATGGGCTATCAGGATAGGAAAATAATTAGTTCAAACCTACCATCTCTGCCCTGGAAAATGAAAATCTACTTCAAATAATCTCCTGATAACTTCAACTGAATTTGATGCTAACATATAACACAAAGAAGATAGGAAAAAGTTCCAGTTAAATAGTCAGTAGAATCTTTTAGAGCAGGTTATATACTTGTAGAACAAATGGAAACCTGTAATATACTAATAGGGAAAAAAATTAAAATAATTTGCAAAGTCATTGCATGTTTCTGTATTAATTTAGAAATAAGAGACTGTATAATATTGTTTCAATTTCCTCAAAAAGTAGGTTTTAATTTAATAAGAATGGAGAATTAATCATTTTAATTCTTCGTGGTATCCGTAGCAGAACATCCAGATTCAGCCATACAGCATTAACCTTGTGAACTCTCAAGCTTCCTCCTTCCGTTGTATATTCAAGATGGACAGTATTTAATATTTGTTATGTATATGTAGGGGTATGGGTCTATACATATGTTGTATATAGTATGTTTAGATGTGTGTCATGTATGTGGTTCACTTTGAGAGCGGGCAACTAAATTTCATTTTTGATGTGTGCCGTTGTGCCCACAGTAAAAAAATGACAATAAAGGTTATCTTATCTTATCTTAAAAAATTAATCTCAAGTAATTCAGCCACATGTATATATACACGTGTGTGTGTGTGTGTTTAAATAAATTCAGATTAAGCAGTATTCCTAGTCTTTAGTTGTTACTATTTTTGCACTCTTAACATTAAGATTAGAAAAACAACCCTTATAAAAGCATGAATTATGATTGCGTCTGATCCAGTATTTAGTTTTCATAGTTTATTTATTTATTTATTTATTAATAAAATTTATATGCCGCCCAATCCCGAGGGACTCAGGGCGGCGTACAAAATTAAAACAATATAACAATAAATAAGTACATTCATACAGCATGTCCAATCATATCCCGGCCCCCCCGGGGACATCAACCCCAGGCCTGCCGGAACAGGAGAGTTTTAATGGCTTTCTTAAAGGCCGGCAAGGTGGGAATAGTTTGAATCTCGTGGGAAAGTTGATTCCACCAGGTTGGAGCCACCACTGAAAAGGCCCTTCCCTGAGGGCCCGCCAGCCGACATTGTCTGGCCGACGGGACCTGAAGGAGGCCCAATCTGTGGGACCTCACCGGTCTCTGGGAACTATGCGGCAGTATGCGGTCCTGTAAGTAACCTGGTCCTAAGCCATGAAGGGCTTTAAAGGTGATAACCAACACCTTGAATTGTGTTCGGAGACCCACAGGAAGCCAGTGCATCTCACAGAGGATAGGTGACAAGGTACACCCACAATCGCTCTCGCAGCTGCATTCTGAACCAACTGCAGCCTCCGAACACTCTTCAAGGGTAGCCCCATGTAGAGCGCGTTACAGTAATCCAGTCTTGAGGTGACAAGGGCATGAGTGACCGTGAGTAGAGCCTCCCGGTCCAAATAAGGCCGCAACTGGTGCACCAGGCGAACCTGAGCAAAGGTCCCCCTGGCCACAGCCGATAGATGTTGTTCCAAATTTAGCTGTGAGTCCAGGAGAACACCCAAGTTGCGTGCCTGCATTGAGGGAGGTAAATTTACCCCCCCCCAGGGCTAATGATGGACCAACAGGATGACCCTTGGGGGGCAAGACCCAGAGCCACTCAGTCTTGTCAGGGTTGAGTCTAAGCCTGTTCACCCCCATCCAGACCCTCACATCTTCCAGGCATCGGCACATCACGTCGACTGCTTCACTGAAAGGACACGGGGTGGAGATATACAATTGGGTATCATCCGCATACTGATGATACCTCACCCCGTGTCGCCGAATGATCTCACCCAGCGGTTTCATGTAGATGTTAAAAAGGAGGGGGGACAGGACCGAGCCCTGAGGCACCCCATAATCGAGGCGCCTAGGGGTCGATCTCTGTCCGCCCGCCAACACCGACTGCGACCTGTCAGAGAGGTAGGAGGAGAACCACCGCAATACGGTGCCGCCCACCCCCACCTCTCCGAGACGACGCAGAAGGATACCATGGTCGATGGTATCGAAAGCCGCTGAGAGGTCAAGAAGCACTAGGATAGAGGAATGACCCCTATCCCGGGCTCGCCAGAGGTCATCGGTCAGTACGACCAAAGCAATCTCAGTGCTGTAGATGGGCCTGAAACCAGATTGAAAAGGGTCCAGATAATTCGTTTCATCCAAGGATCGCAAGAGTTGGGATGCCACCACCTTCTCTACAACCTTCCCCACAAAGGGGAGGTTGGAGACAGGACGAAAGTTCTTCAAAACAGCTGGGTCCAGGGAAGGCTTCTTGAGGAGGGGCCTCACCACCGCTTCCTTCAAAGATTGCGGGAAAGACCCCTCCATCAAGGAGGCGTTGATTATCGCCTGGAGCCAGCCTCGTGTCACCTCCCTACTGGCAGAAACTAGCCAGAAGGGGCACGGGTCCAATAAGCAGGTGGCGGCATTCATTGCCCTCATGGCCTTGTCCACTTCATCAGGGGTCACAGGCTCAAACTCGCTCCAGATAACATGACTAAGACCAGCCCCCGACATCTCGGCTGGCACTGTCCAGTCGGAGTCCAGGTCTCTCTGAATCTGAGCGATTTTGTCCGAGAGAAACTGAACAAACTCCTCAGCTCTCTCCTGCAAGGGTTCCTCCGCCTCCTCCCCTTTAAGAAGGGAGCGGGTCACCCTAAACAAGATGGCCGGGCGAGATTCTGCGGACGCAATAAGTGCGGAAAAGTGAACACGCTTTGCCACCCTTATCGCCACTAAATAAGTCCTAAGATAGGCTCTTAATAATGATCGGTCAGATTCAGAGTTACTGGTCCTCCAACGTCGCTCTAGACGTCTCTTGTGGCGCTTCATCTCCCGGAGCTCCTCAGTAAACCAAGGCGCCCTCCGGGGACCACTACCACAGAGAGGTCGCAAAGGCGCAATTCGATCCAGGGCCCCGGACGCCGCCTCATTCTAGGCCGCAACCAGAGACCGGACGAGTTGTGGACAAGGGAGTCAGGTATTTCCCCAAGTTCCTCCTGGAACCGATCTGGGTCCATTAGGCGCCTGGGGCGGAACCACCTAATCAGCTCCACCTCCCTGCGGTAGGGGAGTGATGCTCTGAAGTCCAGCTTCAATAGGAAATGATCTGTCCATGACAAGGGAGAGGTCTCTATTCCCCTTAATTCCAGATCATGTCTCCATTGCCCCGAGAGAAACACAAGGTCGAGCGTGTGACCACCCCTATGAGTCAGATCCTGGATTACCTGGGTCAGGTCCATGGTTGCCATGGAAGCCATGAACTCTTGCGCCGCCTCTGAGCATTCGCCGAGTGATGGCAGGTTAAAGTCCCCCAGTACCATAAGTCTGGGGAACTCCACCACCAACCCGGCTACTGACTCCAGCAGCACAGGCAGGGCTGTTGCAACGCAGCTGGGAGGTAGGTACATCAGCAACAAGCCCAACTGAACCCGTGAACCCACTTCAATAGGAGGGACTCACACCCAACAATCTCCGGGGCAGGAATCCCACGAGGACTCAGGGACCTCCGAGCAATGACTGCCACTCCCCCACCCCTGCCCTGATGTTGAGGCTGATGAAGCACCACAAACCCGTCCGGGCACATCTCCGAGAGGGAAACACCCCCCTCAGGGCCCAGCCAGGTTTCGGTTATACATGCCAAGTCCGCCCCCCTGTCCAATATTAGATCACGGACAAGGGGGGCTTTGTTGACAATGGACCTGGCATTAAGCAACAGCAGCCTACAACTAGGGCCCTGTACTCCCCTGTCACCAGTACTACAGGATGGGCCTTTTGAGGGGCCGGAACAAGGAATCGCTCTAATATAGCGAGTCCTCGTTCCCCGAAAATGGCCTGCCCCTCGGCTCCTGCTATATCTGCCCATCCCAGTCATAACCGGGATGCTCCGACCTTCTCCCATCCCCGGAGAACCCCAACCCTCACCAACCTTCTCCCTTCCTGACCAGACTAGCATTCCATGTTGCTCAGTTTTATTCTTTTTTACTTCATACTTGAAAAGGTCCTCATGTGTGAATACGTATTATATAGAATTTGATAAAATAGAAAACTGGACAGCTTATTGCCTGCTGGAGAAAGCTACCTTTTTAAAGATTAAATCAGAACATTCTTTCATTTCATTTTACATTCATCGCCACCATTCAAAATAAACACTTTTCTGACTTTAGCTACGTCATCACAATAATGGTGATGATGATGATGATAAAATAAAGGGTTAAAAGTATAGTTCATACAGAGCACATTAACACAACATAGTACAAAATTAAAATGGAATAAGACCACTTTTTCAGTATGGACATGATTTTAAAACACAATGTAAATTCATTTAAATTGCATTTTCATCATACACAAATATGGAGGACAAAAGCTCAAAATGCTTTTATCAGCCTCTTTAATTTAATAAAGAGTTTAGTAAAAATGGTCTCAAAAATGGCTGCTAGCCTTGATTTAATTTCTCTGCATGCGCATGCTCACAGAAAAATTTGCATACATACATACCCATCACGCTATTCTCTTTTGGGTTAAGCAACGTTTTGAAAAATGCAGAAAAAGAATAAGAAATAGTAAGCAAAATAAATTACAAAGAGGAGATAGGAGAAAAAAAGAAATCTGATTTATACCAATATCATTCATTATACTTCTTCATATTTTTCTTATTCCAGCAAACCATCCTTACATCCACAATGTCCATGCATTACATCATACACTACATTTATTTCTTATATTGTATCATCTCACTTCTGCCTTTTTAAAGATCTTATCAACACTATCTATTCAGGGTGTTCCTCTCAATACACTCATCTTTTATATATTTCTTTTGGAATTCAATCTTCATTCATTCTATCTACAGGACCAAAACATCTGAAAATATTTCCTTCATATTAGTGATTCAACATTCAGCGTATATTTATTTCTTTTACCTATTTTTGTTTTATAATACATACAACACTTAAGTTACTTGTTTCTACTACATATAACTTACTTTTATATTTCTCTTAACATTTTATTCACATAGAACAAATTGTACTTTAGCTGTTTTAACTTATTTGGACATTTGTTCTGCACAACAAATTTTACTAATTATTCTTACTTTTTTAATGTCTTAATTCTTTCCCCGCTTTTAGTAAACAGTCTGCCAGGGTACACATTCATCCATGTATCCCAGAAGTCTTCAAACTTGGCCCTTTTATGACTTGTGGACTTCAACTCCCAGAATTCCTCAGCCAGCCTGACTGAGGAATTCTGGGAGTTGAAGTCCACAAGTCATAAAAGGGCCAAGTTTCAAGACCCCTGATGTATCCTATTGCCCTTTTTTTCTATGCACAACTTCAGTTGTAATTGTTGATTTAATTTTGTCAAATTCAACTTCCTTGGCCTTTGATATATTAAGTTGCAGATCCATTACCTTGTTGCAGCACTCAATTTAACTAACATATACAACATAGCACCAGCTGCATTCAAATGCAACATTCATGTTTCCATTCAATATATCTCTAATATTACAAGCATTTATTATACATTTATCCATAAACAATCAAAAGGATATTATACATTCCGCATTTTTTATTGTTCAGTGTTGAACCATTCAATACTGTTTCATTTATTCTCCTGTTTGTTTTACTTCCACCGTTTTCTGTTCTTATCACAAATATCAACCAATCTTCAGTTCAACATTTCTTCAAGATATCTCATAATTCAAGGCTGTTGACTTTATCGTAGATATTTCTAAATCAACAAAATTCTATATGCTTTCTCACAATTCGTATATTTTTATTGTTTTGTTAAATTGCATAAATCAATCTTCATATCTTATTCTAGGCACAAAGCCTCACTGCACTTCCCAAACTTTGTGTACATGGCTGAGTGTACCTAGGAAGTTTTTAGCATCTATGTAAACAAGGTCATTCAGCACCCATGCATAAATATTGCTAATAATGTTGAAGCGGAAATCTTATATCACTCTATTATGCATATTAATAAGGTAATTCTATGAAAGTAATGTACTGTGTGCCAGATCTTGATGTGATAAGTCTCATCCACATTATTTTTGTATTCAGATATTGTAGTGAAATGAATGGGATGTTATCACAGAGAAGTAGCTCTCGAGTAACTAGGAGTTTGCCATAAAACTTGACAATCAAGATTCTAAAAAGAGGGAGTTTCTAAAGGAAATTCAAATAATGCAGTCCTTCAAATGACCCGTGTGTATTAGATAATTTTGTGCTACTATTCCCTGCAGGTTATATTTAGCAACTATCAGCTCCTTCATAATCTCAACATAGGAATATTGGGTTCTGAATACATGTCAAAATATCTTCCCATGCATTCGTCCCCAACACTTAGCTTGGTATCTGAGAATCCGTTTCAAATGTTTGTGATGGCTGTTAAAAGAAGATAATCTCTTCAATGTTGACCAGTGATCAATGGAATACCATTCCAACAGAACCAGCAGCGAATGCATACGGACATTTGGAAAGAACTAAGAACTGCTTTTCCGCAATGTCTGATGTGTGCCTTTATAGTTGGCTGTTACAATATGTACTGTATCTATGTTATATTATTACAGGGCTGGTGACTTATTTTTATTAACTTTAATTTATTACTATAAAATTAATTTATAGTAAAGTCTGATTTCTGATTAAAAGACATACTTAAAATATTTACACTGTTGATACTTCAGACAGTATTAAAACAATAGTTGATAATGTAATTTATTTTATTGAAGTGAAAATATTTTTGCAGAAATACCTTCTTTCTTACGTTAAGAAGACTAATAAAGCAGGGGTTCTGGGTTCTCAAATTTTGAAGAACGACAGTGACTTAAAATGATACATTGACTTGTGTGCAATAGCACTCTTGCCATGAATGAAATGTATTTATTTGTTTGTTTGTTTTGTTTATTTTATTAGATTTAGATCAGTGGTTCTCAACCTGTGGGTCTGGACCCCATTTGGGGTCGAACGACCATTTCACAGGGGTCGCCAAACAATGCAGTCCGCCTTTTTTTCCCCCTTTTCCTTAGCTGTGCTACTCCCTTTTATTCTATTGGCATACAATAATCCAATAAAACATCACATACTGTATATAAAAACAATCATATACAGTAAATATGTAAAAATACATGCTCAAAATTAAACATATAAATCCCAAGCATGGAGAGAATAAGTATATCCACCTCACTAGTGGAGCCATTTGAACATGTTCTCAGTTTCCTGGTATCCCCAGGCCTGATGACACAAACAGGTCTTGAATGATTTACGGAACATCAAAAAGAATGGAGCCAACTTAACCTTGGAGGGAGGGAGGGAGGGAGGGAATGTTCTACAAGGGAGTGCCACAGTAGAGAAGGGGGACCTGCCTCCTGGGACCCACTAAATCTAAGTCCTTTGTAGACAGTAACCATAATATGCCTTCTTGCCAGATCTAATGGGATGGGCTAATCTGGAAGAGACAGTTCCTCAGATAACCTGGTCTCATGCATTGAAGGGCTTTAAATGTTAAAACCAGTACCCTGAATTGGATCCAGAAGCAAACTGGCAACCAATACATCTTGCAGAGCAGAGGTGTGACATTTGATGTTCTAGAAACACACAAAATTGCCCATGCTGTTGCATTCTGTGCAGGTTGATAAATGCTTTTAATGTGATTATAGTTGAGCAAGAAATATATTTTACCATTTACTTTTAATAATTAAATTTTACAGCAATCTGAATCTGTGAGGTAGCACAGCTACCCACTTTGTGCTTCCAGAAGCAAAATGAGAAGCAAAGTTCCACCAAGGTTTTGACGACACTCCCACTTTGCACAACTCTGGTCAGATTTTAAAAGTATTTGAGATCTTAAATACTCTGTTTGAAAACTGTTTGTGACTCATGAGGATCCTGACTTGTAGCTTGAGAATCACTGTCACTGAGATTTATTATCACTTTCCTGAAAGAAAGATGTCCTAGAATTTATTTCAGAAAGCTTCACTAATAAAATAGGCTATAACATTTCTGAGAATAATTCCTTTGGTCTTCCTTAGTTGAAGTATCCCTTTTTTTTTCAATTTAATATGGTTTTTGGTGAAGGTACTTGGGCATAATGATTCCCTAACGATATCTATAAGTTTTAAATATCATGGAATTGTACTATCTATAATTCATAGATTCATGCATTTACTACAAAGACATTTAAAACATATTTCTCAGTATATTAGGAACTTGGTTAAAATGATAACTTAATATACAACTGAATTCCATCTATTAGAAGGACATTCTTCACTGAAGGCTTTGTTTTTCCTACCTTATCCTAGCCTTCAGCTTTCCCAGCTGTTCTTTGTTTGCTCTTTTGGATAAAGAGAAAACTATTCAAATCCCAGTGCTATAATTTACTATTCCCTGAGTATTGACCCTTATCAATATACAAAAAGGAAAAAGGGGAATTGTCTTTAAAAATATTTAAGTAACTAGGCAAAAAAAACCCCACCTTACCAGCACTTTTAGCTGTGATCTTCGACCCATGTCTCAACAGACGAATGCACACATCTTTACTACAGTGGTTAACCATTCGCAAATGAATACTCCTTCGGGTATGGATTTTTACCAGGCATTTCACCATATTGACTTAAAAGCTGTATTTTCTATTTCAGCTTTAATGAACTAGCCACCCATACCAGCTGTGACCTTTACCAAGTTTCCACTGTGTCCAGCTTGGAAGAGCCCAGCTGAATGAATCAAATAACAGCTTCTAATTCGGCCAATAGAAATAGCCTACTAGAGCACAGAGTGAGTGCCTATTTTTAAACCCTTCCAACTGGCTCATAATACACTAAGTAATTAACAGCAAATGCCAGCCATTCCCTTAACAGTTGTTAATTAACAGCTGCACTATACACTATATATACTAGTCTAAGCACTTGAACTGTTTACTGCGTTATAATGCAGACTACTGAAGCAATAGACATAAAAGTTTGCCATATGTATGTATGTATGTATAAATCATTATGACTTTTATATGGGCATTTATTTTATTTTTTAAATTTGAACCTACACTTTTAATTATCTGCAGAGGCAATCCTGTTTAATTCAGTCTAATGATTGTACAAGTTGCAGGTATAAATATTGAGGTTAGCAGGATGGGTTCCAGTGGTTTCCAGACTTGAGAGGCATTTTGTACATCTGTCTTAGTCCCAAGACTATCATACAATCCCATTGAGTTTTCGTTCATAAAAGTGGGAAGAAGAAATCTAGAGTTTGAACCCTAGAGCACAGATATAGAAAGCCTCTGACTTCTTTGCACTGGGATAAATAATAATCTAATGTAGCCAAATTGTGGCTAGGAATCTTCTCACAAATGTAAAATAGACTTTAATTCAGAACTAAATGACTGCAAATCTAAGATTTACTGGCAAGCCTGGACACAAAGCCTGGCCCTGATGTTGCTGCTTCTGTATCTGCTATTGTAAGAAAATCTTGCACCCAGCTAGGAGTCACGAAACAGAAACAGAAGTAGTGTTTTTGCAAATAGTAATTGATGTTGAATTGCACTATTCTAAGTATACAGTAATTATTTGGACCAACACTTGATCTGCTGGTATTTTCCCCAGGGTTGACTGACTGAAAAAGTGATTTATGACTAGTTGTCGCACTTATGAGTGTTGTAGTGTTCCCATAGCAATGTGATCACAATCCAAGCATTTGGCAACCAGCTTGCTTTTACAACAGTTGCAGCATCCTGGGATCATGTGATCAACATTTGTGGCATTCCCAACCAGCTTCTAACAAGCAAAGTCAATGGAGGAATCCATATTCACTTAATAACTGTGGCAAAAAAAAAATGACCCACTTAACTGTATCGTTTATGGAAGGCGGTTCTGGTCCCAATTGTGGTTTTTAAGTCAAGGACTACTTGTATTTCTGTTATAACAAGACAATTCCAGTGTACCTACAAACTCGGAAGTGATCTGAGCAGAAAACTGCTCTAGAACATGCTGCTATATAAATCCAAAGGTGTGTGTTTGTCAAGTCCTCTCCATAGCACAGTGGTTCTCAACCTGTGGGTCAGGACCCCATTTGGGGTCGAACGACCATTTCACGGGGGTCGCCAAACAATGCAGTCTGCCATTTTTTCCTCCTTTTCCTTAGCTGTGCTACTCCCTTTTATTCTATTGGCTTTTGAAAGCCAATAGAATAGACTGTCTTGAATAGAGTCTAATTCTATTGGCTTTCAAAAGCCAATAGGAATTGTCCAGACTGTCTCTGCCCTGCTGAGCCCACCAAAAGTCCCATTCTGCAAACGGTGCTACACCAGTTGAGTAGTCCTCGACTTACGACCGTTTGGGGGTCGTGGCATTAAAAAGGTTGAGAACCCTGCCATAGCAAAATCTTTTATTATAAGAAACATGAGAGATCAGACAGATCCAAGGCGATTCCAAGAAACATGTGACTGCAATATTCATAGGAATTCTCTTGGTTCAAAGTTTTGAAAGCAAGAGGCCCTCCATAAATCTCATGATTAGGAGAAAAGGTTCCCCCACTGTTCACACAGTCTTCATCTTTCGTCAACTTTCTTCCTTTTTCCACTAAAATACCCAAACAGTGCATGTACATACATGCATGGATGCTGCGATTAGCTATTGTCACGGAAGGGGTTCTTTCTCATGTCGGGGACAATGCTCTGTCTACTTTGCAGGAAAAGAATGCTGACAATATGAAGATGGGAGAGTAACAAAGGAAAAGCTGGCCTTGAATTGACAAAAGGAAAATGCAGGGAACAGGTGGAATATGTATGTATATAATTCTGTATATGTACAATGCGAGTTGACCAACTGGAAGCTATTCTGCTTGTAATAAAAGTTAGCTGCATTATTCTTTGAGAAGTGTAGTAGCTACTGAGTTCCTGAATAAGAAAGCTTGACAGCTATACCCTACCACATGTACAGACACACACCCCCCATATCAACACTCACCAAGAGATTTGGGGGCGCGGATACGGGAAGGAGTATCACGTGGAATGGAGAAAGATCCAGATTTCCAAGTTGTAAGGCTTCCAGGAAGGAGTACAGGGATGGGATCTTGCTGTACCAGGTGGGGACTGATAGCAGGATCTTCCCCTGACAGGGTATAAAAATAGCAGCAGCAGTTAAGCGGAAAGATGTTGCATTAAGAGCTTCAATTACATGCACTTTTGTCTAAAAGTGTTCCTTGACTACTTGATATTAATGGAGGGGTATTTTGTAAGCTTTCTTTTTAGAAATGTTACAATAGGTTGTGACTTAGTCCCATCCCATGGCAGTATTTCCTTAAATATTTTAAGGAAAAGATTGAAGAACAATAATATATCCTAAGATGATCTAGATCAGGGCTCTGCAATCTTGACAACTTTAAGACTTGTGGACTTCAGCTCCCAAAATTCCTCAGCTAGCTATGCTATGCTGGCTGAGGAATTCTGGGAGCTGAAGTCCACAAGTCTTAAAGTTGTCAAGATTGCAGACCCCTGACCTAGTTATGATACAGTCCTTGATTTGTGACAGTTCATTTAGTGACTGTTCAAAGTTACAACAACACTGAAAAAAGTGACTTATGACTATTTTTCACACTTACGACCATTGCAGCATCCCCATGGTCACATGATCAAAATTCAGATGCTTGGCACACCTGGTTCATATTTATGACGATTGCAGTGCTCTGTGGTGATCTCCTTTTGCAACCCTCTGACACGTAAAATCAATGGGGAAACCAGATTCACTTAACCACCGAGTTACTAATTTAACCACTGTAATGAATCACTTACCAACTGTGGTTAAGAAAGGTCGTAAAATGGGGGAAAAGTCACTTAATAAATGTTTCACTTCGCAACATAAATTTTGGAGCTCAATTGTGGTCGTAACTCGAGGACTACCTGTAATGAGTTTCAATCAACAACTACTAGGCAATGAGAAATTACAAAGAATTTATGTCTCAGAATGAAACCCCATCTATGAAATGGAAAATCTAATTTATGATCAAGATGAATCAGTTCCCGCTCTTTTGTATTAAACATCTAGCATTCTATAATCTAAATAATATTTTAATCTAAGTAATTTAAAATTGCCGTCGGTGCATTTTCATCAGCAACATATCAGCAATTGTCCAGCAATTTTGCTAGTTATATGAATGAAAATAACTGTTCAAACATCACAAATGCAATCTGTGCGTTTTGAAAAATTGATTGCTGTTGACTTTACTGATATGCTTTATAAAAAACAAAAAACAGAAGGAGTCTCTTAGTTTAGACTTGCCTTCATCAGAAAAAACCTCTTCCTGGTCATCTGGTGATGGATGGAGAGGTTGCAGGGGTTCCATGTTAATTATGAGTTGTTTGCTTAAAGAATAAGAGCTACGACTTTGAGTAATGTTGGTTCTGTGAAAAAAAGGGATAAATTATCCTACTGACTATATAATAAATTAGGCTGTAGGTATGTATGTAGGCACATACATGAAGAAAGATACTTATGTGGTATATAAAAAAAAAGAAAAAGAAACAGAATCTTCTTGCTACCCTCTTCAAAATATTTATTTGTGCAAAACTTGTTGCAGAACAGTTTGAAGTTATTTACTTTTATTTCTTGTAGCCAATGCCTAGTGAAACCTGAAACAGTGAAATAGAATTATGCAATTATTATTGGTAGTCCTGTAATAACCATTCACTTAGTGACCATTTGAAGTTACAACGGCACTGAAAAAAAGTGACTTCTGACCGTTTTTCACACTTACGACTGTTGCAGCATCTCCATGGTCAGGTGATCAAAATTGGGATGCTTGGCAACTGATTCATATTTATGATGGTTGCAGTGTCCCGGGGAGAGAGCCCAGGTGGTGCAGTGGTTAAAATGCAGTATTACAGGGCTAACTCTGCCCACAGCCAACAGTTCAATCCTGACCAGCTCAAGGTTGACTCAGCCTTCCATCCTTTTGAGATGAAAATGAGAACCCAGATTGTTGGGGACAATATACTGACATTTGTAAATCCCTCAGAGACTGCTGTAAAGCACTATGAAGCGGTATATAAGTCTAAGTGCTACTTCTATGTGATCACCTTTTGCAACTTCTGACAAGCATAGTCAAAACAGATTCACTTAACAATCATGTTACTAATTTAACAACTGGAATAATTCACTTAACAACTTTGCAAGAAAGGTCGTAAAATGGGCCAGGGCTCTCTTAACAAATGTCTCACTTAACAACAGAAATTTGGGGCTCAATTCTGGTCATACGTCGAGGACTACCTGTGTACCAAACTGATTTGAAAACATTTGGATTTTCCTAATCCGATAAATTGGGATTTGAGTTAAAATATTGCCCCTTATTGAAGGGAATGAATCAGGAAACATTAAAAAAAATCCTATAATGTAAATGAATATAAATCCTTCAGCTCCTATTACATATTAAAAGCCAATAGCAATGTTCTACTCCTGGGAGAACAGTAATTAAATATATGTTATACAATTTTTCAATTTGTAATGTATAGGTCAATGTTAGTAGATTCTTTAAGCGTTTTAGATCAGAAAATACCTGTGTACTTCTGGAGGCTCCCTCTGGATCTTTGAACTTGCTTCAACAACTTCTTTTGCAACTTTTCCACTGTCACAAAACATACATGTTAAGAACTCATTTTTGTATGATAAAAAAATTATTTGTTGTGCAGTAACCAAATGTTTAAAGCAACTCATATATTAAGAAGGATACCAAGTAATGGAAAAGCTTTGTCTTTACAAACGGAGTTGAATATTCAAAAGCTATCATTGTGGGATGTTTGCACTATATCCTTAGAAAGCTGGCATTTTAATTATGGCAATACTCTTCTAATAAGGGCTGCAGTTATTTACTTAACTTATTTACTTATTTAAACTAATCTTTGGTGATATCATCAAAGAGCTAGTGCTGAAATTTTTCCTCTATATGTGTGCATGGGTTTGATCAGACAGTTTTAAAGGCAGAAAAAATCATTGAGCCCAAGATAGACTTAATATCCATTTTATCTTTTTTTAAATATATTTTTAAAAATCATACTGAAAGAAATTGGTGGTTTGCTATCTGATTTTAACATTGTGATTTTGAGAATCTGAGTACCTATACAAATGGAATTGGGGCTTACACTGGACCAGGGGTAGGCAACCATGGCTTTTATGACTCGTGGACTTCAACTCCCAAAATTTCTGAGCCAGCATGGCTCAGCTTGGAAACCTCTCCCTTTCCCCTCAGCATGGCTGGCTCAGGAATTCTGGGAGTTGAAGTCCACAAATCATAAAAGAGTCAAGGTTGCCTACCCCTGCACTGGACTATGGTTCATTCAGTCCCAATTTAGAAGAAAAATTCTGCTCAAATTAGTAGCAATAAGCTGTCTAATATACTGTCTACAAAAAACCATTTGTTTTTATCTCTTCATAAATATTTTACATCGTAATTCTAGGTATATTTAATCAGACATAAATTTCCATTATAATCATTGGTGCTTATTTTCAAGTCCATGTGAATAGGATTGCCTATATATTCTCCACATTTATTTTTATATTTCCAGAGCAGTTTATGAAAATATTAATAGAGTCAAAAGTGAGTATTTTTTTAAAAAAAACAGTCTGGACCATTTCATAGGGTAAAATGATACAGTCTTATATTTGTGCACATAGACCTACTGCTTTCATTGAGGTTTAGACTCAGATAATTGTATGTAAGCTTGCAGTCTTAAGGAACTTGATTTTTTTTTTTATTGAATCCATCCATCCATCCATCCATCTTGTCCTGTCCTGTCCTGTATAATTTCTTCCTGTTGGGATAAAAATAACATTTACCTGTATCTAAATCTGCTGCCTTTAAAAAATATTTTGCTGCTGGACATGGTTTTGATTTGGCTTGATTTTGCATACCTTCAGAGGAAACACAAAATGAAATAGTTAACTTTTCAAGGAAGAAAATAAAGTCTTAGTCTACCAACAGACAGACATACTTATCTACGCTATGTCTCTGTGTGTATCTATCTATGTTTCAAATAACCTTTACAAAGCAGATTTTCAATCCAGTATTCAATTACTATATTTCTAATTGTTTTATTACAATTATTTTAGTGAGTCTATGAATTCCCTATCAAGGAAATATTTATAGAAGATATTGTACGAAACCTACAGCATGATACCCAATAACTTATAACTCATACCTGCATTGTGTGGTCCTCACATAGACAGCTAGATATTTAGGCTTGCAGGTATTTATTTACTGGGATGCAAATGATAACAGATTACTCAAACTAGCAGATAGGATTGCATTCCAGTGAAATAAGAATGCTCATTGATCTGCCAGGCTATACTCCCTATACTGAAAAAGGTTTTATGTCCATTTTTATTTTAAAACATGGCAAAACTTAGGATAGTATCAGTGTTTAAGTTTCAGACTACAATCTGAATTACAATCATATTAGAATCACAACTGAGTCCTAAATTTCCATTGCTAACCAAAGCAGTTGTTAAGTGAGTTTTGCTTCACTTTACAACCTTTTTGCCACAGTTGTTAAGAGAATCACTGCAGTTGTTAAGTGAATCATGCGGTCATTAAAGTGAATCTGACTTCTCCCATTGACTTTGCTTGTTGGAGATCAGTTGGAAAGATTACAGAAGTTGATCACATGATCCCAGGACACTGCAACTATCATAAATACTTCCCAGTTGCCAAGTGTTCAAATTTTGATTACATGACTATGAGGATGCTACAACGGTTGCAAGTGTGAAAATTGATAAGTCAGGGGTTTTTTTCAGTGCTGTTGTAACTTCGAACAGTTACTAAACAAATGGTTGTAAATCAACCTGCATCTGTAAATTAACCTGCATCTGTAATTGTTTGAAGAACCAGAAATCAATTAACCTTGAATTTAATGTATAGAATCTTCATACCCCAAGACCAGGGGTAGGCAACCTTGGCTCTTTTATGATTCGTGGACTTCAACTCCCAGAATTCCTGAGCCAGCATGGCTGGCTCAGGAATTCTGGGAGTTGAAGTCCACGAGTCATAAAAGAGCCAAGATGCCTACCCCTGCCCAAGACTAATACTTCAAGTTTAGGATTATTCTGCTACTAGACTTAAAATATCACAATTTAAAAAGGAATTTGTGTTTGCTAACCAAAGAATCTTAATGAAATATAATTAATCTTATATTTTGGATTATTCTAAAGTATTCCTCATAAGTATCCAATTCATTAATTTCATATTTGTTAGAACTTTCAATAAAGTAATCTGTAGATAAATCAAAGGCCATTTTCTCTGTATAGCATGCTGATTTATCATGAAAAGAATCTCAGATTACTTGATATTCTTGGCTCATTTACACATTTGTATTATGTTATTGAAGTGAATTTATACTATTGGATGACAGGAATAGTTCTGCTTACTTGTAAAAAGCCTGATTCTCCACACCACATTTCCAGAGATGCTTGCAAGCTGCTGGTGTAGAAGTATGGAATGATAACATAGCCTTTTTCTAAGCATGTGAGAAAAAATTAAACAAAATAAAATAAAATTTGACTTATTTAACAATGTTAATCTAAAGCCATGATTTTCACTTAGATTAATGTCATAATTACTTCACATTAAACAGTGGGCTTATCTGCATTATTTGCTTGCCCCATCGTCAGATGAGGCTGGCAATTATTTTTGATTGAGTCCCCAATAGCTGACAAAGCAACTTCAAGTTTGTTTTATTTCTGAAGTACACTTTTCCATATTATGTTACCTTGAGGCTCCTATCCTTTTAAATAGAAAAGGAACACTTTTTCAATCAAATCAATGCTCATTATACTCTCAAATATCTAATCAAGCTAACTTTTGTCATGAGTTCTATATAGTATAATGACTAGGATACATTTTTTCTTGTCCTCAACTTTTTACTTTTCTCTTTTCTTTTAAAAAAAACTTGTTTAGTTTTACATCATTTTACTGTTTTTTTTTTCTAAGTAACATGAGGTAGAAAGACAAGATTCAACTTAAATGTTAAGTGTGGATTTGCCCTGGGAAAGGACAAAAAGAGAGCTGATCAGAACTTCTCCAAAGTCCTATTGAATGGACCATCACTAACTATTGAAAAGACCTGAATAACCCTCACTGAGTTTCTGTCAAGCGTCATGGAAATCAGGAGATCCGGTTAATTCAAATAGGTATTAACATTTATTGAAAGCGTAAGCTCTCTACAAGAATCTGCACTGTTAACAGCCAAAGGAAATTGGTGGTAGATAAGGGTAGAAAGAATTCAAGGTGGGCTGGATCTATATCCCTTGTGTGTGTGTGAAAGGACTCATGACTGATGATACATTTGAACCCCTCCCTCGGGCTCAGCCTGGTCATTTCCTAAAATTTTCTTGATTCCATGGGATTATTTGCCATGAAGGTATGAAGAAGAAAAGTGCAAGTTAAGTATTCTTGAAAATACCATCATTAGCCTAATAAGTTAGTCCAGTGGTTCTCAACCTTTTTAATGCCGCGACCCCCAACCGGTCGTAAGTCAAGGACAACCCAACCATCAGAATGGGACTTTTGGCGGGCTCAGCAGGGCAGAGACAGCCTGGACAATTCCTATTGGCTTTTGAAAGCCAATGGAATTAGACTTTATTCAAGAGAGTCTATTCTATTGGCTTTCAAAAGCCAATAGAATAAAAGGGAGTAGCACAGCTAAGAAAAAGGGGGAGGAAATGGTGGACTGTGTTGTTTGACGACCCCCATGAAATGGTGGTTCGATCCCAAATGGGGTCCTGACCCACAGGTTGAGAATCACTGAGTTAGTCATACATTGTATAAAGTTTATTTTAGATGTCAAAACTATTAACCATTCTAGGTAGCTTGAAATAGTGACAGCATATAAACTCATTAGATCAGGGGTCCCCAACCCTCAGTCTGTGGACCTGTACCAGGCTGCAGCATGCCAGCAACCAGGCTGCACAAACAAGCAAAACCCCATCTGCAGGATGCAGGCAGCACACAAAACCACACCTCCTCCAGTCTGTGGAAAAACCTCTCTCCACGTAACCAGTCCCTGGTGCCCAAAAGGTTGAGGACCTCTGCATTAGATGATATATTAAATATATAGTTGGGGAATCTTGGTTTAAAAAACAAACCAAAAACAAATTTGCAAAATTAATATTTGTAGTATGACTTCTGTTCTGGAAATTTGTTTTCAATTATTTTTAATTTAGAGTGTAAACCAAATAAAATATATTAACATGTTAGATTATGTTAATTATATATAATTACATACACACACAATCCTTTCTTATTATACACAGACATCCATCTATATATCTATCTATATAATATAGATAATTATCTATATAATCGATCTCTATCACATGCATTTTTGGTTAGGACTTTTTGCCAGTACTCACTCATATAGTAGCATAACTAGTCTATTCAAATAGTTAAGACAAAAAGTTACTTTGTAAGAGCAAGAATAAACATATTTCATTTTTATGAGAAATACTTAACTAAACTATTTCAGAATGTAAGAAACAAAATTTCTAACCTCCTTCTGAATTGCAATCACATAAAATGTCTTCCCTTCAAACTTCAATTTACAGACATCAGACCTATAAGAAAAAGTTTTTAAATTAGGAAAACAAACTGCAGCTGACACTTCTATGTAAATATATGGAAGACAAAAAGAAGCTGCTAGAAATGACATTCACTTCTTAATCATGTTACTACAGACTTCAGTTTGGATCTCTGTACTTATAATTTACTTTGTGCCAAAATTATTCAATTGTTCCCATAGATGACGTATCTGGAGCAAAATTTCTAAAAAAAATCTCCACCAGTTTCAAATTTACTCTTATTCCTGACCAGTTTCTAAAACATTTGAATTACAAACCATTGGATACAGAAGAAGAGGTTTTAATATTTCAATATTTAATACTGCCAAAGTTTATGACCCAGCAATAAGATAACTTTAATTTTTTGTGGGTTTTTTGGCTATATTCAGACAACTCAAATGATTCCTCATTCCCTCTTCCTAATCAAGGGACTCACTTTTGTTTCCTGGCAGGCCAGGTCACAAGATGACTGAATCTGGCATGCTATAGTCAAATTTAAATAATTGACCAGGAGAATTTAATCTCAGACAAACCTGGGGCTGTTTAGGAATAAATCAAAGGATTAATTAAACAGTACATTATACAGAAGCAGCAAATTTGTCCAAAATGCTCTCAAGATATCCCATCCCCTTGTCAAGTGTACTTGCAAACAGTGTCTCAAGTAAAGTTTTCTCTGTATTCTATAAAAAAAAAAAAAAACATTCAGGTTCTTACCATTTTAGCAAATGTATCCTTTTATTTCCCTGGAAAACCACAAAACCTGTGGCTGTGAATCCTAAAAATGTTGTGGTCCCAGTTGAATCCTTTTAAGGAAAAACAAGAGAGCATTAATTAGAATTATGGGAAAGTGCAAACATTCCAAATATATATACTTTTACAATACAATATCTCCTTCCATGAAGGCATTTCCACTTACAAAGCCAAACATGATGGAAGATTTTTAAATGATACAGGAAATAGTTGTAGGGGATTCATTGCATGAAAGCAGTTATGTGTATCTTTCCCCCTACAAATTTGTAACCATCTTCCAAAGCACAATTACTATAAAATTATACAGAGTTTTTAAAGTGCAGTCTCGAACACCATCAAACAACTTGATATCTATAGAAAACAATGATATAACAATATCTGGTGCTACTGTATATTATTGGAATGAGATCAACTTAGCATTGAAATAAGGTATGTATAACAATTACTTTTGTACAGAACCAAATATCTACTTTGCAGCAAAACTGCTTTTTGAGTTTGCCTTTAAAAGCAATATAAAATACTTGAAAAAATGTAAATTTACAAATGAAAGTGATATTGATTTTCCTACATAATTTATTCTCTCATTTTATTAAGTGTATATATTTGCTTCTTGTAGTTATAAGAATTGCATAATAAACCCCACTAGAACTGACTGTCTATCTATCTACCGTGTTTCCCCGAAAATAAGACCTACCCCAAAATAAACCCTTGCCAGGTTTTTTGGGGTGGGTCTAATATAAGTCCTTCCCCCCAAAATAAGCCCTATTTTAGAGCCTGCGCAGCAGACAGCCCATCCATTCCGTCTGGTTGTTCGTGGTGCCGCAATCATGAGGTGATACGAGGCAGATTGGGGAGTGGGTGGGGCTGCCTCACACACCCCACACCTGCTTACCTCAGGGTCCCCTCAGCCAGGCCTCCTACACCCCGACACCTGCCTCGCCTCGGAGTGGCAGCAATGACAGCCCTGCCTAGCAGGAGCCTGCATAGCCGCTGCCAGACCACTTTTTCTGTGGCCACTGGCTGCCTCTCGCTTTGCCCAGGGCTCCATTCTCAGCTCCTGAGGCCTTTTCCTGAAGGCCTCTACTAGCAAAATGGAGGGCGGGGGCAATGCACGCATCAACTAGGGGCTCCGTTCTAAGATGCAGAGGCCTTTCCTAAAGGCCTCTGCCAGTGAAATGGAGGCCAGGGGCGATGCATGCAAACAGAGGCAAGTGGCCTCAGAAAAAGTGGACCAGCAGTGGCTACAAAGGCTCTTGCTGAATGGGGCTGTTGGTGCCGCCACCACGAGGCAAGACAGTGGAAAAAATAAGACATCCCTCCAAAATAAGACCTACTGCCTCTTTTGGAGCCCAAAAAATATAAGACCGGATCTTATTTTTGGGGAAACACGGTATCCCAAATAAATTGAATAAACTATAAACTGTATAAGCTGAAGCATGTAGAAGAGACATTTACCCAATTTTGAAAACAAAAACTACATCATTTTTTTTAAAAAAAAGTCTAGATCTTTTCTACCTTGCAAGGATGAGGATCAACACCATAGGTTTCTAATGAATGTGCTCTTAATAATAAATTAAATTCAGCAACAGCTGGACTCTGGCCCCTAGAAATCATGAAAAGAGAAATAGTTTGTGATAAACTATGAACAGTTTAAACCAATAATATTGGCTAAACAGGAAATAAAAAACTTTCATGTGATTCTGCTGATACTCTGCCACAGAAATTAATTCCTTTGGATTAAGCCTAGCTCCTGTTGACATATTGCAGGGCTCCAGAGAGCTGTGCAGTTAATCAGGGGCTATCAAGTATCATTCAACTATTTTCTATCTTTTAATATATACAGTATAAGCAGTTGGAACATAATAAGGGACAAGTGTCAATCTTGATTTCTATCCATTTACTTCCTAAATTCCTTGAAAAGAATTACTCAGATTAAGTTAATCTTTTCCTGCCCTTGAAATAAATAGGAAAATATGAAAAGATATTTAGTTTACAGTATATTTGATTAAAATATGTTAGCCTTCTAATGGTCCACTTCATTTTCATATCTGCCTGCCTACCTACCTATGCATGCATGTACTCACACAAACACATATCCTAGAAACAACCTGGACCAATTTGGCGACACACCTTAAGGCTAATTTCAAAGATGTAATCTCTCAATTCCATTTGTACATTTTCAAGTGTAGGAACTGTGCTTCTCATTTTCTGGTGTTATCCCTGGATATAGCTCAGAACAAAAGATATTCAACTGAACAGCCCTTGAAGAGGGAATAGCAGATAAAATATGTGGCAAATCCATTCATCAGAGCATTCCACAGTTTATATCAGTCTTATAATCCAGGTTGGCTTGTGTATTGATGAAAGATTAATAAAACTGAAGCACGGGAAGGGTGCAGTGGTGGGATTCAGCCAGTTCACACCAGTTTGGCAGAACCTGTAGCTAATTTTTTGTTGCCCAGGCCCAGAACGGAGCTCCGGAAGCAGCATCCACATAGAGAACTGGTTGTTCACATATTTGAATTCCACCACTGGATGGGTGGTACAGAAATACAACATTGTCCTCTTTTGTTCCCTCATTTACCCACATATCCAAGATTTCAGATGTTAAATCTGTGCAACCAGAAGCAAATATCACTCTGCTATCAAAATAAACCCTTGTGTCAATTCATACAAAGTAAATTGCGAAAAACCTGGCCACTGAGCACTGCCTACTAAAGCCACCACCTCCTTTCTAAAGGATCAACCAAGTGTGGTCTAAGTGAGAAAAAGGGGTACTTTGCAAGCAGATACATTAATCATCCAAGATCTGGCTTACTGGCAAATATGGCAGTCCCAGCCCTAAGGATTCAAAAGTTGGGGCAACCAGAAATTAAGTCCAGAAATGCAGAGGTACTATCACCATTTAATTATTCCTGTTACCCTGCAGACACAGCAATTTTTGAACAATAACTGCAAGCTTATGTACATTCTGGCAACACAAGCAACATCACACACTCAGATGGTCCAAACATGTACTGATGCATACAAAATAAATTATGAATAGTGTACTGATAGCAGAATTAATCGTCTTTTGCTCAGGACCAAGCTCCACTATTGCCAGTCACCAAGAGTCCTATATGTTTACTTCATCTCCACATTTTTCAATAATCTTGGGGATAGACACAGATTAATAAAGCACATAGTGTGGCATTACCTTTGATTTCCTAAGTGCAAAACATACTATATTGTATGTTGTTGAAAGCCATTTAGATGTATCCAATTAAGATAGGATTCATTATGTTTTGAGAGCCTCAGTTACATGCAAAATTTACTAGTCTTTGGTAATTTCACTGTAGACTTATTCCATTGACTATAGCATTATCTCAGATTCTGATGTCCAAGGATCTTACTTCAAACAGGCACTTATTGTCAGTCCATCTTCCTTCATACACATCCAACTATCTCTTTGCAATACCAGGCTGATACAGTACTTTTCATCTTGCTTCCAAGGTGAATCTGCCTCAGAGTGGGAGGGCAGTTTCCTCCCAAATACTTTTGTCCCCAGGCATATCTTCCAAGAAGCTTTTACTTAAGGAAATCAGCCTCACGTGTTCAAATCCTATTCCATCCCAAGAGTCCAAATCATGTTGAATTTTTGAAGTCACGAAATTTGTGCCAACAAAGCATTTCCTGTACCCTCTCTGTAGTTCAGATACATAGTGGGCTTCTGATTGAAAAAATGGAACTGCCTTTTTAAGAGATGGTAACATCTGTACAGATCATGGCTGGTATTTAATTAATTTTTATAAAGAAGTTTGACAAAGCAAGATGGTTTTGTTCTGTTTACATGGGATAAGAAACTAATTTACTTACTATAGTATAAAGTGCAGTAAAGTAAATACTGTAACAACTAATGCTAGCAGCTTTTTGTACTCAACATGCTTTAATCCCAAGCATATTTAGGCATCACTACATCTGGACTGCAAAAAATCTCCACGATTGTTAGATGGCAGCAAAGAGAGTTGTTTTTGCTCTCTAGTGGATGTCCAGATTTTTACAGTTCAGTCTGGTAGCTACAGTTCAGTCACAGACTAACCAGACTGAAGAATTAAGCAAGATGTTAGAAAATATCATTAAAATATAGATGAAATAAAATCAATGTATATGCACTAAGATGTTTGGCAATTTATATATACTGTGATTGTAACAAATAAAATACTAGTCCTACACATATAATTAAAATACATGTAGAAGAAACAAGGATCAAAGTAGAAGAATGGGAAGCAAAAATTGAATCAAAAGAGGAAAAATTAGCCTGTTTAAACAGCAGATCTTCTAAACGGCACTGTTTTGTATCATGTCTGTATAATGTAGTAGTCGTTTTTAAAATATTATACTACACTTAACATCTTAACCCATTAACATCTTGACTATATTAATTTTACTACACCTATAGGTAAGCAGCAAATCCAAGGAAAAATAAATTTTCCTGCAGTTTCACTAAAAATAACTAAGTAACTTCCTTAAATGGCAATCTCAATTACCTGAATTCATTTTTATGTATTTCGCCAATTTTTCTTTCCAGCTTTTGAGATTGTTTAGGGAAGATCTTAAATTCACTGACGTAATTATCCACATGTTCATCAGAATCAGAATCACCTAGTTCAGCTGTACAGGAAAAAGAAAAACAGAGAGGAAACACCAAATACATTCTTACCAAATGAGAATTTCAACACTGGAAATGCACTATTTACAGTTCAAATATAAATGGGTTTCATCGCATAATCCCGAAGCTCTGATACTTATCTTTAAAGTTTTTATATTCACCTTTGAGCTGTTGATTTCTGAAATATCATTTTTTTTTTCCAATTGAAAGGTATTTCTATAGGAAAGTCAATTTTGTAATTCTTCTCCAGGTCCCCCTACATAGGCATGTCAAACTCGCGATGTCACGTGACATCGTGCGATGTATCGCGACTTTTTCCCCATTGCCGGCAAAGGGGTGGGGATGGTTTTGGTGTGATGCATCTGGCCCGCAGGCCAGCAGTTTGACATGCCTGCCCTACGTTATCTATGCCAATGGCCTCTAAGGAAAAGGATCCATTGATTGTAGGCTCTTATCTTTAAAATACTTTCTTCAGGTTTTCAACTATTTTCAGTACCAACCAAATATCTTTCTCAATCTATTCTGTTGCAATAAGTTATAATTCCATGGGGTTTTTTTTCCTGTTTATTAGTTTGGCATTGTTATTTGTCCCTATTGTTTCAAGCTGTGGTAACTGCTTTGGAAACAGCAGTGCTGCAGGTCATTTACATTTTATAAAGAAAGCAAACATACTAATTTTATAGTAAAACATAGCACGGATATTAAACAACAAGAAATCATATTTTATTCATTATTAAGTAGCAGGCATGCCATTCAGATTTTAACAAGAAATTTGTTTTATTTGAGGCACTTTATTCAATCTTATGTATTATTAAATCTCATTAGGTGATTTCCTAATTTAAAACACACAATAAAACTATAGTTCTTTTAGCTGCTTAAGGAAACAGAAAAATGGGGGCAAAGATTTCAATTCTCAACCAGAAAAAAATCCAATGCTAACTAATAAATAAAATATCTGACCAATAAACATAAAGATAATATAATCATCACAAAACTGACCACCTGTCGTGGCTCTGCAATACATTGAAATGAGGTGTTCCACAACATGCAAGGGCTTACATCAGGGGTCTTCAAACTTGGCCCTTTTATGACTTGTGGACTTCAACTCCCAGAATTCCTCAACCAGGCACACTGACTGAGGAATTCTGGGAGTTGAAGTCCACAAGTCATAAAAGGACCAATTTTGAAGACCCCTGGCTTAGATGAATAGTGACAGTAGTAGCTTCCTCAAAGGTTTTTCTTAACTGTTTCCCCACGCATGTATGTGCATAGCCACTTTGCTTCACTTTCTTCTCAAAGTGTACATACCTGCCAAATATCTAGTTTTTGAAACTACCACACAGGCCTTACAAAAGACAATTCAAAGAGAGGAGCTGCTTTCATGAGCACCTCAATCCAATGATCTGTATAGCCCTACAAATATGTAGCTTTTTACTGAGACAGCATGAAAGGATCAGCAGCATTATCTGTGTCAACAATATCTTTCTCCTATACAGTGAAGAAAAAATATATGTTTTCATCCTTTATTTCAAAATAGTGTGGGAATGTGAATAGAAGGCAGGAATATGCAACAGTAGAAGCAGTAGACTAGAAGCAGTGGAAAGCCACAGCCTATTGTCTAACTTACATACCTACTTATAAGTGGACAAAATCCAGACTAAAGTATAATTCATCTATCTTGGATACAACACTATTAATTTTAAAACCGTGCTATTATAGTGCCGTGAAGTAAAAGTACCAGAGTACAATCATTTCACTTACCTTGAATAATGCACGCTCCCAGGTAAGCAGCATCAGAAAACCCACACAGCAAACGGCCATGGAAAATATCTCTTTTGATTTGGAGGTATAAAAGGTACCTGCATTTTGTAAGGAAAAAGATTTCTGTTTTTATTTTCTCCCCCCCTCTCTCAATAATTCTAGTTTACTCATGATCAGATATTGGGTGAAAATGCCACAATGAGAACAGCAACATATCTAGAAGGCAATTGATTAGGAAAGTCTGAACTGCAATTTGTAAAGCAATGCAGAAAAGGAAATTTGGGAGGGAGGGAGGGAGGGAGAGAGGGAGAGAGAGAATCACTTCCCTACCTTCCATACTATATTTCCAATAAAGAAATAAAAATAGAAGCATTACACTGAGTTACAATGTCTGGCTTATAACATGTATTACAATTTATTCTTTTTTAAAAACAAAAACCCTATACAGTATGGTATTGTCACTATGGGAAAACACTAAGGAATGTATACCTTCTATTTCTGTCTATGCGCTCAAATTGTGTTTTCTAAAATAGTTTTTTAAATAGACGGGTATTATGCAGTTCAATTTGCAAGAAGAAATAATCTTATGGTTGCTCAATATGTCCTTAAAGGACAAGCAGTTATAGAAGGCTGATATTTTGAATAGAGGAATAGTGAGAAAAGGAGTGCTTATTCTTTCTCCCTTGGGCTATTATTTGGAATCAGAAGAGAAAGGATATGGATAACTGCATTTTGCCTCTGGCAGTTAGAAAGATTATTTACTGAAGTAGTGGCAAGGGAAAGGATTAAGCATAGCTTGCTTAACAACCACAACTGAAAATATAACAGTCATTGAACAAAGCAGTAGTTAAGCTAGATATAAGGTGACCACTTCAGTCAATGACCATGATCCCAGCATTCCCAGTTGCAGTCGTTAAGCAATCTTACAGATGTTTAAGCAAACGCACAGAGCTAAAATCCTTCTCTTCCTGCCTCTCTGAGCCTGCAGAGCCTCAGACATGGAGAGGCAAGGAGATAAGGCACAGAGAGGCAGGGAACAAGTATTTTAGTATGCTAAGTTTGGTCCAGTGGTTAAAGCACTAGGCTAGAAAGCAGAAGACTGTAAGTTCTGGTCCCATCTTAGCCATGAAAACCAGTTGAGTGACCTTAGCCCAGTTCACCTCCCAGGATTGTTATTGTGGGGAAAATACCAGGAAGAAGATATATTGGATATATTTGCTACCTTATTTGTAAAAATAATAAAGATGATATAAAATGAATAAATCCTTGGCTCCCTATCTTCTCTTCCTGTGAGGGAGTCCTCACAACAGGTGACAACAGCTTGCAATTTTCTTTGCTGACTTTCTAGGGACAATTACAAATGGCAATCGTATGATTGCCGGGCATTTGGTAACTGCCTGTTAAAGTGTGAACAGGTTGCCAAGCCCTCAGAACTGCAATCACATTTCCGAGGGAGTGTGTAAGTTTTGCAATGGTCAGAAATGCTTTACAAGCCATAAATAAATCATCTGTCCCAAGACTGTTGTTAATTCAAAAGTTTATTAAGCAACTAGCTCTACATGTCTTCTGCCCATTAGGATTGTCTGTTCAAGGGCACATATTTCTATGGTTGCTTTGAGATAAGCTGGAGCGTTGCTAGCGTTTAACTCATCAACGTATGCCCACTTCCTAATAACAAGAGCAGTTCAAGTGTGGAACCAGTGAATTAAAGACAGGGTGAACTTCCCTTTATTGAATGTGCTGTCTTTGGAAGACCTTTGGAAAGTTAGTAGAGAGTTAAGAAGACAGCACAGCCAGAGAAGCTAGGTCAGGAAAGGAAACAGTGAAAGGTAAAAAGTCTGTGCAAGGAATTAGGAGACAAGGTAGCTGGGCAAACAAATAGTTGGTCGTGCTTGCTGGTGAATTGGGTTGGACTGGGAGCAAATTAATGCTTGTTGATATTTGCTAAGCATGAGGAGCCACTTGGTTCTGGGGAAGAGAATTCAGTAGGGTGAATGATTGTTGGGCTTGTTGGGGTAGGCTGGGGTGGGCAAGGTTTCCCAGACAGTGGCAAGTAGACCCAGAGCCACACAAGGCAGGGTGCAGGATGGCTAAAAGGATGTAGACGGGGGGGGGGGGGAGATATGGGGGAAAATTGGAGGCAGTCCCTTACTTTACTGAGGCATGGGAAGGGACCAAATCTGGAATGGCTTGAATTAGGATGGGTATCATTTAATGACCCATGATTCTCAGGTGACAACTGCAATAGGGAACATCGGGATTGTTGTTGTAAATCAGTACAATTCCTTGCTTTAAGACAGCCCTGAGTTATGACTGTAATCCCAGTCCAAATTGTGGTTGTAAGTCAAGGACAACCTGTAAATGGTATAGGAATAGATAAATTAACTTTACTATATAATTAGTCATACTTGGATTCGCCAGGCTTAACACTTTGATGAGTTTATGTGCTGTTTTTCAGGATTCCTCCAGTTTTGTACACATTCTAAAACCCTTTAAAAATACTAATTTTAAAATTGCAGACCAACTTTTAATTTTCATAACAGAAAAAATGATAAGAGTTGGATTAATAATTACTTTGATTAATAATTATATATTTTTCTCTTCAGTCTCAATCAATCAATAAATTTTATTACAGCCTAAGTCCTGATTCAATCAAAATATCTAATAATAGAAGTATTTTGTGTCTGTCTGTCTATCTGTCTATCTATCTATCTTATGAACAATAACAATCAGTATAATAGAATCGAAAAATAATTCAGGGCAGAAATACTAACATCAAAATACTATTATAAGAAATAACAAATCTAACTATGGCATATTGTGCATGAGATAATACAAAACTGGGTGAGTTCGGAGGATATTTTTGAGTCTCTTCACTCTAAAATTAGTTTTTGAGCAAATCCATTAAGATTACTATGGTAGAAGGAAATAATTCCTCATATATATGCTTAAACCAAAATGCAAATACAGTGTATATACAAAATGCAAATACATATTCCCTGAATTATTCTAGCTTTGTGTGGAAAAAATATATACACTAGTAAATTTGTGTGGCTTATTTGTCAGCAGTTGTGGAATTAATAGTTTCAGATTGGTTTCACCAACTTACATCTCAACCTAACATATTTTAGGAACAAAATAAAATAAAAAGGTCAATAAAGAATTATTGCTACAAACACTAAATCCCCCTCCCCCAAATAAGAACTTAAACCAGAAGGACTTTACTTTTTCCTATCAATTCTAAATGCAAATGGAATTTAAAGTGAGAATACATTTGCTTTTATATTTCGTGACGATGATTTATTTTCCCCAAATGTATTAAATTATATCTGTGAAAATTCTTTACAAAACCATAGAAGGAAATATACTTCCTTAGCATTGTCAGCGAACAGCAGAAATTATTTATTCACAATATGCTGTCAAAATAAAATAACATGTTTTTGACAGAGATTGTTTTGGGGATGTCAAAGTATTTTTTTTTTCCAAACAAAAGAGAATGGAAACAGCAACATCTCCTTTGAAGATATAGTGATGCTTGTTTGAAGAAATAGCTTGTTTGAAGAACTTTTTATGTTTTCATTTAAAGATCATTTCAAAAGCTGTATGTATTTATTTCTCTTCATGACTTTTTGGGTTGAATTACTGGTTGGCATTGCAATATATTACACTGCATTCTTGCCAACTGAAAAATTAGAAAATCAAGTTTCAAAAGTTCATGGAGAGAAGAAATGAAAATGATAAGACAAAACATTTCTTTTTCATTCATATCTAATGCCCGCTTGATATTCTGACACAATAACCAACTCATAACCCCCCACTTCCATCCTGTTTGAAAAGCAAAATTTGTAGATGAAGAGAACTTTTCACAAAATGTAATATTTGCTGTTACTATAGGTACCTAGAGAGAAGAGTCAAGACAATGGTGATAACGCAATATTTATTGACCTCATCAGAGCTTTTATTTATAGCAAATTTATCATCATTTTTGGTACCCACTCTACATTAATTTAAAAACTTTTCAGAGTAATTTCTAGAATCTCTCAAAGAGTCATGTCAAAATTCCACAGTTTATATCTATTTGGAATTAAAGTACAAATCAAAGCTGCCATACTAATTTAACCCCCTACAAGATTGATCTAGGATTTCTGGTTTAAAATGATCTAAAAAGCACTATTTAAAAAGATCGGTCTTTAAAAAAGTTTGTAAGTCTTGTGAAAACCTGATGAAGTTGTGCCTTCCTAAACAGAGAAGTTGACTTTTAAATACAAATATTCTGTTCATCTCCCTGAAATTTGGCAGATATGATGTCTGTAGGACACTGTCTAAAACCTGTAAATTTAATTTGATTAGTATTTAAAATGTTATGTTTCCTATAGCAAAAGAAAACTGTATGTCTGCTGTTCAAATGTCAGAAAAAAATTAAGCTTTTCTTAGAATATAGAATGATTGATGATGAAGATTATGTGTATCTCCTTTGGGATCCTATATTGTCCTACCGGTACTTCCAAACCTCTCTGAAATAATTTATTATAGAACATATGAAACCTATGTAATACAGGTTCCATGGGGATGAGATAGTAGTTATGATTTCATTGTTTCATGACATATTATTTTTATTTCCCAAAAATATAAAAACAGTTTACATTTCATTTCTTTAATGCAGATCAGTATTTCTTAGAGCAATGCATTTTTTTAGAACCTATTGTTAATCTCTCCTTATCTAAACGCTGTTTTCCCCATCTAATTCTGTTCAGAACAGATACTTTACTGGCTTAATTATTTGTTCATGTAGTTCTAATATTGCTATTGTACAAAATTACGAAAGTTCAGGATTTCTTATGTGTGAATAATTCATGAGATCATTCCTCTAAAATAAGCAAACCATCTCATGATGCAGGAGTACAGAATGGGATGCTAGATCCTCTACTAGAATTTTAAGCATTAATTCAAGGCACTTTGAGACCAGATTTCCTGCCATGAGTTTTGGCTCCCCAAAACACAGCCTTTTCTGTGGAATTGTCAGCCTGAGCAAAACACCTGTTCTCGAAGTGCTAAATCTGTTCCCAGTTGTCTACTTGTGCGGGTGTATAAACAGATAACTCTTCTTCCAAGACTACTAGCAAGATGAAATGGTTGTGCATGCACACATTTGAACAGAAAGCAAGGAACAGCCTTCCAAAGGATGTAGCTGCTTTAATACTTTAAGGAAGAGTACTTCTTTCACACCCATAAACTTTGCAAAACTTTCTTTCTAATACTTTGTACAATTCTACATATGTAATGCTCAATGTCAGCACTTTTACAGTTCTATTACTCTTTATTAACATAGCAGCAATCAAATTTCTTTCCATTTAGTTTTTTTTCACCAATTATCAAGTAATATGCACATTCCATTTAAAAATAAAGGCAATAACAGCTTTGTTTATATCTTACCTGACAGAGTAAACTGAATCACTCAAAAGTTTACAGACTGTTTTAAATTAGAATGTGCCTAATATAGGCATTGATAATTAAATTATTATCTTAATATTTTAAGGTAGCTCTGATATCTAACATGTTTACATGTGACACATATACTATTAATTGAAAAAATCTCATAAACCGTTCTTTAAATCCTAGAAAATATGTATAAAATTAAAAGCCAGCAAAAGCACAGAAGTTTACTAAAGCACTAAATGCATGGACAGGACAAAAATACCTGGTGAGCTCTTCCTTAATCTTCAGGGGTTCATGCGGGTAGAATTTCACTCTAAAGCACATGGTATATGGTGGATGAGCTGAAACATTATATAAAAAAAGCATGAGCACAGCTATATAAAACATGACTTCTCGTGAGATGCAACTTGTGAGATGCAGTGCATTAAATTAAGAAGAAAAAAAAGCAAATGATAAATAACAAAGCTCGAAGTATGGCACAAAGTTCAAAGCATAAGGAAGTTATAGCTTGTTAATGCAGAGAGATATATATATCACATTGTAATTTTTATTTGATTGATTTATGCAAAAATCCTGCTAATTATTCTGTCTGTCTGAATTGAATACAAAAAGCAGAATTGGACAATGTAATTATAAATCCAGAACCCTGTAATCCTAAACTTAAAACAGGAATGCAACAGGGAAAGATTTCTGCAACAAGAAAAGACACTGATTTTACCAGTAAGGAGAATTCAGGTAACTTTTTAATGTTTGTTGCAGGTGTTAAGAAGAGTATTCATTTCACATACTTTATCAACTACAGAATAGCAACTGATTTACCACGTCTGTTGATTAGTATCATTTTGAAAGTAGAAAAGTGTATCTTATGAAATATTATTTATATTATTTATTAACATGGTTACTGCTATTTTGTAACAATTTAGATTGTTTATTCAATGGGAAAATATAGGACACTGTACCAATGAGAATACAAACCAGCATTTTGCAACTTATTGATAAAGTAGCGCTATGCATGTTTACTGAAAAATAATCTCAATCTTCCATAAATTTCACCCTTTATAAGTGTTGCTAAAATCTTCACCACATTCATTTTTGTATGAGAGTTGTACACTAGAAGTAGTTCTCATTTAGCAACCACAGTTGGGACAGCAACCTATTAAAATAAGTGGTCACTAAGTAAAACCATGATCTTACTTTAGCTTTATAGACTTGTGAAGGTCATAAATGTGAGGATTGGTCATAAAGTTACCTTTTCATCATGGTTGCAACTGCAAACAGTTGATAAACACAGCAGTCAGTAAATGAGAACAACCTGTACTAACCTTTGTGGCTAGTTGAGAAATATTTAATCAGCTTTGTGATAGATAAATATCATTACATTATTATTTATCAATATGTTTACTATATTATTATCATGTTACTCTTTCTTATCATAATGAGACATAATACCCATGTTTACATGGCAAGGCCTGGTCTTCTTTGTATGGGGAGAAAAATGTTGTCTTATGCATGGCTCTCAACAGGGAGACAAAAAGGGATAAGTGGGGTTGTGTGCATCATTCTGTCACCATGTTACAGGCAGTCCTTGACTTACAACAGTTTCTTCGAAGTTACAACGGCACTGGAAAAGGGGACTTATGACTGTTTTTCACATTTATGACTGTTGAAGCATCCTCGTGGTGACATGATCAAAATTCAGACATTTAGAAACTGACTCTTATTTATGATGGTTGCAATGTCATGTGACCCCCATTTACGACCTGACAAGCAAAATCAATGGGGAAACCAGATTCACTTAACAACTGTGTTACTATTTAACAACTGAGGGATTCACCTGACCACTGTGGTAAGTAAGGTCGTAAAATGGAGCAAAATTCACTTAACAAATGTCCCACTTAGCAACAGAAATGTTGCACTCAATTGTGATCGTTAAGTCGAGAACTACCTGTATATAATTTGGGTAGTGATGTGATGACACACAGGACATATCACAGCTTGTACCATACACTATGGCCTTATATTTCATACAAATCCAAATTGACAGTTCTTCCTTGTTTTTCTTTTATGATATAGTTTTTTTCCTATACTTTCAGATAACAACAAAGAGAAAGATTTCAATCTTCTTACAATACAACTTACTAACTTAAGCAAAGCCAATAAGAATCCTATATGTAAAATGTCTTATGCAGCTACTAAAGGTTATGCATCAGAGAAAACTCAGTAGATGCTTTCATTTTCATCATGTATCATCTATTGCTTCCTATTCTCTATATATTGCTTTTCCTTCCTTCCTTCTTTCTTTCCTTCCTTCCTTCCTTCTTTCCCTCCCTCTCTCCCTTCCTTCCCTCTGAGAATTCTGACTGAGATTCCATTGTATATATTCATATTTTTCGTCTAATAAGTATTATTCAAAACCTTGCTTCTTTATTGATGCTTCCTCAGGTTTTTTTACTATTTAAGATCCACTTGAATGCTGGATAGTTGTAAACCAAAGTCAGTATGAAAACACAGTTTCAGGGTACATAAAAACCTGCTTTGCATTATTTATGTTAATTGCTCTTCAGGGACTTAGGTAGCATTCTAATCATACTGTGGTACTATACACCAGGATAGAACCATTGGAATTTTTTTTCTAAAATAAAAAGAATAAGAAATGAAAACCCAAGAGTAAAGTCAAGGATCACTAATGCAATTGCAATGGCTCCAAATTAGCGTGGTTTTTTTTGAAGAACAGACAGACAGGAAAAATAAATGAATCTGGTTATTCCAAACTCCGGTTTCTATTCAGGTGGCTGTTTTAAATCTACCAGAAACTACATGCATATGAGTGAGCAGCCTGTGAGAAGACTTAACATCCCAGATAAGCCCATGTACATTGACTATACATGTACAGTTGTAGATATAGATGGATACATTAATTTCAGACTTTAAAATGAAATATAGTTCAGTCACAGATCAAGGAGGTATTGTACTGATGTGTATAATTTTACATCGTAATTTTTAAACATTACTGATGCTATGTAACAGTGACAAGGGACTGTGACCACCATGAAACGCTAGTGTATAGGATGACCAAAAATAAGACAATTATTATAGATATTATTTTTATAAGATTCTTTTCCAAATGGAAAAAAGAAACAGACTGAATCAATTGTGACTGAATCACAATTTTTTAAGCTGCCACAAGTTGCACTTTTTTTTTTCACATCCAGCTTTATAGTAGAGACGAAACAATGATATTTTGATGTCGTAATAGTAGATGTTCTCGATTTGTAGGCACTGTTTTAGGAGAATTATAGTTTTTTAAAAAATTACACCATTTTTTTCTCTGTATTTCATATGAAATAGCAGAGAAAGGCCAGCTCAAATATGTAGATACTTTGCCTCCAAATGTTAGCAGCAGCACAAACCAGGATTATAAAAGAAAAGGACTTAGGACTACTGTATCATGCAGTCTCTAGGTTAAATACCCCTAGCTGCAACTATTAATGTAATGTGATATTCCTAATCTATATGGATTTGTACTTGCTCTAAACCAGGGGGTCCTCAACCATGCCAACTTTAAGACTTGGGACCTTTTCCCAAGGTCTCTGAATTCTTGGATGAATGTGTTTCAAGGTCTATCTGCTGAAATTACTTGAAGCCTAAATGATACAAGGCTCTGTTGTTTATCTGAATTGTCAATGTTGTCAGAGCATGGCTTCCTCCTTTCCTGAACCATCAGTTCTGATCTTTCTGTCTTCTCCCTGCAGGGTTTTCTGACTGGAATGATCTGACATCCTAGCTGTCATCAGCTTACTTCTCTACATTCAGAACTCTCAATTTAAAGCAACCATATCTGGTTTCTTTAAAGTCACAGTCAGTGAAAATCTACTAGACAGTAATTTAGTCAGTCTTCTGGTATAGTCGTAGTATTTTTAACCCAATCAAAGGTATAAATAAACACTATAAAACATAAGCAAGATAAATATATGCTTTTTCACATCCTTTATAGCAGGGGTTCTCAACCTTGGCAACTTTAAGACTTGTGGACTTCAACTTCCAGAATTCCTCAGCCAGCAAAGCTGGCTGAGGAATTCTGAGAGTTGAAGTCCACAAGTCTTAAAGTTGCCAAGGTTGAGAACCCCTGCTTTATAGTATGTGGATAAGGAAATTAAAGACTAACCTTAATTGTTATCTTATTCACAGAGATTATCAACCTGCTAATTAATAATTCCTTTCACCTTTCCCCCTTTAGAAAGATTCAAGGCAGAATCTAACTGTAAAAAGAATTTCAACTACTGTACAAAAAGAGAGCTCATAACAGACGAGAGAAGAGTCAAATTATAAAAAAATAAACTCAGCTTATTATTCTTCCCAGTGTTCCAAAAAATTGGGATAGAAACTTATCAAAGAAATACAATAAATTATATCTTAGTGGTATCAGCTACCACATATTATACTCTTTTAAGTAAGTGCTAAAGATCACAAAAAGAAAAACATTAGCAATTCATGGGGAAGAAATCATACTGGGTCAGTTAAATATGTATATATCATGCATCAAACCCATTGAGTACCAGTCTATCAATTAGCTACAAGTATAAATGTGAACAGTCAAAAAGCAAAATTATTCCTACGCAAAAAAGGTGCATAATAATCAAATTTATAGTGGCAGAGTGGTCTTTCATCTGTCAAAGAAAGCCAGCCACAATGTCCTATTGAAAGCCCCAATGCTCTGCCAATTTCTCCTGTAATTTGAGCCAGTTTTTACCAGAATAGATTCAAGATCTTAACAGTTTTTTAAAAATAGTTATAGTACTCTATTCAATACAGCTAAAGCTATGCTAATCTTATTAATTTACAAAACAATATTTAAGTACAAAGGAAAGGGAAAAGAAAAAAAATCTTCCTTATACAAAAGTGAATGGTATATACCACATGCAGTGACACCATGGACCAGAGACCAGTTTCAATAAAGATACTACTGAATATGAAGAGAACCTTGAGATATAATCAGAACTAATTTCAGCTAACTTATACATATTTTAAATACTACTTGCAATTCAAACCAACACTGAACAAGAAAGAAAGACTTGGGCAAAAAAGACTTTCTAGAATGTGCTTATTAATTAATTTCTCATGTTTGTACCCTGGCCCAATCCAGCAGCCAAAAAAATACTGAATAAAAACAAAAATGAAATGTACACAATTAACAGAAATCCACTAGATGGCCACCCAAAGAGCATGATGGAATAGCGTTGTTTTAATAGTTTTATAAAGTGTCAGGAGAGCAGGAGTTGCTTAGGAGGAAGGAGTTCTAAACCTCAGAGCCACAACAGTGAAAACCTGCATTAGTCTGTGTTCCCTTCACCTCATACTAAGTGGGGATTCTGAGGAGGCCTTTTTGTGGTATTTTTATTGGTAGTCATATTCAGCCTTGGCAAGGCAGCACCTGAGGTAATCCAGTGCCACACTGCAAACGGCCTTGCACGTCCTCGCCAGCATTTTGAACTGGACCTCAAAATCTACTGATATCCCATTGTAACAACCTTAGTAGCAGCATTATTCTACTATTGACAGGATTGTTCCATCAACAATCCAACTTCTAGATTTTGGGCCAAAGCTCAATTTACATACAATAGTGTAATCCAACCAAGTAGTAATGAAAGCATCAGATACTTCTATGCAGTTCTCTTACTTCAGTGGTGCACTATTGAAAATTGGACAACCTTGGCTACTCTACTAACAGCATAAGCAGCAGCTGTGAATTAAGGACTCCAGATCATGGACCAACTCCTTCAGAGAGATTGCCACCCTAATTAAGCTAAAGTTCCTAAAAAGCAATTTAGCCTTGGAAGCATTTGGTCTATCTTGCATCCGCCAGACAGACTCCACATATTTGTTCAAGCTTTCTACACTATATCCTTGGCCCAACCTAGAGTAGCAATGTACATCTGTGTATCATCCATATATTGGTGACACTTCATCTCAAACTGCCGGATACAAATGATATATGAAAAGACCTTGAGAGAGAGGGTGATTTTATTCTGTCAATCCTTGCCTGAAAGGATCTAGAAAATGGAACATTTCCAACCAGAAATGCTGGACTTGGCATCTGTGGATACCGAATGTCCTGGGAATAGGTCACAATTCAGCATAATTAAGTCTATCCTCCTAGATTAAATAGAGGCTAAAATTTAAATTTTTGACTTCTGAACTAAAGAAATAAGCAATAATGTTTATCTAATTTTAACCATTTATATAGCAGAGAAAAGGGGAATAGCTAAGCTCACCAAACAGCATAGAGTTGATCATACTTTTCAAAAGACCGAGCAAAGGATTCAAAATCAAATCCTACAATAGAGATTAGGCAACTGGGTATGTTTAGTCTTGAGAAAAATCAATGGAGCAAGGATATTATGCCATTCTCCAAGAATGTGAAGGTAAACACAAGGATGCAAATTGTTTTCTATTGTCCCAGAGTATAAAGCACGGAATAACAATCTTAAATAGCAATTCACTTAAGTGCTAAGAAAACCTCTACAATTAAGACAGTGTGACAGTGGAACCACTTTCCTAAGAAAATGGTGTGCTCCCTTTCATTGCATGTATTCAAACAGGCTGGACAAACATTGGACAGGGATACTTTTATCTGGGCTTCTGCAGGAAGTTGACTCTTATGGCTCCTTCCAAGTGTATGATTCTGTGATACATTATTAGACAATGCCAACAAACTCTCATTCTGTATTGTAGAAGATGGGAAGAGGAGCAGGTTGCAAGGGAAAGCAGACAATAAAAAGCCAATTTTTCAGCTTTTTCCATTGAACCAATGTCATTTGTACTCCAATAATTTACTTATTAAACAAATTTATATAGCTGCCCAAATCACACACGTTGACTCAATACAGATGGCATGCAACATTAAAAATTCAGTTAAAAACCCACAATTTACACCTCATCCCAACCCAATCAGACAAGCCATTTGATCTGTTCCCAAGCTGGCTGACAAAACCATGTCTTCAACAGCCTTGTTAAAAGGCAACAAGATGGGAGTAATCTTATCTCTGGGGGAATGATATTCCATAGGAAGGAAGTCATCACAGGGAAGGCCCTTTTCCTAGGCCCCACCAGGTGTACTTCCTTGATAGTTGGGACCTGCAACATGCCCTGCCTTCCTGCTCTGGTGGGCTGATAGATACAATTGGAGAGAGGTAGTCTGTCAAACAACTTGGCTCCAAGCCCTGTAGGGCTTTCCTATGTACATAATTATATATGCACATAATTGTATGTATGTAATTATGTACATATTAACTATATACATGCATGCATAATTACACAATATATAATTGCTTCCCTACCTTTATTTCTGCTAGATATCATGAATTTCAATATTTGATTGTATAATTAATCTGATTCTAGCATTTTCTTTGTTAAAATAAAATATATTTATGTACTCAGCTCTTATTTTAGAAAGTTCTATTCAAATACATTTAGAAACAGGTAGCGGGGGGAGGGGACTTTTATCTGGACCCTGAGGAGAGATGCAATGGTATGAAACAAAGGGGAAAAAAATAATTTCAGCTTCTGTACACCACACACTGGGAATTGAATTTGAATGCAAAAGAGCCTGCATCTGTTTGAACTTTGTGAATCTTGGTCAGTTTGAGTGTTCTTATTAATCTTATTATACTACCATTTGAAGCAACACATGATATTTTCCCTGAGGGTATGGGAAAAAAGATGAAAATGGTTGGTTCTTAATAAAGGCATTATGGATTATTTAAACTTAAACAATCCTAAAATAAGTATCACACCTTCACTTTAAAAGGGAAAGAAATTAAAATATTATGAGAATATTTGAAAGATCATTATAGAAAAAGTAGAAAAATTGTAAAAGCAACAATAAAACAGTAAAACCTATAAGTCACTACAAACTGAAGGTCTTCCTAAAACCAGAAGTCTCATATTCCAATGGAAGAACATCAGGTAAAGATAATGTAGATTAGGGAATAAGGAATTCCCAAGCATATTCAGTACTTCTTGTAATTGATTTGTTAATGCATTTCATCTCCCTTAGAAAACTTACTTTAAATGATATTATTTATTCTAGAGATAAAAAAATGCTTGCAACAGCTGCAACATAATCCTATACATATTTAAACAGAAGATGTTCCATTGATTCAATAGCCATTAGTGAAATATGCAAGTATACAATCTGAGCCCTAATTATATCCATTTATGTATATTGATCCTTCTTCTGTAACACAATGCTAGATGCTAGAAATGGCACTAATGCCTTTGTTAGAAATGGCAATTCTACTGAGGGTATGTGGATAAAACTTCTCTTTTTGTCATAGAGCAGCTAAAGCATATGTCAATAGATCAAGCAATAGGTCTCACTGTTAAGCGTTTATGGACTGCAAACTGAGCTTTCTTTGAAGACTTAGGATTCAGTCTCTAGAAGATCATAGTTGTGCCAATAGATCAGACAATAGATCATTCCACAATTAAAAGAAGTAATCACAGAATGACAGCTTAAATGGAATTAAACTTTATCCCTTAAAACAGAAGACACTTTAACTGAGTCTCTGAGAGCTGGGCAGGCAAAAATGTAGGATTCCTATTTTCCACTCTTTCCAACACAAATCTGTTTCTCCTCAAGGGACTGATAGTTCAAATCCCTATTTGTTCCCTGAGCAGAATCTATAAAAGAAGAAAATGGAAAGCCTATGATTTCTGTCTAGAGGGTTGGGTCTGGGCATAGGAATGACATACTTGAAACCAAGAGCCCATTAATCATCCCAGTCATCCAAAAAGCCTATGAATGGCCTTATGTCAAATACTGTTCTTGAATACTGGATTTCGAATGGCACTGCAAGTTACATGTGTGTGTGTGTGTGTGTGTGTGTGTGTGTGTGTGTGTTTTCTGAGGTTTTCGCGGGTGTTTGTATGTAGGTCTTTGGTTGTTCAGGTTTTCTCCCGCGTAAAATTGGAAGTGTCTTGGCGACGTTTCGACGAAGTCCCATTCGTCATCTTCAGGCTGGTGTTTTCAGCACGAAGCTGAAAACACCAGCCTGAAGATGACAAATGGGACTTCGTCGAAACGTCGCCAAGACACTTCCAATTTTACGCGGGAGAAAACCCGAACAACCAAAGACCTACATATATATATAATGTAGATTTAGATACTTCAAACTGTAACTTAATGGAATATTTGTTTTTGATTCAGTTATTGAAAGTAAGTCTCTGGAAAAGCCAAGCTGTTTTTATTTTTTTAAAATAAGCAAATGATGTGGGCAGGAGAGGAAAACAATTAATTGTTCCTAATGCAATGTGGAGCTTAGAACTCTGAAGTTTCCAACTGGAGAGCTTTGTAGAAGAATGTGTTTGGAGCTACATCACAGATTAGATAACGCTGCTGAAAAGCTAGGCAAAATCCTCCAATGAAGCCTAAGGGGACAAATCCATAGAATACTAACTTTAAAATGAATTGAAGAATATATTTTTAGATCCCCACCCCTCTTTAGCTGCTTCCCAAGTTCCTTTCTCAGGTTGTTAGCCTTTCTCAATCAGCTTTTTCTTTGTGTGTTAGGCTTTAAGTCCCATCATCCATTAATTCTGTTGGCTGATAGTGTATGAAAACACATTTGTTTGAGGAAGGCTGTTCTAATCTTTTTAAAATATATATATATAGAACTCAATGCCTGTAAACAGAATATATTAAAGTTATTTATTGAAGTTATTTTTTAAATAAGGCATAATACAGAAAATTATTGCAAAACACTGACATTTTAAAATAACAGTTCAATATATGAAATGGGTTTCTAACACTTACATTTCATTTGCCTGAAGATAGATTTATTGGGCTCAAGCCAATGCTGTAAAAAAAGATAGAAGCCACCAGTCAAAAGTATTGCAAAAAATATCATTTTCTTACAAGCATAAGATTGTAGTAAACTGATAACAGTGTTGTCTTAGCTGTGATTTCTATTGTTTCTATTAACAGTTTCAAAATGAGGACATACATGTCTGAGGAAAGACAGAAAGTAACATCTGTAAGTGAACAGCACCAGCTAATGAGATCACAAATACATAATTAGCCGAGGTGGCGCAGCAGTTAGAGTGCAGTACTGCAGGCCACTTTAGCTGACTGTGTTCAGCAGGTCAGCGGTTCAAATCTCACCGGCTCAAGGTTGACTCAGCCTTCCATCCTTCCGGGGTAGGTAAAATGAGGACCCAGATTGTTGGGGGCAATGTAAATATATATATACATTGCTTACTGGTGTACACCGCTTAGAGAGTGCTTGCACTTAAAGCGGTATATAAGTCTCATAAATAAATAAATAAATAAATAAATAATAGATATATTTAAGTTTGTTCAAACTTGAACAGGGGAGTAAAGAATATGTTAGATTTTGGATTTAGTATTATGCAGTTTCTATGAAGAGGTACAAATATACTAGCAGTTTCCTAATTTAATAAAAAGATTCTTACTTTATCTTGTTACATTTTTATTTAGTTTTTTTTTCCTCCAAGGCAGTCTGGAAGTCTTATAAGATCCTATTATTTTGTACATAATTTATCCACAACATAACACTGTGAGATAAAACTAAACAAAATATTTACATATTAAAGCAGTGCACTCTTCAAAAACTATTCAAAAACCTGTTTGGAAATTGTATAAACATAGCATCTCTTTGCTATTTATTAAGCCAGCCTCATCTTCTTTTAAGCTTCCTTTAAAAAGATGTTACTGTTTTAATGAACTGAATCTTTTCTCAAGCTTGTATGGAAATTTAAACGAAATGTTGTATACAAATGCTTTAATGAGGAACAGAGAGGTCTAGAGGTCACAATATCTAAGTATTTCCCCCAGATTACTTTTAAGTGGGTACTTGTGGAGAAACAGACTGCTGATTTGATTATATGCTTAGCAACCACGTAAATTTGTTTTCTCCTAGTGCAAGTCAAGCAAAAATAAAGTGCACACATAAGCAAATTAAATTGCTACAAACCATTGAAGTCAATAAATGTATATTTACATTGGTTCATATTGTTTAGACATTTACCTGACCATTTCATAAATGCACATTACTGCATAGTTCATTTATGTAAACCAGTATTTTATATCAGTCTGGAAATAATTCAATTGGTTAATATTTATATTAATTATATTTCTTAAAATGACAAACTGAAGACTTTTAGAGAACTTTTTTTATTCTGAGGGCAATGGATTATTAGTATACAACCTTTACTAGGACACAGTTGCACCTGCAGGATTTTTTCTTATTGCTTGCTTTTTTTGGAAAGTATATTGCTCTACACTTTCTAAACATCATCTCTAATCAGCATTTTAATATCCAGCAGTAGCTACTAGCTATTTACCATGGCAGGTGTCCTTGCAATTATTCACACTGCTGAGCAGACATATTTGTTATGTATGCCTCCACAGCACAAAGCCTCAACATGGGAAAGGTTATTTCATCGGAACTTACAAGGGTCTTTAAAAAAAAAGATTTAATATTAAATGCCAATTTTCCTATATGTGCCTGTTATTTCTACATCTATGGAAGCATTAATCATGAATGGGAGAAATAAAATATTATTTTGATTATATTTTCTTATATCATGCTAAGTGTTCTGATTTAAAGTAATCCAATATTAGTTTCTGATAAGGAGATGGTGCCAATATGTTTAATTTCTACTGTGAGACGCAAAGCATTTCTAGAGCTAAGTTTAAGATCTATCAACAAATGAAATGGGTATCCCTGATGGGTGGACAGTGAAATTAATGTTGACTCCAATCTACCCTTTTGCTATTCTAGTCAGCAGGTTTTGAAAAAATTATAGTTTTTCAGTCTATCTGAGAGTTTGGAATTATTTGAAAAAAATGTGTCTTACCTGCAAATTCAACAACTTCACTAATTATATTTTTCTCTAGAGAAATATTTCTCAACTTCAGCAAATTTAAGAAGTATGCACTTCAGCGTCCAGAAATTCCCCAGCAAATATGCTGGCTGTGGAATTTTGGAAGTTGAAATCCATACATCTTAAAAATAGCCAAAGTTGAGAAACACTGTTCACTTTTGAGTGTTATGCAGATTGCATACAGTTAATTAAAGTATATGTCTATTGTTATTATTTCTATGCAGGCACAGACTTATTAATTACTTTATATTTGAAATAATATCATTATGTCAACTGTATAAAAAGTGTCAGTGGATTTGTCAGAAAATAACACCGCCCGGAGCCCCTCCACGGGTAATTAAGAAGTATGATATATAAATAAATAAAATAAACAAACATAATATTAGGGAAGGAAAGGTGTTCTCCAGGTCCAAAGCCTGCATTAAAACTCTGCCGTTTTTTAGACTGTGTGTGCAACTTCATGACACACTTACAAAATGGACAGAACTTTGAATTGTAGTAATGCAGTACTGCGTTCATCATTTATATTGCCTTAGTCTCTTGCACTTGCCTCTAAAGAAAAGAACAACATTGATGAATGATTAGTGGCTATGGAATGTTATTGATTTAATAGGAGAAGACAGAAAATAAAGGAAGAGTAATGGAGAAAAATTGTGAAAGAAAATACATGACTGGGAAATCAATAATTCTTTGGAAAGAACTATTAGTTTAACTTACTTGCTCAATTAATACAAAAAAGAAACAGAGTCAATGATGATAAAAATTATGGCACTTATTTTAGGACTCAACTGTAAGGAGTATTGCTGTTGTGAAAATTTTAATAGAAAAAGAAATCCCAAAGTATTAAATCTCATTAACTTTGAACAATTTTCCATTGGGGGATTCTGACCTCACAAAAAAAATAAACCAATTTTAATTACATTTCAGCTTATTTGGCACTCTTGACTATAGTTTCAAAGTAAACTACATTTTAATTCCATGTAGTTTTTATTGGTCTGCAGGGTACTATCATGGTCCATTTGTCTAACTATTCTGAAATCTATCTCTAGATTTTAGCCACTGGTATCAAATTTCAAGGAGTTCCCATGTATCTATTCTGTATCTATTTTCTATTTCTACTAGAAAAATGAATAACAAGAAATTAGTATGAGCTGCCAGTTATCTTAGGCAATAATAGCACATCCATGAAGGAGGTTTGTTCATTCCTAAAGGATTTTTGGGTTCATAACTCAAGTTACCTTGAGGTGAGATAGGTGGCCTATAAATAAATAAATAAATAAATAGCTGAATCTGTGGCTAGAAAAAAAAGAAACTAATGATCTACTCATCTCTGTCTCCTTGGTTTTTGGGGTTTATAACTTAAGTAACCTTGAGGTGAGATAGGTGGCCTATAAATTTATAAATAAATAAATAAATTTTAAAAAAGATGAATCTGTGGCTAGAAAAAAAAGGAAACTAATGATCTACTCATCTCTGTCTCCTTTGTGTGGAATATGTCGTTCATACACAAATGACATATATAGACTAAACTGACAGGAGGCAAAAATTAGAGCAACCTTTAAAAATGCAGTAACAAAGTCATTGTGTTTATAGTTCCATCTTCAATCTTACCCCCAAAGGCATGTGTCACAACAGCTGAAATATAATGCTGTGTGAAAGAAGCTGGGAAAAAAGCCTAGAGTCTATATTCAACTTGCCCTTACAAGCAAGACTAGCTCTTAATTAGTGCAAATTAAGCCAATATTAAGACTTGTCAAAATATTCTGCTAGCTTTAAAATCATAAGAATTGGGCTTTACTTTCCTATCCTTTCTCTACTGCAGAATTATTTAATTAGCTAAATAAAAGCTGCTGCATGAGCTACATTTTTAAATATTGATCCTATTCTGTAATGGATATATCCACTTCCAAATAACAGCAAAAGTGGAAATGCATCCCTCTGCATCAACAAGAAGCCTGAAGCTATTTTTATTTTATGAACTACTATATAGATATTAGCAAAGTATGAGATTAGTCTTAGGGACACCAACAACACTTCTCCAGAATATCTGACAATTTTATTTTAAGCCATAGATTAAAATGCATTTTATAATGGAGTACCTGAAAGAGATCCTGAGAGAGATCAAATTCTAACAAAGAACAATTTCAAAGGATAAATATTGCTACTGTTATAAAAACACTGAGCTATTGCTATCCAGCTTGCTGTGTGCATTATTTCTTCCATCAAAAATCCTATCACTTTGTGCAGTTCAGCAATGGATTAACACACTCATAAATCTGAATGAATCCTTCAATATAAGCAATAAATTTTAGTTGAGCTATAGGGTTCTAGAAATGCACATTCTCTAATTAAGCAAACTGTCGTATTTGAAAGTCAAGCAGCACAATTTAGAAATACTGGGATGGTATGCTAAACAATATTCTGATCTAACGATTTTTATTATTTTCATGTTTTGTTTATGAATCAAAATGTAAAAATTGATTTCATTTCCTACCCACCTAAAAAGCATCACATTCTTTTTGTTCTAATTACATAAAAGCAATAGTTTTAGTTATTTTGCTGTATGAAGCACAAGGCTAAATGGTTGTATTATGTGTAAACTTATAGAAGGGCAAAGCATTTGAAAAGTGTGTTAGCACAAAGAAGCAAAGCACTCACACTCTTTGTTAAAGTCTCCTGTGACTGCTTCAAAGGTTATTTCTAGTTGTCTCCACGTATGCGTACAGCAACACTTACTTTTCCAGCAAAAGACTGACGCTATATATATACAATTAGAGACAGTCAAACCATAAATTTTTGAGAAGGGATGCTGCATTCATAAAACATATATTTTGGAAGGCACCTCTTTTAATAGATAAATCAGATTTATTGGTGCATCTGCCAGATATACTGCTTCACTGAAAGCTTCGTTTCTTGATGAGGATGATATTTAAATAAGGCTACTGTACAAAATCTAGGTTAAAAAAAATGCAGAAAGCCATTAGATGGCAACAAAGAAATACAGCAATGCTAACTCTCTGCTGTCGACTCTTGATTATGTGAATTTCTGCAACATAGATCTGGCATTCCCAAAGCTGCTTTTTCAAAAGGGAAGTGGACTTTCTCTGTTTTTTTCCTTGAAGATGTTTTGCTTCTCATCCAAGAAGCTTCTTCAGTTCTGACTGAATGGTGATGAATGGAAGGATTTATATTCCTTGCAGATGACTGCAAAGAATAAAAAACTTTCCATTCTCCACCATTCAATCAGAACTAAAGAACTTCTTGGATGGGAAGCAAAATGTCATCAAGGAAAAAGCAAAGTCCAGTTGCTTTGTGAAAAAACATCTTTGGGACAATCATGACCTGGATGGCTGAGAATGTCCATAGGCAGATCTGGTAGCTATAATTTTAAAAGTCTAAAGAGCCATTTGAAGAGTAGTTGCAAGCTGAATTTCAGAAGTATGTTCTTGCACTTTGATTTTATTTTCAATAAAAAATAAATTGCCTAACTCACTGTTTGCATATTTTATTGTTTGCCTATATGAGAAAAGGTAGACAGATTTGGATTCAACTAAATTAAATCCAATCATATTAGCCAGGTTGAAACATTCTGTTTACAGTACATTAGGAGAAAGAAAGTCAATTTTTGATTACATTATCTCAGTTAAGCAGGTCAAAGTAATATCTGTGAAGATAGATCAAGATATAGATTATCACTCAGTCAACATATGCCTCTGATATAGCCATGAAAAGTACTAGTAATCAGAACCCAGTACATTTATTTATTTATTTAATTTTATTTATATGCTGCCCAATCCCAAAGGACTCAGGGCAGCATTCTAAGCTGAAGGATGTCTTCTTAAAATCATTAATCACTTGAAGCTCTAATTAAGCTAAAAAGGCTTCACCTGAGATTGGCTCTACGGCAAGGATGTCAAACTGCTGGCCCACGGGCGGGTTTCATCACACCGAAGTTGCACCCACTCCATTGCCGGCAATACAAAAAGAGTCGCAATACGTCACGACACGCCCCATGACATGGTGAGTTTGACACACATGTTCTATAGTAATCCTTATAACTTAAGGCTAGGTTCCTTAGAAATCACATTCCAAACGCATTGAAATAGTCATTGTTGAGGAAGTGACACAACAGTAAACACACAGTTACCTTCCCATTATATCCTTAATTAGCTGCCAATTCTCCGGCAATAACATATATTTTGGCTCAAAATGAACACTTATCATCTCTTCGGACATCACTATTTAAAGCATTTGTGCCAGGGGAATGAAAGTATACTAGCTAGCAGTTTCACTGAAATAACATCACTTTAAATAAATTATGAGAGAATTTGTATACATACCCGCTGTTTTTCAGAATCCACATAGCGAATGCCAAAATAGTCTTTTTCTAGCAAACAGTAGTGATTGCAAACATGATCTATGAGAAACTGGCCTTTGGTCTCTCTCTGAAAAAGAAAAGGCAATACAAATAGGTAGAGCCTATAGGTATATGCATATATAACCTATGTATTTTACACACACACACACACACACACACACACACACACACACACACAGTATGCCAACTTTATTAACTTTAAATACACCCATTATATATTTATTTCTGTCCTTCCTGACAGTTAGAACACTTAACCAGTGGAACAACCTGCCTCCAGAAGCGGTGAATGCTCCAACACTTGAAGTTTTTAAGAAGAGATTGGACAGCCATTTGTCCGAAATGGTATAGGGCAGTGGTGGCGAACCTATGGCACGGGTGCCAGAGGCGGCACTCAGAGCCCTCTCTGTGGGCACACACTCCGTCGTCCCAGTCCTAAGCCTTCAGCTGGGTTTTATAAAACCTTTTCGCTTTAGGCCTCCGCCGCCGTGTACAAAAAAAAAGGTTCAATCAATCAGTCAATTTCAACTTCTCACGGGGAAAAAAAAGATCTTGCAAAGTTGGAATTGATTGATTGAACGTTTTAGTCCCACCCAGTCTGCTGTTACCACTGCAGCCACGCCCACCCAATGGGCCACACGCACCCAATGGGCCACACCCACCCGGCACCCGACGATGCATAAGTGGGTTTTGGGTTGCAGTTTGGGCACTCGGTCTCTAAAACGTTCGCCATCACTGGTATAGGATTTCCTGCCTGAGCAGGGTGTTGGACTAGATGACCTCCAAGGTCCCTTCCAACTTTATTATTATTGTTGTTGATGATGATGATGATTATCACATAGTCAGCCAGATGTTCAAACTGGACTTGGCATTTTTGTCTACCTATTGAGTCCTTACCAAGGACCTTGAATAAGGAGATATGTTTGATGGTATTACAGATATCGTCGCAGGATGGAAGCAGTTCCTATTATTATTATTATTATTATTATTATTGGTAGTGGTGGTGGTGGTGGCGGTGGTTATTAAACATAGGCTGTATCTTATTTTAATTGTACATTGTACATTGAATAAGAACATTGAATTTTACATTGAATAAGAACACTGATTAAGCATAACCAAGTTTGATTGATTTAACTGAATCCACCTAAGATTAATTTAGGTTTCAATTCTATCTTCTCTTTCAATTAAATACAAAAACGTAATTTAAGTTATCAAAGATTCTGCATGTATCTCAGATTAGCAGATTAGTAAAATACCTTACTGCACTCCAAATGGTTTACACTTCCTTAAACTTGTTCCTTAAGCTGAGGAACCCACTTAGAAATATTTTTCTATTCTGTTATCAGTGTAAGAATATCACCAATAGAACCAGTCATGACATCAAACTTTTATACCAAAGTTCTGTGCAATTTCAAGATATATCTTTTGCAAGTACAAGCATTTTACAATTCTAAGATTTTTAACTTTCCATGAGCTGTTTTTCTCACTGCCCTTATATGCAGTTCTAAAATTTGCAAAATATGCCTTTTCACTGAAGCACTATAAAGACTAGCTAAGTAGCAATAACTAGCCAACCCTGGCTGATGCCAAAAAGGCCAACACAGTGCTAGGCTGCATTAACAGAGGGATAGAATCAAGATCACATGAAGTATTAATACCACTCTTTAATGCCTTGGTAAGGCCACACTTGGAATACTGCATCCAGTTTTGGTCACCACGATGTAAAAAAGATGTTGAGACTCTAGAAAGAGTACAGAGAAGAGCAACAAAGATGATTAGGGGACTGGAGGCTAAAACATATAAGGAACGGTTGCTAGAATTGGGTATGTCTAGTTTAACGAAGAGAAGGACAAGGGGGGACATGATAGCAGTATTCCAATATCTCAGGGGCTGCCATAAAGAAGAGGGAATTAAGCTATTTTCCAAAGCACCTGAAGGCAGGACAAGAAGCAACGGTGGAAACTAATCAAGGAGAGAAGCAACCTAGAACTAAGGAGAAACTTCCTGACAGTTAGAACAATTAATCAGTGGAACAGCTTGCCTCCAGAAGCAGTAAATGCTCCAACACTGTAAGATTTTAAGAAGAGACTGGACAGTCATTTGTCCGAAATGGTGTAGGGTTCCCTGCCCGAGCAGGGGGTTGGACTAGATGACCTCCAAGGTCCCTTCCAACTTTACTATTATTATTATTATATCTGGTTAGAACTGGGATAGGAGATTAAGAAGAAGGACTTGGACAGCAAACTAGATTGAAATATTGAAACATTATAGAAAGTAACAGAAAACCACTTTTGTATTGGTACCATGAAATCTACATGGATGAGTCCCTGAAGTAACTAAGAATCAAGCTTGACCAAGAACATTTCCTTTTTGTATGAATATCCACCTTGATATTCTTAACTATGCTCTAAAACCAAACAGAATTATCCCAAGAAAACTACATAATCCCAGAAAAGGTGAGGCTGCTTTGAGGAGTTGCAGACAGTTGAGTCCATGTATTCTGAAAGTACCCTTTTGGGATCAAACCTAAAACACTGTGCTGTCATAACAGATTTTGCCTCTTTTCCTTGCAGCCATTTGGACATCTCTTTTCTGAGAGCCCAGAAGCTTTTGGGTTTTGCTGGGGGGGGGGTGTTTCCAAAATAAAATGGATAATTTAGTTAAAATTCGGTCCAATGCCAATACAATACATGCATACAGAAATCAAGATTCTTGAAATACAAGACAAAAAAAATAGAATGAAAATCTAATAAGCTAGTCTAGCCATATTGTGTAATTCTATGACTGTCAAATGCAAGCGTTTTGAGACTAATGGGAGATACTCCCAGATAATTTTTATAGAATTAATCTCCAAACGAAACAATAACTTTGTGCCATTTTGGAACATGGACTGAAGCCTTGCACGATATGTATTGTAGGATCAGTTTGGAGGCTGAAGGAATTTTTTCCCTATCTTTTTTACAGTTGATTTGAAACAAGAATAAAGATTCTTCTGCTTTGCTTCTTCCACAATCCTGCTGCAATTTCTCAGTAGCTTTGTTCCCATCTGGCTTCTGGTCCCAAAGCAATCTTCTTTCCTCCCCCGAGAAATTCATCATCTTTTTTGTTTGCACTGTATCTCCTTCTTTTCACCATTACAGCTGCCAGGAAAACATACAATTTTGGTTTTATTTACTTGCTTAATTTGATTTATCTCTGTCCACTGCTCTCAGCAGTTTGCAATAAAAACCCATTTAAAACCATGATATTAAAAATTGTTAAGATAGCAAGCCAAAAAGTAAACAAATAATTAAAATTAACAAAATCAACATCTAGAAGCCTATACAAAATGATACATTTTAAGGATTTTTTAGAAAAGAAAATAGATGTTAGAATTCCTTAATTCTACAGGGAGTATGTTCCAAAGATCTACTGGCAACAGACAAGGCTCAAAAAGCATTGAGGTTTTTATAGAAAGAACATTATCTTAAGAACCCTGGATATGCGCCATGTGGGGTTTTAAAATATTTTAATATATTTTTTGCCCAGAAATAAAAACAGAACCAGTTTGATCTAGGCATCAGACTAGAATCCAGGAGACTGTAGTTCTGATCGTACCTTAAATATGAAACCAGCTGACTGATTTTGAGTCAACCACTCTGCCTCGGTCCTTTTTTTTCAAAAAAAAAAAAAAAGCCATGCCAAGAAAACCTACAGGAGCTACAAGTAATCCACAGTCACCCACTCAAAAATGTGTGCATGTATGCACACACACACATACACACATACAAAGCACTTTGCATTTCACCCAGAAATAAACACATACCCTCCAGATTATGTGGTGTCATCACATTCTTCCCAAGGCCAACTTCACTGCTGAGTTTTGAACCAACTTAAGTATTCACACTGAATATAAGTGTAACCCCTATCTAGAGTCTACATTACTACAGTTAAGCCTAGAGGTTTCCAGAGTACGCATCATAATATTAAGATCATTATCTTTCAGAAAGGAATGCAGCTGGCATATCAATCAAAGTTCTCATTTTTAAAAACCTGAATATGAGTTACCAGATAGAGTGAATCTCACAAAAACAACAGCTACTTAGATCAATTCATATTGATATATCCTTTATCCATAAAACAAAATTATGTATTAACTGCATTTTTGTTCTAAGTTAACAGATAACCTAGAGCCACAGAATAGTTTTTGATGTAGAGAGATATAGTTCAAGCTTGATTTTCCAGTCTTAGGCCTAGAAGGTCAAATAATAAAAGTAAGGCATTTTTTTTTTCAACCCACAAAACAGTATGTATGCTAAATTAAGGACACAAGGTAAATCACTTGTATAATTGCAAATTTCAATGTATGCAACACATATATTATGCCTAATAAATGAGACAAAAAGTAATCTAATGTAAGAATGTTCATAATGAACAATTCAGTCAATGTAATATTTTCATAAAGCAGAGCTGGTTTTGTTTCAGATATAAAATATTTTAAATATACAAGACTAGTGGAACATATTCTCCTCCTCCACTCCCTCAATGAATATGAAATTTGCTCTGTAGAGTTACAAAATTTTCTGAATGAAACTGGAGGCACAAGACTGCAGGGACAAGGAGAAAAGGGAGATGATTTATTCACATAACATTAGATGGAACCCTCCAGTGCTTCCCAAATAGAATATGCAAGACTTTGTTTTATTAATCATAGATTACTGAATAAACAATTGACTAGAGTTATACATATGCTAAACTATATTCTACCGTTTGCAAAGCAGCATGATCATTATTATAATTACTAATAATTCTATTTTATCTTCCTTTCTTCTTGAATACACTCACAATAGCTAAACATGTACAATATGCTAATCCATAACCAGACGAACCACATTAGGGCTTAGCAAAATATGCCGTACTAGTTATGCACACATTCCTTATGAAATAGCAATCAAAGAAGTAATCTGAGGACCGAAAAGAGGAATAAATGGCTGTAAAATAAAGAAACTCAATGTCATATCAATCATATCAAAGAAGCTTGTAAAGAGGAAGAAATAAAAGCAAAGCTATAAAGCAGAGACTCATAACACA